TGAATATACAATTCAAGTAGAAATTGTTGCTTTCTGAAAATGCAAATCCTTAAGAATGAGCTTGTGGTACAGGGCTGTGGTTTCGGTCTCCATGCCCTGTTAGCTGCGAGAAGTATGACTTAAGCTCTGTCCTGACGTTGATGCTCAAGGCGGTTGGGATCTAGGGGATTTCTGTGTGTGTGCATCTGTGATTCCGAGTTTATCTATCTCAAAGGCGTTTCGGCGTTCACTTTCTGTCACCGTCACGATGCCTAGTGTAATAAAGTGTTCCTGCTGCCCAACCAGGGCCCCCTCCGGAGAGCCGAGTTCTAAAACTGACTGCTAGAACGACTGCCTTTTCTGTCTTTCCTTTCCGTTCCCTGCGAGGCCTTTCCATGTAGAAATTGGTGAGGAAACATGGGCTGTGTGAAACTCGCAGTAAATGTGGACAGATATTTTTTAGATGCTTTTTTATACAAAATTTGGTTTTTATTCAGCTGTTTGTATCTGGGCCACTCTGACGGCGCTAGGACGTGCTTCTCGCTGTCTGCGGTGCATCTACTCAGCCCGTTGAACTCTGTCCCTCTGGCCTTGTACACAGGACCCAAACTTGCTTCTTTTCTGTTTTCCCACACCTTTTGGCATCTAGCCCGGCACCCGTGTCCGTGCTGTTGTCCCTGACCCGGTTATTTGCCCATAACATGAGTCATAAAAAGAATGGCGTCTAAATGCTGAATGCTCTGTTTTTAGCTTCAGTCGGTTATCTTGTACAGAAATCACAATATGAGGAGGAAGTCATATTTATCGACTCTCCTCAGTGCTCCTTATTTCTTCCTGTAAATCCAAAGTTCCATTTGGTATCATCCTTTGGCCTGATCATCGGATTTTAACGTTTCTTAGAATGTGGTCGTTGACTGGTGATGAAGTCTTTTTTTTTTTCAGTCTGCCTGGATAGTTTTACTTTCATTGTTTATTTTTTGGAAGGGGGTGCTTAATGGTTTGGGCCACACCAGTGGTGCTCAGAGCTTACTCCTGACTGTATGTTCAGGGCTCAGAGACCATATGGGGTGTTGGGACTTAGCCTTTATTTTTAAAAGATGTTTCTATACAATGTAGTATTTCTTTTCCCATCCCCTGCTTTGTTTTGTTTTTGGAGTGGAGGGGACTCTTGGTGGTACTTGGGAGACTGTGTAGTGCCAGCAATCAAGCCTAGGGCTCCCTCATGCACAGCAAGGTGCTCTAGCCCTTTCCACCATCTCTCAGGCTTTTCACTGTTTCCAAGATGTTATTCCATTGTCTTCTGGTTTATGTCCTACTGGTGACAGCTGCTGTCACTTTGTTCCTTTTCCTATGCTATGTGTTTTTCACCCTTCCTGCTGTAAGGGAGTTCAGTTTTATGTGTTCAGTGTGTTACCGCTGGATATTATTAGCTCACTGATCTTTGAGATTCTTCCTCATACTTAATTTTTTCAGCATATTTCTCTTATCTCTGTGCTTAATTTGGGGTAAAAATTTTGTTGCTATATGTTTATAGCAGCTGAGTTTTTTTTTTTTTTTCTGCACTGCATACTCTGTTAATTCTGTTCATTAGAATGTTCTTTTCAGTGCTGATTTTTGTCCTCTTTTTTGGTTTGTTTTGGGGTAGTGCTTGGGGTTCACTTCCAGAGTTGTTCTGGGGTACCATACTGTGCCTATAATCAAAACCCTGGGCTCTGGCATGCAATGAATGTTTCCCACATATTCTCCCCCAGCCTCAGTACTAGATTTCTTTAGTTTCTTGATGTTGCTTGGTCCTTCAGAAAAATAATCTTCATTCTATCCACAAAATCATACCTTTAATAATTACCAGTAGTTAAAATATATGTGTGTGTGTGTGTGTGTGTGTGTGTGTGTGTGTGTGTATAATTTTGGGTCACACCCAGCAATGCACAGGGGTTACTCCTGGCTCTGTACTCAGGAATTACTCCTGGCGGTGCTCAGGAGACCTTATGGGATGCTGGGATTCGAACCTTGGTTGGCAGCATGCAAGGCAAATGCCCTACCCGCTGCGCTATGACTCCAGCCCCTAAAATAGCAATATTAATGTTCTTATCTGTTAGTTCCACTCTCTCTGATATTTCTTAGTTTTCCTTTTTTGTTTTGTTTTGTTTTGGGGGTCACACCCAGTGATGATAAAGGTTTACTCCTGGGCCTGCACTCAGAAATTACTCCTGGCAGTTCTCAGGGGACCATATGGGATGCTGGGGATCGAACCCAGGTGGGCCGTATGCAAGGCAAACACCCTAACCAATATATTGTCTCTCCAGCCCCTTCTTGATATGTTTAGGAAATTTTTATTTGATGTTGTATTTTCTAAGTGTTACAGTGTTGAATATCACAGCTTTGTCGTTTCTTTAAAGACTGCTGTTTTCCAGGATGATCTCACTTCTATCTGTGGACTATAGAATACTGGATGAGGAAATGTATTGTAGTGAAAGGGGAAATGTCTAGATCTCCCGTGACCCCGGTGTTTAGAGAGGAGAAAGAGAAGGAAAGAAGCCGGGGGAGGGGCGAGCGGGGAGGGGGAGAAGAAGAGAGAGGGAAGTAGTGCGTGAACAGGGGCCAGGGCTTTAGTTATATTGGTGATATGGGTGAGTGGTAGAGCCAATATATTTAAAACAGACTCAATAAAACTGAAAACATGAGATCTAAGCTGGAACCACCGGTACTTTGTAATGTGTCTGTCAGGCTGACAGGCAGCGTTTGGGGTTGGGGATGGGGATGAATATGGGAACTCTGATGAAGGGAAATTGACACTGGTAGTGGGGTTGGTGTTGAAATATTACGTGCCTGAAGCTCACCTATCGATAAACTTTGTCAATCAAAGGGTTTTTATTATTATTATTATTATTATTATTATTGGGATAGCACAGCGGTAGGGTGTTTGCCTTGCACGCAGCCAACATGGCCGACCCGAGTTCGATTCCTCCGCCCCTCTCGGAGAGCCCGTCAAGCTACCGAGAGGATCTCGCCCGCACGGCAGGGCCTGGCAAGCTCCCCGTGACGTATTCGATATGCCAGACACAGTAACAACAAAGTCTCCAATGGAGACGTTACTGGGCCCGCTCGAGCAAATCGACGATCAACGGGAGGGCCTTTTTTTTATTATTTTAATAAGATATTTAAAGAAAAAGAATGTTGTTGTCTTTTTTTTCCAAATATGATGCAGCCCTGGCTCTGGAAAGAGCCCTTCAGCACTGCTGATGTCTACCTACTCTGCGCTTCCCTTGGGAAAATACTTAACTCTGTACCATGAATATCTTTCTCCTTTGTGTGACCTTTGGGAATTGTTCCATGTAGAGTCAGTACCCCCAAGCCCCTCAATTTATGAGGAATTTGCACGCATTCATTGTCTAGAAGCACTTCATTTATAGATCTCTCTTTCTTTGTAGCACCCTGCCCTGAAACTTCCACTTCCTCCTCCCTAAACACTGATAGCACAGCGGTAGGGCGTTTGCCTTGCACGCAGCCAACATGGCCAACCCGAGTTCAATTCCTCTGCCCCTCTCAGAGTGCCCGGCAAGCTACCGAGAGTATCTCACCCAGCCTGGCAAGCTCCCTGTGATGTATCCGATATGCCAAACACAGTAACAACAAAATCTCCATCAAAGACGTTACTGGGCCCGCTCAAGCAAATCGATGATCAACGGGAGGGCCTTTATTTTTATTTATTTAAACACTGATAGTCATTTTCTCCTCTTCCTTTGGTTATCAGGCTCACTTTTGTTCCTTTCCTTGTTCTTGGGGCCCAGAAGTTGTTTGGAAGCAGAATCGGGGTGGCTGTCTATGCTGCACTGCCTGTTGTCCCCTCTCAAAGTGCTTACACAGATTTCGTCTGGTTTCTAGGAAGCTGCTTGGTTAAGGCTGATCTTTGCTAGTCTTTTTTTTTTTTTTTTGTGCTTTCTTGGGTCACACTCAGCGATGCACAGGGGTTACTCTGTGAACTTGCTCCTGGTGGTGCTCAGGGAACCACATGGAATGCTGGAAATCGAACCGGGGTTGGCCGCATGTGAGGCAAACACCCTACCCACTATGCTATCACTCCAGCCCTTTGCTAGTCTGTCTTTGCTGTAAGGAGAAATCCCTGGAATTCCAAAGAAACTTGTTCACTAAAAATAATTTTTGCTAGCTGAATGAAGTTCTAAAATGGCGACCCTGCCATTGTTGGAAAAACTAAACTTAATAAAATGTACACGCGTTTTTAGTGAAGTTAGTGCCTTCTTTTTCTCATTCTTTATCTTTCCCACAGACTGGAACCGATAGTGTTTGGGACAATTTAGTAACAGTTGTTACTCGGTGTTTTCAGATCATGACGTATTTAGATGATCCTCTGAGGACTGCCTAGACCCGTGCTTGCCTCTGTTCATACGGCAGAGTTCAGTGGGGGACTCATCTGGGTTCTTGTCTATAACATTGAGCTAAACTTTACTCTTGGGAAGGGCCTTGACTGTGCCTGCGCTTTAAGAATCTATGTGAAGCTGGAGGTATAGCATAATAGTAGAGCACTTGCCTTCCATGTGTGAAACCCTGGGTTTATTCTCGAGAACCAGGGAAGAGGTGAGGGAACCCTCAGCTACAGAGAAAAATGGTGCCAATAAAGTTCATAATTTGGAATTCTAAATATTTCAGAAAGATATAAAGGCTAATGTCAGCTGTTTTTAAAAAAAGTGCATGAAAGAATTTTGGTCAGTAACAAGTGGAATTGACTTTCTAGGTGGTAGTTTTATGAGCTTGTTTTCTGTCTTTTGTCTATTTTCCAGTATTGGGGTGGAAGAACATTCTAGATATGTGGAAGCATCTATGATGTTTGTAGCTGCATTCTGGACTTAACAAGGCCTTTCTGAACCCTGGAGTCCCAGATCCCTAGAACTTCAGCTCCCAGAAGCATAGTCAAGCCATTCATCTCTAAGGCTAGTCACTGTGTTAAATGCACATGCAAAAGTACCTTAAAAATACCATTAATTTTTGTGTTTACTCTTCAGATAAAAATTTTGATGATGAAGATTCTGTAGATGGTAACAGACCGTCCTCTGCTAGTTCTACATCTTCCAAAGCTCCACCGAGCTCTCGGAGAAACGTTGGAATGGGGACCACCCGCCGGCTTGGATCTTCCTCTCTTGGCTCCAAGTCTTCCGGTAAGGCTGACCTCTGTGTGGTAGTGTGGGACCAGCTCTGGAAGCGTTCGAAACTAGACATTCATGGCCTCTGCCCTTCAGAAAGGAAATAATAACTTTTTAATATATTTCTGCTGATACTCTTTAAGTGAGCACTGGGCCATGCATATAGGCTGGCAGGATAGAAGTGCTGAGTTGATGTCCTGTGGTAAAATAGCCTGAAGGAGAGTATTGAATAGAGACTAGCTAGAGAATGCCCAAGAGTGTGTCTTGATGGCATTGATCATTTAGGATCCAGCAATGCGTGAAGTTGCCACAGGACTTTCAAATCAATTTTTTGTTAATTTCTGGGCCTTCTGGGAGTCTTAAGTGAGTGACCTCTCCCCTGGACTTCCTGAAGCCCCAGCTGCCACACCCACACTCCACTACTACTGCTGTGTAAGTTCACTGCCCAGGTAAATGTTCTGGAGTTTCTGTAGCGACATCTCCAAACTCTACAGGACTAACATCTTGGTAGGAGGGGCACACCAGATTTGATGGGAATATAACATAGAAGCCAACTAAACACAACACAAACATTAACACAGAAGAACAAAAAACAAAAACACCAGCTAGCAACAACACTTGTCAGCCCTCAGACAAGGCCTTAATGTCCCCATGGTGACATAGTGAAAATTTTCACCAATTTTCTTTTACTGAGCTATTTGATCATTCCATTAGCTATGTAATGGTAACAAGCGATAGAAGTAAAATTATTTTGAGTGAGGGGTGGTTAGGAAAATGGGGACAATGGAGGGAAGGTCACAGTGGTGTGGGATTGGTGTTGAAATAGTGAATGCTCGTAACAAATCATTGTGAACAACTTTGTAAACCACAGTGTTTAAATAAAGGGGAGAGGGAACACCAGACCAAAAAACCAATTTTCTGTTTATCAAGACTGAGACCGTCCAGAAGTCAAATTTAGTAGGGGTTAACTCCTTGAGGTTTTAAAAATTGACTTAAAAAGATTTCTTCTGTAATCCTCCTCTTTACCTATCCTTGATTCTGTGATTCTAGCTTTCCGATAACTCATTTCACTCTTTTATTTTACTAAATTGATGTATGTAAATAGAAAGACTTCCTCCTTTTTTTTTACCGGGGTTTGAAAAGAATGTTTGGCTGTACTTTTATTTTTTATTAATTAATTAATTTTTTGCTTTTTGGCTCAGACTTAGCAATGCCCAGGAGTTACTTCTGACTCTGTACTCAGGAAGTCCTCCTGGCGGTGCTTGGGGGGATTCTGGGGATCAAACCCAGGTCGGTGGTGTGCAAGGCAAATGCCTTACCGGCTGTGCTATCGCTCTGGCCCCTGGCCATGCTTTTAGACTCAGGCTCAGCACTGGACTTCTGAGCACTGGACTTCTGAGCTTGATTGAATGAGCTAAGGTGAAAGCGAAGGAGAGGATTTGTGTCGGAATGCTGGTCTTGCTTTCTCAGCTGGCTTTAGAAGTCTCGTTGGGGTTGGTGCTATTGCCAGATCTCTTGCATCCCACCTGTTACAGGAGCCCTACCCACGACAGACCGAGTTCAAATCCAGAAAAGCTGCTCTTTTCTTTTTGCATTTGTTCTTGTTATTCTTAGTTCTTTCTAATCATTTTAGGGCATATAAAATTGTTTAGTTTTGAACTTAAGTTCACTGTAGCACTGTTGTCCCGTTGTTCATCGATTTGCTTGAGTGGGCACCAGTAATGTCTCCATTTGCCCTGTCATGTGCTGGTGTAGCCCAGTGGTGTCTGCTCGCTCCAGGAACACGAAGTGAGACTTGTTACTGTTTTTGGCATATCGAATACACCACAGGTAGCTTGCCAGACTCTGCCGTGTGGGCAGAATACTCTCGGTTGCTTGCTGGGCTCTCCAAGAGGGACAGAGCAATCGAACCCAGGCCACATGCAAGGCAAACGCCCTATCCACTGTGCTATCTCTCCCGCCCTGAACTTAACATTACATAAAATTAGCTAATTTAAAGTGAACAGTTTAGGGAGGGAAATGGGAACTGTTGGTGGTGGGAAAAGTACATTGGTGAAGGGGCAGGTGTTGGAACGTTAATGACTGAACCCCAGTCATGAACAACTTTGTAACTATATCATCCTAATTCAATAAATAAATGAATAAATAAGCAAAGCTTAAGAAGAAATGGGGACAGTTTAGTGACCTCTAGTTTGCAGGGTCATGTACCTCCACCCTCCACAGTTTCAGAGCAACTGCCTCTTCCAAAGGAAACCCTGCGCCTCTCACAGTTGCGCCCCCAGTTCTTCCTCCCACTTACATATGCATTTCATATGTATGTATTTCTTCTAGATAATTTTCATTTTTTTTTGGTGGGGGGGGAATACCTGGCTGTGCTCAGGGCTTACTCATGGCCCTGTGCTCAGGGATCACTTTTGGCGCGCTCAGAGGTCAAATGGGGTGCCAGGATTCTAACCTGGGTCAGTCACGGGCAAGACAAGCACTCTACCCTCCATACTGTAGCGCTGGTCCCTCTTCTGGATAATTTGTAGAGAAGGAATTATACAGTGTGTGGACTTTTGTGTCCTGTTTGTTGTATTTTGTGTAATGTGTTTGCGATTCATCAGTATTGTAGCATGTATCAGTACTTATTCTTTCCAGTCCTCTTTCTCCACTTGGTGACATCAAGTTCAAATAAAGCTTAGGATTCAGGACACTTTTTTTTCTTCCTGTCTCTCCTGCATGCTCCTTTGAAAACTCCTGAGAGTATGGATTGTATAGTGGTAGCTAAACTCATCTTTTTCTTTTCTTTTCTTTCTTTTTTTTTCTTTTTAACACAGTAGTCCTCAGTTTTCTTGTTAATTCTTTGGACTAAGGGTCTTTTGTGGCTGAGTCCCCAGTGATATGTGGTCTGGTGCTTCACACAGAAGAGGTGCTGGGAACTGGCTGCTCAGTGGGATCCACCCTTATGCTAGAAAAAAAAAAAGATACAGAGCCCAGTGTTTACTGTTGCCTGTTTATCCTCATTTGAGAACATAGTATGAATAGTCAGAAATAAAGATTGTCTTGAAAGCCCTTTTCTGTCTAGTTAGATCATGTTGACTCAAACTCTGAGAACCCGTCTTGTGAAAACCTAGCAAAACTCTCAGAACTATCAGTGTAAATTAGCTATGAGAGTTATAAGTTCAGAAGCCAGTATGCAAGCCTTTATTAAAGGTAAAGGTAAAGGCCCTCCCATTGATCGTCGATTTGCTCGAGCGGGCCCAGTACGTCTCCATTGGAGACTTTGTTGTTACTGTGTCTGGCATATCGAATACTCTCGGTAGCTTGCCGGGCTCTCCGAGAGGGGCAGAGGAATCGAACTCGGGTTGGCCATGTTGGCTGCGTGCAAGGCAGACGCCCTACCCGCTGTGCAATCGCTCTAGCCCTTTATTATGGAAAATAAATCTGATAACATGCTACATTGTTTTTATTTGTAGAGTTTACATGAACAAATGGGAAAAAACTTTTCTTTCAGATGATAGCAGTTTTGTGTGTGTGCGTATGTGTGTGTGCGTGTGTGTGTGTGTGTGTGTACATGCAGGGACTGAGTTTGAACCTAGGACTTTATACACATATTAGACAGATGCTCCACTTCTGAGACACATCCCTTACCCAGCAGCATCACTTCTAAATAATGCATGGATGAAAACTTGACACCGTTAAAAGTTCAAGGAAATGCAATTGCTTTCAGACTAATGGGAAGTTGAAGCGAAATTGCTAAATTGCTTAGAACTTAGTATTTCACAAATGCACGCCGTTTGCTTCCACAACTGACCTAATTTAGTTTAGTTAAATATTCCATTATGCCTGTTTGTTTGTAATCTTAATAAATTGTCTTAAGCAGTTAAAGACCAGACTATATCTCTTGAGAAAAAATAGTCTTTCAATTTCAGTGTAAGTTAATGTACGTAATATAGAATTATGCTTCATCTTGACATCAGGAATTAGTAGTTTGTTAATTCAGTCCCACTTGTACATTTTTTAAAGTTATAAATCCTCCAAAATGAAATTTTGGGTTCTCTCTATTCAGACGCCTCTAGTGCATATTATTTATATTTTGAAAACTAATCTCTTTTATAGCTGCAAAAGAAGGAGCTGGTGCTGTCGATGAGGAGGACTTTATTAAAGCGTTTGATGATGTACCTGTGGTGCAGGTGAGTGGAGGTTACTTGAGTTTGATTCAAAGTAAGGCTTACCTTGATTAAATTTTACTTTGCAATGTGTGTGTATGTGTGTGTGTTTTAAAATATAAGGTAATTTGAACTTTCGAGATGATAGGAGAACTGAGCTTGCAAGTTAGGAAATGTTGGAGCCTTTTGCAGTTTAGTTGGGAAGTGAAGAGCACAAAAGTCAAGATGACTTATCAATAAGCACTGGAGAGAAATAACCTGCTTAGCACAGCGGGTAGGGCGTTCGCCTTGCACGCGGCCAACATGGCCGACCCGAGTTCGATTCCTCCGCCCCTCTCGGAGAGCCCGGCAAGCTACCGAGAGTATTCCATATGCCAGACACAGTGACAACAAAGTCTCCAATGGAGACATTACTGGGCCCGCTCGAGCAAATCGACGATCAACGGGAGGGCCTTTACCTTTACCTCGATTAATACATATTATGTCAGGTCAGGACAAATAAAAGGCAGGAAAATAACTGATTGATAAGATTAGGTAAGAAGAACAAAGAAGCCGTTTTTTGTAAAGTTGAAGGATTTCAGTGTATGTCTGAATGGCCCCAGTACCTGCTTCAATCATTTTAGGGTCAGGTTCCTTAAGTTTAAGACCTCCCAGGATGTCTCGTTCTTGGGTAATTATTTCCCTAGGCAGTTAGGATCTGAGAATAAATGAGAAAGTAGATTTGAAAGTATTTATAGTTATAGTTAGAATGTGTTTCTATAAATAATACTGAGTAGTAAACTGCTTGTATGCCAGTGATAATTCCCATGTAGGCATTTTTCTCTTTTGTACATAAAATCACCAGTTGACTTTAAATTTTGTGTTTGAGGTCTTCTAAATGCATGAAAGTCAAAATAATACATGCATATTCATGACATGGGAGAAATAATTTCCTGGCTATTTCACTTGCAATTTCATTTGCTATTCGTTGTACCTTTCATGTAATTAAGAAATAACCCTTGTTTGTTCTGTAAGTTTTAAAATGTTGATTGTAAATTTAATGTTGCCTGCAGATTTATTCCAGCCGAGACCTTGAGGAATCCATAAACAAGATCAGGGAAATACTGTCTGATGACAAGCATGATTGGGAACAAAGAGTAAATGCTGTAAGCCATTGACTTGTGCAGTTGCAGTTTTATTGATGCACCTAAATATTCCAAATGCTTTATGAAATTATATACAACTCATAAACGTCTAGTGAATTAAATCATAAATATTTAAAATATAAATGTTCACTTGTACTTTACCAGTTCAGTGGAGTACCTCACTTCTCTATTGTGAAAGTGTGCTAAGTTAACAGCTTTTTGTATAACTTTTACTCTATGTTAACAAATACCTAAGTGTGCGTTCTTTCCTCTTTGTAGTCTAACCTTAGCGTGGATTGAATTCTATGGGAGCTGGCCAGTAAATGGAGCTTATCAGTAGCATTTTAGTATATGTCCCTTTATTGCTTCCTTCACATTACTTCTTAGAATTTTCTCCCATTTTTAATTTATTTTTTTAAAAATTATTAAACCATTGTGAGATAGTCCTTTACAATACTGTTCATGACTAGGTTTCAGTCATACAGTGTTTCAATGCCCGTCCCTCCCCCAGTGTACATTACCCAGCACCAATGTCCCCAGTTCACCCCCACCCCATGACTTTCCCCTTTATTTTTAAAAGCAGATTAATGAAAATACATGCACTGGCAAGCATTTAAGTGAGGGTGTATGTAGCTTATCTGTGAAAAGAAAGCTATTAGATACTGATTGGCTAGCAAGAAGAGAGGTGACAAAGTCGCTGTTACAGTCTGTTTCAATTTCAGACTAACCGTTTAACAGTGATATGAAAATACTGTAGGATTGGTTTGCTTCTATGATTAGAAGTGGGTAGGGGAAGGTTACTTTAAGAGAGAGCTGTCTCAAGCTGAGATAAAGGTTTTAGTTACTACATCATTATTATCAGAACCTGTTTCCTAGTTTAAAAATATTTTCATAGTGCTTAAATGACTTATGAATGATCACCAAATACTACATAATCAGAATAATTGGTTCTTACATGTTCTATGTAGATTTGTTTAGTAATTAGTTAATGTTTACCTGACCAAATCTTTTTGGAAAATGTTCTTGGTCATTTCACTTTGATGTTGGTCTCATATTTGATTTAACACTTGTTTTCTCTTATCCACCAGCTAAAGAAGATCAGATCTTTACTTTTGGCTGGTGCTGCTGAATACGATAACTTCTTTCAACATTTGCGTCTTCTGGATGGAGCCTTCAAACTCTCTGCTAAGGACCTGCGCTCTCAGGTCGTGCGGGAGGCTTGTATCACACTGGGGTAAGGATCTCAACATTTCATTTCTCTCACGATAAAACCCCTTGTTGATGCTTCATTTCTCACAAGGAAAAAACCCCTCATCAGCGTGCTTCAGAGATGGCTCATTGAATGTGCCTGTAAGGTCTCTGGAACTCACTTCTCACTAGTCGCTGAGATACATTCCAGTTATTCTCTGCCAGTACGATCACAGTAGTACCTGTCCAGTCATGGCAAATGCACAAAAAATTTTCATTTGTATTCAGTGACTTCGTTCTGAAACCTTTATCTTAAGCTTGATGCCTTGATACATCAAAGTGTGATTTTACAAATCTTTTTTTTAATTTTCATTAATTTTGCTGGAAGAATATAGCATGGTTATCAAAATTCTGTTTGTGGCTTAGAAGATTATACAATAATCTTATATAGTTGCAATAATCTTATATAGTTGCATATAATCTTATAATCTTAATCTATAAAGTTAAAGTTACAGGCATGTACTACAATAAAGTTTTACTTGCATAAGTATTTGAAATTAGAGCCTCGGTGTTAGAAAGTATGTCAGTATTTCAGAGAAGCAACCTAAGTAAGGAGGCATTGCAATTGGTTTGTAGTTTTGGCCAGAGCCAGATTTAGAAACTTGGACACTGTTAAAAATAAAAGAGCAGCTAGAGAGTTAGTACAGGGATCAGGGTGCTTACCTTGCATGCAACTGTTCTGAGTTTGATCCCTGGTACTCATATGGTCCACTAAATCCCACCAGAAACAATCTCTGAGTGTGCAGAGCAGGGAGTAAGCTCTGAGCACCACTGGCGTGGCCCCCAAACCAGAGAAATAAATTAATTAATTGGCAGAAGCAGGAAAACGGCAAGGATCATTCTTCATGTTACTGTTTTGTTGATACATGATGGATTTGTTTCTTCCTTTTTTAAGACTTTGGAATTGGTTTATTTTTTATTTTTATTATTTTATTTTATTTTTTTGCTTTTTTGGGTCATACCCAGCGATGCACAGGGGTTACTCCTGGCTCTGCACTCGGGAGTTACTCCTGGCAGTGCTCAGGAGACTATATGGGATGCTGGGAATCGAACCTGGGTTGGCCACGTGCAAGGCAAACGCCCTACCCACTGTGCTATCTCTCCAGCCCCAATGGTTTATTTTTTAAAAAGAAGCAAACTCTTGAGCTAATGGCTCCATATCAAGTCTTCCACATGTAATTAGAAGTATTTTATTCTGTATTTCACTATCTTTTTCCCCAGGTAACTTCAAAATAAAATCTCTAGAATATGCTGCTTTATATGTTTCACTGTTTGTAAGAAATAAAATTACAGTGGTTATTTCTTATTTTAGGCATCTGTCATCTGTCCTGGGAAATAAGTTTGACCATGGAGCTGAAGCCATTATGCCAACTATCTTTAATTTAATTCCAAACAGTGCCAAAATCATGGCCACATCTGGTGTTGTAGCTGTTAGGTTAATCATTCGGGTAAGCAATTTATTTATTTATTATTTATTGCTTTTTCAGTCACACTCAGAGATGCTCAGGGGTTATTTCTGGCTCTGCACTCAGGAGTTACTCCTGGTGGTGCTTGGGGGACCATATGGGATGTTGGGGATCGAGCCTGGGTGAGCCTCGAGCAAGGCAGACGCTCTACCCGCTGTCCTGTGGCTCCGGCCCAAGGGTGACTTTATATAATAAGAATCATGACATGCATACAATATGCCTCCCCTTTAGTGACAACATGGACTTTTAAGTATACGTTCTACATCATAAATAAAGGATATGGAATATAATTAGTGAGATGTTGATAATTGACTCTGTTGATTTTGTTTATTTATTTGCAGCATCCCAAGTGTTGCTCAGGGAATCTGGGACTGCTTCGGGCTCTGCTCAGCCCCGGTCTCCAGCCTGACTTTCACTGCTTGGTTGGGGCGTATGATTCTGCTCGGGCCCAGGGTGCTGGGGGCCAGCAACTCTTTATAGTGCTTTGGGCGGGATGGGGCCGCCGTGTTTGTGTACCACCTCCTGGCCTAGTGCATGCCATGTGTGCATGCATGTGCTCGCCTTTTGAGCCTCATCATTGGTTTTAAATAGGAGGCCATATTGGGGGACAATGGTACAGTGGGTTGGGCACTTGCCTTGCATATGGCTAACCCAGCTTCAATCCTTGGTATCCCCAGTGTTCTTGTGGTCTTTCAGCAATGTAGGGTTTATTTTTGAATATAGAGTCAGGAGTCACCCCTTGAGCATCACTGGATATGGCCCAAAAACCTGAGAAAAAAATAAAGTGGCCATCTTGCATCTGCTTCTGAGTTAATAAGTATTTTTTGTGTCCAGGTAATACTGCATATAAACATAGAATAAAATGCCACTTAACTTCTCTAAACACTTATTTACTTTTCAACAGTCCTCTAAGTAATTCATGTGCAGTGTTTTAGTTCAGAAAGACTTAGAATGAAATGTTCGTTACATCACCTTCTCATCTTTTCAAGTCCCTTTACCGCAGAAGCAACCCTTGAAACTCGGCTTTGTTGATGTTGACTAAAATCTACCATCACTGTAGGTTGTTTCATATTCTTTTTATTTGTTGCTGTTTGAGCAGCCTAATTTAAAGTGTGAAATCAAATTCTGGACAACATTGGACATTTTCATTGAAACATTGAGGTGTATTGGTCTGTTCCCCACTTTCGAACTCATTCTGGTATCTACTCAGATCATTTAGACTGAATACTAACAATGTGTTTTGACTTTCTTTACACTTACTTCCTATACATATATCATGGTATCTGTAGTCTTTATCATAACTTTTGGCAATATTCAACAAATTGTTTTTCTTTTTTGAAAAATCAGTGTGAGGCTGGAGAGAGAGTACTGCAGGCAGGATGCTTGCCTAGCATGCAGCAGACCTGGGTTCAATTCCCAGCATCCCACATGGTTCTAAGAGCACCGCTAAGTGTAATTCCTGAGTGCATAGTGTGGCCCCAAAACAAACAAGCCAATGAAATTCTAACCTGTATATGCATTTCCAGTAGGTTAGCAATAAAGTCCTTGTCGTTGTTTGGTTTGGGGCCCATGCTTAGCAGTGTTCCAGGGTTATTCCTAGTGGTGTTCCTTGGAGTATCATATGAGGTGCCGTGAATCCAGCACCTTACCCACTGTTCTATCTCTTGTATTAGTATTGTCTTAGTTTGGTCTTTTCAACTGTTCTCCTCTCTTTCATTTTTCTCCACAGCATACACACATCCCTCGGCTAATACCTGTCATAACAAGCAACTGTACCTCCAAGTCTGTTGCAGTGAGAAGGTAAATGTTTCAACAGTTTTCTCATATTTTTTTAAAATCCAAAGATCATATGAAATTGACTTCAGGAAGGAAAGCTCGTGTTTGGGATGTTTAATCTTAGATAAGAGTGCTGGAATAAAAGCATCGAAGGGTCATGATCTACGTGCTTAGTCTAGGAAGCAAATTGGGACAGTGTCGTGTTGTTTTTACATTTGTGTGTTGGCGGGGGTGAGTAAGTTGGGTGGGTGGAGGGGGAAGAGGAAAGGAGCCCCTGTCCCTGCACATTTCCCCCAGACATTGTCTGCCTCTGTGGTTGGTCTGAGTGAGGCAGTGACTCCATGCAAGGGGAGGGGAAAGCACTTTAACACTGAATAGTAGCGATTCAGTAGCTGATGAATGTAGGAGAAGTAAGCGAATGGCAGGACTAGGCAGCTGCTTTTTAACCCTCCCACAGTGTAGTCCAGATTCTGCCCAGTAAGAATGCTCTCTAAGACGCAGTGTGCCTTTGCCGAGCTGCCTGCTTCCTCCTTCCCTAGCCTGTCACATTGGTTGTGCCAGGTGTCTCCAAGTGGGATGTCATCTTAAGCGTCATTGACACGTTATGTATCTCATGAACATACATGGAAGTCAAAGTCGTGGGTGGGGAAAGTGGTGAGTCCAACTCTCTTGCACCAGAAAGAGAGAAATTGGCTGCTCCCCCTGGACACCTTAATTCCTAAATTAATAATCCAGTAGAGCAATCTCTGAAGATTGCTCTTGACTTTGGGATTATAGTGAGTTGGGCAGCATAGCTACTGTGGGTACTGAACCCTGACCTCCCTGTCCCTCCCTCCCCCTCTCTAGCTCTCTCTCTCCCTCCCTCCCTCTCTCTCCGTCTCCTGTCTCTCTCTCTCTCTCTCTCTCTCTCTCCCCCTCCCTCCCTCCCTCCTTCCCTTTGCCCTCTCCCTCCCTCCCTCTCTCTACCCCCCTCCTTTCTCTCTCTCACAAGATGAGGGTATAGTCAGTAGAGTAAAAGGATAAAAATAAACTTTAGTACCTGGCTGACTTTTTTTTGAAGTTGTACCCCTTCTGTTGGGCTAAAGCAATAGCGTTTGCCTTGCAAGTCGCCAAAATGGTCGACCCGAGTTCGATTCCTCCGCCCCTCTCGGAGACTCTGGCAAGCTACTGGGAGTATCTCACCCACACGGCAAAGCCTGGCAAGCTACCCATGACGTGTTCGATATGCCAAACACAATAACAACCAAGTCTCACAATGGAGATGTTACTGGGCCCGCTCAAGAAAATCGATGAACAACGGGAGGACAGTGACAGTGACCCCTCTGTTGCTGCTTTATTTATCTTGTTAGCAGAGAACGTTTGTGGCTTCACTGTCATTGAGACGTGGTGGAAGTCTCATAAAGAGGAGCCAATGTTAGAGTTTGCTATTGTTGTTGTTATCACTATTGTTTTAGGTTTTCCAGGAGAAATTCAGAAATCTTTTCCATCTTGGAAGGTAGAGTTCCTATGAAGTGTGCAGATCTTTCTTATGACCCATTCCTGGATTTTAGTGTAGATTTTAGTGTCAGTCGCTAGGATTTTGTTCTCTGGAACTGCCTTCTTAAAGTCTTAGCACTAACCATAATGCCCAAAAGGAAAGAGAGGAAAGAGAGGGACAATGGTGGTGGGAAATGTACATTGGTGAAGGGACTGGTGTTGGAGCATTACATGACTGGAACCGATTCAGTTAAAAAAATTAAAGTGCTTTGCACTGCCATTGTTACCCTTTACCAGCTATAAAGAGTACTATTGGTCTTTGAGAGAGGAAAAAGCTGTTATTTTTATGAACACAGATATTAACTAAGTCATCTCTTTTGTAATTTTTAGGCGCTGTTTTGAATTTTTAGATTTACTTTTACAAGAATGGCAGACACATTCGCTGGAAAGGTGAGTACCTGATTTGCTGATGTTCTTCCTTCTGAATTGAATCTCGAGATTTAATGCCTCAGTGAGGGGTCTAACCCGCATTGTGCGTGAGATTTTGCATTGCCACTTCTGTTAGTTTTTGTGCCACAAGACACTTGATGTTGAAAGAAGCTTTTAGTGAATTCCATCGAGTGAGGTATTTGTGTGCCTAGAGATGAGGACATTGACAAAGCCTGAATCTGAGTCTGGATTAACTCCGGTTCTGATCTTGCTGCCCATCATTCCTGTCAGTTCCAGTGAGAAGAATGCTGAGAATTGCTCTTTGTAGCAAGATGCATCTCTTAGGTCCTTACAGGGATTTTCCTCATTTGTGATAGTTCTTTTGGATTCCTTTGGGTGTGGGAAAGAAAGTCAGCAGTTTTATTTTTGTCCAAGTTAGTGTATAGCAGCTCTCCATCATCATGATGCAAAGTAGAATTTTGGCAGAATTCTTTTTAATTAAAATTTTCAAAAAAGTTGTTGGGGTTGAGTCTTCGAATAAGTCTCAGGTACCTTGTTCCCAGGCTGAGAACTCTGGGTTTTTTCTTTCAGAGTTGGGGTGGGTAGCCCCCCACAACTCCCCATACTTCCGGAAGCCCCAGTAGCCATCCCGCCTCCCACAGCCATGAAAATGTACAATCACTGGCCCAGACCATAGATTCCGAAATCTCTGGACTGCACAGCACCTCCTAAAGCAACAAACAACTTTACTAGATTTTTTTTTTATTAGTGAAACGCCATGAGGTACAGTTGTAGACTTACAAATTTTTGTGCTTGGGTTTCAGTTATACAATGACCAAGTACCCATCCCTCTACCAATGCCCATTCTCCACCACCACCCATCCCAGTATCCCTCCCACCCCCCAACCCCCCATCCCACCCTGCCTCTGTGGCAGGGCATTCCCTTTTGTTCTCTCTCTCCTTTTGGGTGCTGTGGTTTGCAAAAGAGGCATTGGGTGGCAGTCATGTTCAGTCTGTATTCTACTTTCAGCATGCATCTATCATCCTGGGCGGATCTTCCCAGCACCCTTTATTTGGTGCTCCCTTCTCTCTCTGAGCTGCCTTTACCCCTAGAGTATGTGGCTGGCCTCCAAGCCATGGAGTAAACCTCCTGGTACTTATCACAGCTATTCTTGGGTGTTAGTCTCCTATTTTGTTACTTTATGTTCCCCAGATGAATGCAGTCTTTCTATGCTGTCCCTCTCTTTCTGGCTCATTTCACTTCAGCTTACTAGATTTTTACACAAGGATGTAACAACCCTGTGAATCAGATATAACAATGTTTGCATAAATTGATTTTCTCTATCTATTGATTTTAATATTGCAGCTTTGTTACCCAATCAACATTAATTCTAGAATTGTACCAGCAGTTATGGCTTTTTTTTAAAAATTAAAACAAATAAAAGTAAAAATTACGTTGTTGGGCTAGACAGATAGTACAGCGCGAAAGGTGCTTGCCTTGAGCAAGGCCAGACCAGGTTGGATGAACACAGCATCACATGTGGTCTCAAGAGTCACGAAGAGGTGACTGTTGAGTGCAGAGCCAGGAGGAACTCCTGAGCATATCCGGGTGTAACCCCCCAAAAAATCAAACAAAAATTATAATATTGGTCGCATGCTTGCAATAGCATTGACTTACGTGGTTTTGGTCTATGAAGATGCTGCACCTTCACCACTAGCAAAGTTCCCCAGACTCGCCACCATCATCTTTGTTTCCCTAGCCTTCCTCTTCTCCCTCCCATGTGCCCTCCCGACACTGCTTGGTAATCTCATTATGGCGATTGGTGATTCAGTGCTATCCATTTGAATAGTGTATTGTAGAGGCCTTTATGGCATATTAAAAACCTTTTTAGTAGTACTTGGGTTTTAGATTTGTTTGATTTTGGGCTTCTCTCAGGGGTTACTCCCAGTTCTCTGCTCCAGGTCACTCCTAGTGGTGCTCAGAGGTTGATGTAATTGGGGATTGAACACTGGACTCTTGCTTGCAGAGCATCTGTTCAGTCAGTTGAGCTGTCTTTTCAAACTGTAGTAATGCTCTGAATAAAATGAATATTCCTGGAAGTTCTATTCCAGACTCTTAGAGTTAGAAATGAAACAAAGTCAAACCTGTAAGAGAATTCTTCCAGAAAAAAGAAAATTTCCTTTGAATCTAGAATATTTGTCACTTTCCCCAGCACTTTTCTTGTATTTTAGTCCCAAGTATCATATCCTCTTAGTGGTAGCTTTAGAATCTAGAGGTTGGAAGTGGAATGATGATATGGGAATTAATGGGTGCACAGGTGGATAGCACAGGAAGGTGTGAAGAACTCAGCATGGTCCCATATATCTCAGTCTGCCACTTAGCAGATACTCAATAAACACTTATTGAAAGGGTTGATGAAATGAGAGTAAATGAGCTGATAAGTTTAGTTAAATCCTTTTGTTCAGTGAAATCCTTCCTTGCATTCCGTCCCCATTCCTTAGAACCGCTAATTATTCAAAGTGACAATTTGTGATTTCTTCTCAGCTAGCATAGAGCATAACTCAAGAGACTATTTCTAAAATTGGTTACATAATTTATGGCATTGTTTATGTTAAATAGCAGTGAAACTTTAAAAAAGCATCAAATATATGTATTGTTGATTATCTCTTTAGTATTAAAATTATCTTTCTCAGAATTTCCATAGAAACTAGTTTCTAGCCATAGAAAAATAGGGTTTTGTGATTTAGGTTCATAAATGATTGAACTGGAAGAAACGTTAGTTATTTAAAGCCTTCGGTTGTGAGAGTAGGGTAATCAAGGAATTTAGGACTGATAGTGGGGCTGACTGGCACACGAGATGAAGTTGAAAGACCTACAAAGAGGGTTCTTTTTTTTCTAAGCTTCTGTGCTAGAAGGACTCGTCAATAAGGACTCTATTGGGAAGTTCTTTTGCATAATTTTGATCATTTGCATGTAACCATACATTGATTGTTCCCGCTTCCTTTTCCAAACATCCAGACATATATCAGTATTAGCCGAAACAATCAAGAAGGGAATACATGACGCTGATTCGGAAGCCAGGATAGAAGCCAGAAAGTAAGTGCTTCTTTATTGTCTATTGGGGATTTGGGGCCACACATGGTGGTGCTTGTGGGCTGCTCCTTGGAGATGCTCGGGGAACATTGTAGGACCCGAGATTAAACTGAGGGCCTCTGCATTCCAGGCATGAATTCCCAACCTTTAGAGCTCAGTTCATCGCCCAAGATACTTATTGTAAAATAAGTTTGAAGTGTGTGTATGTGTGTGTGTGTGTGTGTGTGTGTGTGTGTGTGTGCGCGCGCGCGCATGCTCAAGCGCACATGCGTTCATGCTCTGGGGGGCAGGGAGTAGTGGTGCTGTTTGTCTATTTTGGTTTTGGGCCACATCCAGCAGTGCTCAGTGCTGACTCGCCGTTCTGCACTCAGGGAACACTCCCGGCTGGGTTTGGGAGATGTATATATAGGGCCAGGGATTGAACCCTGGTCTGCTGGGTCCAAGGCCTTACTCACTGTACTATCTCTGTGGCCCCATATTGTAAAACAAATTTTTAAAAAATTTTGTGACCCCCCCCACCCCCGCCCCATTGGGGTTGGGATTCATGTTGGCTGTATCATACTACCTTTGATTTACTTGATCAGGATATGAGATTCTTTCCCTGTGATCTATTTGGCCCAATGTCCCCTTTCCTGAAACAGTTACTAAGCAACTCCTGGAAAGCACCCCAAATTGTAGAGAGACCACTACCACTCTGCCCACACTCTGCCCACCAACCCCCGGGGCTTGGTATTGCCCCACTTGAGAAGCATGCTCTGCTCTAGATGTTCTAACTCCATTTTCCTAAGAAGTTTTTCAAGTTAGGTCCTTTAATTTTCTTTCATTTTTTAAATTTTTTATATTTTTAAATTAATTTCTTTTTTTTACAAAGCTGTTTATGATTAGGTTTTAGTCATACAATGTTCCAACACCCATGATTCTTTAATTTTCCGCTTATAAACTTGTCTCTGGAATTCAGAGAAGTTAAATAACTTGCCAGTGTTCAGAAACCAGCAAGCTGTGAATTCAGGTTTTTTTTTGTTCATACTCTGTACCTTATTCCATGCTGCAGGTCACGAGGGTCGTGGTCCTCTGAACGGTGTTAAATGGCGTTCTCTGGCGCTCACTTGTGACGGCCCAGGGACTGACAGGAAATTGTCTATTTTCCGTAGGTGTTACTGGGGTTTCCACAGTCACTTCAGCAGAGAAGCGGAGCACTTATACCACACTTTGGAATCCTCCTACCAGAAAGCCTTGCAGTCCCATTTGAAGAACTCTGATAGTATCGTGTCCCTGCCGCAGTCTGATCGCTCATCTTCTAGCTCCCAAGAGAGTTTGAAGTAAGGAATCCAGTTGTGCTTTTTTTAAATTATTTTTTAAGAGCATTACAAAAGCCATTCATGATTAAATTTCAGTCATACAGTATTCCAACATCCATCCTTCCAGCCGTGTACATTTCCCAGCACTGGTGTCTCCAGTCCCCCCCCCCCCCCATCACCCCCCACCCTCTATCTCTGTGGCAGGCACTCTCTTGTGCTCTCTCTCTCTCTCTCTCTCTCTCTCTCTCTCTCTCTCTCTCTCTCTCTCTCTCCCCGCTCTCCCGCTTCTCTCTCCTCTCCATCCCCTCTCCTCTCTCCCTCTGGCCTCCCCGCCCCCAACCCCCATTTAGGCATTGTTTTCAATATTGATACTGAAAGGTTATCAAGAATATCCCTAATCTAATTTTAACACTTGGATCTTGCCAAGTATGATCATTCCCAGCTATTATTGTCATTGCGATGTCTTCTCTATTTTCCCTACTCCCCCACACACTTATGGTTAGTTCCAACCATTGACCAGTCCTCCTAACCCCTGCACAGGCACCGAAGTAGCCCCTCCCCGACAGGTACACCAGTGGCGGGGAGGGGGGAGTTGGCCTCTAGGATGGCATGCCCGGCTACCAGACCCAGTTGTGCTTTTTGTGTTAGTGAAAATTGCACAAATTCTGGCTGGGTGTTTTATTCTGTTTCTGTTGTAACAGAACATCCCCAGTCAGAGGGGCCTTCCTCTCCCCCTGACTTTGGATGTGATAGGCTGGATGATACTGTGGGATATGTTAGAAAATAATTGACCTTGTTCTTTACTATAGGAGGGTTTTCTTTGTTGTTGAATTTGTATTGGGGCACTGATTTATAATACTGTTAGTGGTAGTTTCACGCAGACATCATTTCAACACTATATCCACCCGAATGCCCTCCTCTAAGTTCCTAAATGCCTCTCCCGTTCTTCCCACCACCTCTGCTCCTCACTTCTGTAAGCTAAATTCTATGAACCAACTCTGGTTCTGTGGCTTTTGGCCATTTGTTGCTTTATTGCTATTCTTTTTTTTTTTTTTAGGTCCCATAGCTGTGGGAGATCATTCTGTGTCTATCCCTTCTTCTTCTTCTTCTTCTTTTTTTTTTTTATGGGGGTGGGAGAGTAGCCAAACCCAGCAGTGTTCAGGACTTACTCCTAACTCTGCACTCAGGGATCACTCCTGGTGGGCTTGAGAGAAGGATGCCAGGGATCAAACCTGGGTCAGTTGAGTGCAAGACAAGCACCCAACCTGCTATACTGTAACTCCAACCTCTTTCCTTCCAACTGACTGCGTTCAGTATAATATTATGTAGTTGCGTTCATGTTACAGAGAATTGCATGAGTTTTGTCCTTCTTCTAGCTACATTATATTCCATTGTGTATATATCACAACTTCTTCTTTTTTTAGTGCTTTTTTGGGTTCACACCCAGCGATGCTCAGGGATTTTTCCTGGCTCTGCACTTAGGAATTACTCCTGGTCTGGCAATGCTCAGGGGACCATATGGGATGCTGAGGATCGAACCTGGGTCTGCTGCATGCAGGGCAAACACCCTCCCTTCTGAACTATCACTCTGGCCCCCTCTTACAACTTCTTGATCCAGTTAAACATTTGGGTTGTTTCATATCTTCCTGCCATAATAGTTTGTAGGAAAATTTATATGACTATCCTAAGATACAGTTTTGGAGTAGCATAAATGAATTATTTCAGGTGTTTTTAAAGAGAGCTCAACTTGAATCAGACAGATTTGGAAAGGAGCAGCATTTGTCATCTTCCCTCTTTACTTTTAATTCATCTCTAGGTGCAGCTCTTTCAGGCTTAGAGAGTAAGTTTTAAAATTAGGAAGTTAGGAGTTGAAAGATTGAGTTCGAAGTGACTTGAGAGAAGCACTCGTATCATAGTTCCAATAGTACATTCCTATGGTTCATTTACATAGTACATTCTATCTAACCTGTGTAAATGCAGATAAAGTGTGCACTTGATAGTAAACAGAAGTCTACCTTTATTTTCAGCCGACCACTCTCTGCCAAAAGAAGCCCCACTGGAAGTACCACCTCGCGAGGTAAGACTTGGAGTCGTGGGACTAGCAGTCCATGGGGAGGGGGTCTGGGTAATTTATGCCACATTAAGAGAAAACAAAAACTGGCTAGATGTGCGGCCAGAGTGATAGTACAGTGGGTAGGGCATTTGCCTTGCACGTGATGCAATGGGACCAGGTTCCAGTCTTGTTTCTCTGCCTCTGGTGAAGGATTTGCTCAAGATAGTAGTTGTGGTTAGTTTCTGTGTGAAAGTGTAATTGAAATGGTAGAGGTTGGGGATTGGTGGATTGGGGTTAGGGGACAGAAACAAGGGGTGTCTCTAGGGGAAATGTGGTGGACTTAACCACCAAGATTCCAGAATCTGCTCCTATCCCAGCAGCCAATGAATGGCCTCCTCTCTGCACCCATTGAGAGGTGCTGGGGTGACTCTCTTCTTTGTGCTCTGACCGTCCTGGTGTGAACTCCACTTTTCTCGCAGTCACTGCAAGGCAGAGACATTTCAAGGGTGACTTAGGCAGAAAGAAGTTGAGCTCTGAGGGACCAGGGAGATGCTCAAGTGGCAGAGCCCAAGCCTTGCATGTGCTTGGCCCTAGATTAGCACTGCATGGTTTCCCTAGCACCAGGGGATAGGGCCTCCACAAAAGAAACAGCCTTGTGACTGTCTCTCTCCCCTTCTTCCACTTCGAAGTCACTCCTTTGCTCTAATCCCATGATACGAAAGTGAGGAGAATCTGATTAGGGTAGCAGTTGGGGAGGGGTCTGGGTAATTTATACCACATTAAGAGAAAACAGAAAAACTGGCTAGATGTGCGGCCAGAGTGATAGTACAGTGGGTAGGGCGTTTGCCTTGCATGTGATGCGATGGGACCAGGTGTTCCATCCCCAGCATCCCTGAGCACTGGCAGGAGTAATTCCTGATTGCAGAGCCAGGAGTAACTCCTGAATACTGCTGCGTGTGACTCAAGAACCAAGCCAGACCAAACTAAACCAAGCGAGAAAAACCTGGCTAGATAGAAACAGTTTGCGTTTGGCCTGTGCTGCTGTGAGCCAGTCATATGGCCCATTTCTTTGGGGCTTATGGTCTCTGATGACAGGGGACAGATGTAGTATGGGTAGGTAAGAGCCATGTTCACTTTTAATGCCCTTCAGCGTTAGCTGCAGTCTGTCTTCCGTCGCCAGGAGAAACTCAGTGCTGTATGCCAACCTTTTTAAAAAAAATTTTAATGCTTGAGACTTGTTTTCAGGAAATTCAAAATAATTTCAAACATTACACGTCAAATCTTAACATAGTCCTTACTGATGTTTTCTCCCGCCCCGTGGAAGGTTCCACAGTCAGTACCAAATCGGCGGCAACAACTGGGTCCCTCCAGCGGTCTAGAAGTGACATCGATGTGAACGCGGCAGCCAGTGCCAAATCCAAGGTCTCTTCGGTTCCTGGCTCGACGCCTTTCAGCTCCGCTGCGGCCTTGCCTCCTGGCTCCTACGCATCCTTAGGTAACCACACCCCGATGCCTCGGCTCCTGGTCCTGCTCTCTCTAGTGACATTTTACTCTTCGTTCCAGTTTAATTAGCAGATGTGGGGGGACATAATTGAAATTCTCACTGTTGCGAGACTGCCATTTAAGTCATTGACTTTTATCCACCTCCTGCTGGTTCCCAGCCCCACTTGTGTATTTTCTTTCCCTGGAGCCTCGTCCTTTGTGGTGATGAGTAAGTAAACTGTGCTCCCTTGGTGGGACATGGACCGGAGACTTGGGAACCCTCCATCTTTCCCTGCACCTGGCTTCCCCGAGATAGCTGGCCAGCCAGCGCAGAGGCCACCTCCCTGCCCACAAAGCTCGTAGGAGCAGAGCCAGAGAATGTTACTGAAGGATTTGCCAGAGGCAGTTGTAGTCAGATAGTTTTCACTGTGAAAGTGCAATTGGAGTGGTAGAGGTTAGGGGGTTGGGGTTGAATTTGGGGACAAAAACAAGGGGAAATCTCTAGGGGATTGTGGTGGTCTTACCACCATAACTTTACCTGCCCAAGGACGCATCTTCCTTCCATGAGCCATTCATGCACTTATTTTAATGATAGTCCAAAAATTGGGGTTTTTTTTTAAAACATTTTTTAAAAAGAATTATTACGTGGCAAACTTAAAGGTTAATTTCTTAGTTTTTCAGCATTCAACACTGGCTATAAACATACAAGTTTACAGGCTGTATGTGTGTTCTTACAAGGCTGCTAGTTCACGATATCTTGTAAGAGCAAAGTTGTTCAAATTCAACAGATGAGGATTTAGCGAGATGATTTTTATCTTAGATTTTAAAGTAATGAGTATTTAAATGTCATGAAATATTGAGACAGAACTGCTTATGCTGCTTACAGACTTAATTTCAAAGTCCGTTTTCAAATGAATATTCTTTAAATGTTTGGAGCATTTAAGAGAAATTCAAGAGGTTACCAGTCCTGCCATTCATTTGCGTGGTAAACCATGATCAGGTTATGGAATCTTGGAGCCTGTTTTCTGTACCCATAAACCAATCATAATTTTCTGAGTTGTAACTTAGATATCGGGCTGGAGCGATAGCACAGCGGGTAGGGCGTCTGCCTTGCACGCAGCCAACATGGCCGACCCGAGTTCGATTCCTCCGCCCCTCTCGGAGAGCCCGGCAAGCTACCGAGAGTATTCGATATGCCAGACACAGTAACAACAAAGTCTCCAATGGAGACGTTACTGGGCCCGCTCGAGCAAATCGACGATCAACGGGAGGGCCTTTACTTTATTACTTTACTTTAACTTAGATATCTAGTAGGGATACACAATTATGTGAAAGTCATTTGGAATGTTATCATACTAAGATGAAGGGAACTGGACAGGACAGGAACATCACTCATTTGAAAGGTATATATTCTGGAAGATTTGTTTTGTCGGTCTCGTTTTCTCTATAGAAATATTCAGACATCCATACATTTCAATTGGGAAGAAATTCACTAAAAACTCTTCTAATCCAGGGCTTCTTAAGTTCTTTCCAGTGAGACCCCTTTCTACCTGAGAGATTTTTATGAGGCCCCAGTATGTAAAATGGACATGCAAATATCAAATAATCACTGTTAATAAATCAGATTTATTTTTAAAACACGTTTTTCATCGACTCCACATTCAGGAACACACCCATATGGGGCCATGACCCACAGTCTAGGAATCTAGGTGTTGTTCTACAGTTTAACCATCCAGCATTTGGTAGGTATGTTTATGATACTGTTGAGATCTAATTGAGTTTGGGAGAAGTTAGATTTCTCCTGTAGTGAAAAGATCCTATTAATTTTAGTCCAAATTTAAGTATGTACTTGTGTTTCAGTACATTTGATCCACCTTAATTTATATTTGAGGTATGTCTTTTAATTGAAAATATGAATAAGAAGTAGCTTGTGGGGTGTTCAGTACTCTGATTTCCAGTGCCTATTTAAAATATTTTAGTATGGATCATGTTTAGTATGGAGTCATCTTGGTTATTATAGCGAACACCAGCACTAAGATCTTTGGGTCTGATGATACCCAGCTTACCTTTTTGAAGCACTTGATGCTGAATTTTTAGCCCACTATGATCTCCCAGCCCCCAGGGCCAGAGTATTAATGAGATCCCTTACTAACATATAATAGTTAGACACTTGATCATTTCCTGAGAACTCTCTCTACTTTCTTTAGGCCCTGCAAATAAAAACATGAACTATAAAGTAATAGTTCTGTGCAGTTCTTATAATTCCTGGTTAGGCTGACATGTGACTTCCGTGCAGAAGCATAGTAGTATCAAAGCTGATGATCCTTTTCCAAACTTCCAGAGTCCAGACACGTGAGGGAAGATATGGAATCCGTAGGCCTTGAATCAGGTACCATGCTGTCCGGCTCTCTGCTGCTCACAATGTAGTGGGAATAGGCCTTGCTAGAACCAGCTTCTCTGAGCGTTTTTCTTGCCTCTGCCCTTTGGGTGACTCTAGTGTTTTAGCTCTTCAGTCGTGTCCGCCTCACCCCTAAATCTGCTCGTACTTTGTCCTGAGGAAAGCGAACACCCAAGAGGAAACCGTTGGCTAAGTTGAAGCAGCAGTCACGCCATTGGCTGAGGCACTTGCCGGTGCCCTGTTGGGTTCTGGTCTCCGGAGCCCTGGCACAACCTCCTGATCTGACCAGTTCGGCCAGACCGCTAGGTTGACTTGCTTCAGACACCGCCTCGCTGTTGGACGTGTTTCCCTTCGAATTTGATTTCCGATGGGACTTTGGCATTTTGCGTAGCTTGATAACATTCTGCTTTTTTAGTTTCTTAGTGTGACTAACTCTTCCCTTGTTACCCCTTCCCTTGTTTTTGATTTGCTTAAAGATGGTACTGCCACTAAAGCAGAGGGTAAGCGGTTTGTTTTTGTGAATGAGGTGTGTCTGCCTCCCACTGGTCCTGTTACCCCAAGTGTTGTGTGGTGTGTCCACTGTCCGCCCCAGGCCCCTGCATGGCACGCTGCACGCTGTCTCCTCTTCGCTCTTCTTCACTCCGTACCCGCTGACCCCAGCCGTACCCCCACCTCAGCTCACTCCTCCTCCTTCGCCCGTCATCGAAATTCTGTTTCTTTGGGTTCTGATGTGTGCTGTGTTGGTGCTGATGGCCCACCTGGGGAAGAGCATTGATGGCATCGAGTGTGCTGTCATCCTCACGGATATCCTCAACAGTTGGGCTACACAAAAGCTTCACCCTCACTCTGGCTTCCTTTGGTTTTCTTTTTCCTTTCTTGCTTTTGTGGGCCTCTCCAAATTGCCTTTCTTGTTTTGAAAAGAAGAGTTCAGTGAGTGTCAATTATGCAAGTCCAAGACAACTAAGATTTTCTGCCAGATAATCAAAAAAAAAAAAAGAATGCCTTACTCTTCCCCAAAGATGCTGCATCCTTGACGCATACCCCCTGCATTTATGCTCACTCGTGTACTCATCACCCGTGGTTTACGTGCATTCTGTGTTTCATGTTCTACGCTATCTACAGGGATATACGTGGTGACAGGAATTCGCAAGTCAAATTCTCTTATTTTTTCAGATGCCATTCTTAAACTCTCCTGAATTTTGTATTGTCTTTTGAATTTTAGACGGCATTCGAATCTGTGCAGGTCTTAGACTAACTCATGCTAGAGAAGGTTATCCTGAAGGCCTTTGGATAAAGTATATGGAAATGCTTCAGAATAATTGACGTTGAGAAAAATCTCACCTCCTGAGACCCACCAGTCTTCAGAGTAACTTGTTTGGCACAGCCAGTATATTCCATATATTATTTAGACATTATACAAGACTAGCATGCACCGTCAACTAAGTTTTATCTCGTAGGTGCAGTTTGCACAGTCTCTTTTTAGGGGTAGTGTTTGGAACCACATCCAGTAATGCTCAGGGTATACTCGGGGCTCTGCACTTAGGAATCACTCCTGGCAGTACTCGGAGGACCGCTGGGGATGCCAGGGATCGAACCCAGGCTCGTTGTGTGCAAGGCAAGCGCCCTACTCGCTATGCCCACTCCAGCCTCCTGCAGTCTAAGGCAATTATGAGAGGAAGAATTAGTCATGGAAAAGATTTTAGAAAATGAACATAGTCCCCTTAGCAGTGTTTCGCAGACTTACTTCATTGTGAGAATCAGCTATATGCTTGGTAAGAGAAGAGAGTCCTGGGTAGATAGTACAGGGGTTTATGGCACATACTTTGCATGTGGGTTGTTTTAGTTCAATCGTTCACCACTCTCTTGTCCCTCAGCACCATTAAACAGGGCCCTGAAGGCCCTGAGCACCATCAGGATGGTCCTGTTCCTCTCTAACACCACAAGGCCTAGAGCACCACATCTTCCCTCTGAGAATCCTCATTAAGTTTGTAAGGAGTTAGAGAATCCAAATTTTTAACAACCCCCGTTGAGAGATGCTTAGGGTTGTAAAAGTTTATGAAATGAAGTTTCTAAAATGAAAAATGGACAAAATCCTTTGTCACAAAGAGAACCTCATGTGTGGCAACAGGAGATTGAGTTTGGTTATGATTATGATTGGAGATGGGCCGGAGCGATAGCCCAGCAGTAGGGCGTTTGCCTTGCATGCAGCCAACATGGCTGACCTGAGTTCTATTCCTCCGTCCCTCTCGGAGAGCCCGGCAAGCTACCGAGAGTATCTCGCCTGCACGGCAGAGCCTGGCAAGCTCCCCGTGACGTCTTCGATATGCCAGACACAGTAACAACAAAGTCTCCAATGGAGACGGTACTGGGCCCGCTCGAGCAAATCGATGAACAACGGGAGGACAGTGACAGTGATGATTGGAGGATTTTTCTTTTTTTTTATTTTGTTTAAGGCAATTGTGCATTTTTCTTTCTCTAAGAAACATCCTGAGTATTCCCTCTGCTTTGGATGAAGGGGGACTGTAAGGCGGGATGCAGTCATGTCATGAAAAAAGAAATGAAGACATAATGTCTTCATAATGCAGGAAAACATTTTATATGGTGCTGTGATTTAATAAGCCAATGTAAACAACTGAAGTCAGCTTCTCATCCTAACCAGCACTAGTAATTGGGTTCTTTTTCTCAACTTTCTTTTTACCAGTCTAGAGCAAGGCTGTCATAGAAAACAGCAAAAGATTGCCCACTCAAGTATTGTGCAAGAGACATAAGAGCCAAGAAGTCTCTTTCTGCCTCTCCATGTAGGAGAATTGTTGTTTATTTTATTTAAAGGTAAAAAAGGTAAAGGCCCTCCCGTTGATCGTCGATTTGCTCGAGCGGGCCCAGTAACGTCTCCATTGGAGACTTTGTTGTTACTGTGTCTGGCATATCGAATACTCTCGGTAGCTTGCCGGGCTCTCCGAGAGGGGCGGAGGAATCGAACTCGGGTCGGCCATCTTGGCCGCTTGTAAGGCGAGCGCCCTACCGCTGTGCTATTTACTTTTTAAAATTTTTAAAATTTTAAAATTTTATTTTCATAAGGTTATTCACATTAATTGATATGTTCAATATTTCAACACTAATCCCACCACCATTAAACCTTCCCACCACCATTATTTCGAATTTTCCCACCACCACTCAAGCCTGCCTGCCACAGGCAGATGCTAGATAATTTATTTTCTATTGCTTGTCATGAGTATCATGAGAAGTGACATGGCCGTAAAAGCGGCCTCATGCTCCTAGAATTCTAAAATTGTAAATGATTGGGTTTTGGAGACCTCTCTGTAGGGAGCTAGTCCATTCCAAGATTTTTTTGTGAGTCTCTGGATCAAGGCCTTTAAGGCACTTAAATGGCACCTGGAGGCAGTTCGTGGTTGTGGCAGCCGGGACTCCAAAGGGGTGGGGAGACGGGAAGGGATGGCCCATCCCCGAGAGAAGTGTTGGTCAGGGTTCACAGTTCAGAATCATATGGGAGAGAAGCGTATTGAGGGGGCCCTATGAGCCCAGGTCTCTGGGCTTCCCAGGGCCGTATGGGCTGGTCTGCCCTTCACTTCGTGCTGCAAAGGAAAAGAGACATGACCTTGGGCACCTGTAAACTCTGTCACGGCTCAGCTGTTCTCTCTTCCAGCCGTGAGACTTTAAGAGAGGTGGTGCTTAGAAAAGAGCCAGTGGTTATTAAACATACAGTCTGCGGTATAGATCACATCTTACCTTGCTTTCTAACGGTTTTTGGAATCAATGGGATTCTTTTTTTCCAAGTTTGTAAAAAGAGAGTTCAATATTTTATACCATTAGGTTTCTGAGACAAGAGAATGTGTAGCTACTTATATCACTAGTAGGCAAAGATGATTTCTGAATCAGTAGTTGGTTACTCTGCATTTAAAATGTTGGCTGGAGTGATAGAGCAGCAGGTAGTACTGACCCAAGTTTAATTCCCGGCCCTGAGCCCTGTCAGGAGTGATCCCTGAGCACTGGCCAGAGTACCAGCCAGTGTGGCCCCAAAACACACACACACACACACACACACACATCCAATAATAATAATTAAAATATTGACAAGGTGCTTGAATTCAGGCATTTCAGTATTTCTCACTTTGAGAAAAATCTATATCCTTTGGGACTTACCTTCTGGCATTTATGAATACTCAAAAAATTTTTATAAATAACCAAAAATTTGATTTATTTCTAAGTTATCATGTCATTATTTTGAGGACCTGTTATTTTGTTCAGTAGTTTTTTAGTCTTGGGAGCTGAAAAATATATATCATCTGTTACATTATTCATGAGAACATTTCATGAGAAAGATGTTGAAATTGTATAATCTTATTACATCTAATACTTAAATCTACTGTGTTTAGTAAACACATTATTCATAATTTTCACCAAACTGAATACTTCTCCATGAAGGATCATAATAAATGCCCAAATGACTTGTGGGTACAAATATTTTTATTGATAGTTTCAGAGAATAGGTATGTTAATAAGTATTGTGGTCAGTGGCCCTGCTTAACTATTAAAAGTTTGAATTAAGGTTAGCACAATAAAAACTCTTTAATCTTGTCTACTCTTTAGATCAGATTTTAGCAAAGTTTTAATGGGGGAGGGGGGAAGCCCCATTGAATGACTATCCCAAAACTTTGAATTTTAAGCAATTGGCTTTTATGTGTATGGACAAAGCATATGTGCTTATAAAGAAGCAAAAGGAGTGCGAAATTTCTCTACCTTAAGTATTTTTAAAAACTGAGAAAAGTTCTTTGAATGGTAACTGCTCGTAGGCAGCAAGATTCACAAGTGATCGATTTTTACTCAGCTTTGATTTTATCCAAAATGCTACATAATTTTTAAAAATTTTTATCTATTTATTTTTTTATTAGTGAAACACTAGGGCTGGAGCAATAGCACAGAGGTAGGGCGTTTGCCTTGCACGCAGCCAACATGGCCGGCCCGAGTTCGATTCCTCCGCCCCTCTCGGAGAGCCCGGCAAGCTACCAAGAGTATCTCGCCCGCACGGCAGAGCCTGGCAAGCTCCCCGTGACGTCTTCGATATGCCAAACACAGTAACAATTGTCACAATGGAGATGTTACTGGGCCCGCTCGAGAAAATCGATGAACAATGGGAGGACATTGAAACACCATGAGGTACAGTTGTAGACTTAACAATCTTTCTTGCTTGGGTTTCAGTTTATGAAATTATGCCATCAGTGAGTTGTAAAATAGATAAGAAACTGTGTCCCCATATGATGATAACCGAGATTTCACTTGAACCATGAGACACCACACCAGTCATCAGAAATTATCTAAGTGATTACCTTTGGCTAAACAGAATATAGAAAAATTATGCTTCAAAGCAAAACCCAGGTGCACAGATTCAGTTTCCTGTTTGAGGACTTTTCTGAAAGTATGACAGTGGATTGGAAGATGTTTTTCATTTTACTGCAGTGAAGACAAGCGTTTTCTTTGTTTATGAAGGCCAGCAGGCAGACTCTGCTTCCATTTCTTTGTTTTCTCTACATGGGATGGTTTGTTGCTGTAGCTCTTCTCCTTCCCTCTAGTTCTCTCTCCTTTTTTTTTTTTTTTTTTTTTTTTGGTACAGCTCTCTACTGTCTCATTTCTGTGTTTCTTAGTCTTATTTAAATTTATCATTCTCTCCGTCAAAACACTGAATAAATATGAATGTTCCATTACTAGGTGAAAGTATAGAACCAAACTATATTTTGATGGTTTGTTGCATTTTCTTAGTAGACCTTGTTTTTCCCAATGACCACAGTAGTTTATATCATCTCTTTAAAATAACATGAAAAGACACTTTGAGTAATATCATAACAGTAATGGGATGAAACAAAAAACAGGAAACATTTCTATTCAAAAATATGTATCCATCTGAACCCCGGCACAGCAGAGGCCCTGAACCCGTACCTGGCCCAAACGGCCCGAACGGACTTGAAGGGCTCCCCAGGGCCTAGTTACTGAGCCGTGTGACTCACTAGGGAAGAAGGGAAATGAGCTTTGTGCACACTTGCTGAGAGCTCATTTTATTTACCTACAAATTCACATGGAATCTCTCTGGGCAGAGGGAAAATGCCAGTCTTACTTGATCTATAACAGCGCTCCTCTATGAGTTGTTGTTTTAATTCTGATTATATTTGACACGTTGCATTGTCAGACTGATGAATGAATTAAAGTGGTCTGCACTGTCACCCCAGCAGGTGGCTGACAGGAAAAACCACTGCATTTATACCAAGGAAGCCACTCTCGAATCCAGTTCCTTGGGGTTCCCTCAGATACAAATATGTTAAATAATGAGCTTGTGGTTCAGAATTTTATCCCTGAGTAAGAAGTGGGAGATTACCAGGATTTTTTTTTTAATTCTTTAGATTAAAAAAGTAATCCTTTAAGATTTAGGATCTGGGGCTGGAGCAATAGCACAGCGGGTATGGTGTTTGCTTTGCACTCAGCCGACCCGGGTTTTAGTCCTAGCATCCCATATGATCCCTTGAGCACCGCCAGGTGTAATTCCTGAGTGCATGAGCCAGGAGTAACCCCTGTGCATCACTGGATGTGACCCAAAAAGGAAAAAAAAAGATTTAGAATCTTTTATATACTATAAAGAAACTAAATATTCCAAAGAAATAAGAAACTTGCATTTTATAGCAGTATAATAATAGTGGGACAGTATAGCAACTTGTTATTTGTTTTTTTTTTTTTTTAACCATACCTGGCTGTGCTCAGGGCTTAGTCCTGGCTGAGTACTCAGGGATCACTCCTGGTAGATTCTGGAGACCATACCGGGTGCCAGGGATCAAACCTAGATCAGCCTCGTGCAAGGCAAACACCCTACCTGCTGTACTATCATTCTGACCCATAAAGGTGTAGCAACTTTGGAGACAACAAAAGAAAGGGAAAGGTGGGGAAATTTATAACCTAGGAGCTAAACATTTACTAGGAGAATTAAGGTAGACAAATATTAATCTAAGATACAAGGGCTGCAGAGATATTAATATCTCTTGCCTGTGGCCAACCCAGGTTCAGTTCCTGCCACCACATATTGGTTTCCTGAGTGCCGTCAGTAGTGATCCCTGAGCACAGTCAGAAGGAATCTCTGAGTATTGCCTGGTGTAGCCCCAAAACAACAACAATAATAACAAACACAAAGATTTTATAGTTTTGATTCTAGTCATCTCCGCCCCTCTCAGAGAGCCCGCCAGTCTACCGAGAGTATCTCGCCTGCACGGCAAAGCCTGGCAAGCTGCCCATGACGTATTCAATATGCCAGACACAGTGACAAGTCTCACGATGAAGATGTTACTGGGCTCACTCGCAAATCGATGAACAACAGGAGGACAGTGACCATGAACGTGATTCTTCTCATTGACATTAGTAGATGCTTTACTTACTTGAGCAAGCGCCATCACACTGTCAAAATATTCTCTTCATTGAATCTCCATAACATTGAATTCTTTTTAGGTAATTATTTCCCTAAGTATTCTTTCATAGGAAGTTCTTTCTTCTTCATCTTCTGCAGCTTAGATTTGTTGACAAGCCTACTTTAAGAGAGAAGTTGAACATTGCTTTTCAAAGCACTTTATTCTCCAGGATGCTGTAGTTTTTGTTGATGATTGAATTTAAGTTACTGTGGAGTTTTGTTTGTTTGTTTTCTTATTTGTTTGCATTTATTTATTTTTCTGTATTTTCCCCCCTTAAGATGGCCACTAACATTTTTGTTTCTGGAAAGTGGATGGATATATAGGCAAATAAAAAGGAAATATGAACTATCAAATAGATGTCCTCTCCTTTTCTGCAGCTAGAATATGCGAGAGTCATGGGAAGCTGGTAGATTCCTGACTCACTCTGGGCGCCTGACCTAGCTTCAGTGTGTGCAGATTGCGTGAGTGAGTCTCCTGTGCGCACAGGGAGGTGTGTGAGGCCCCGCGTCCCTTAGGTATTCAGCTGCCCCTGCAGGTGGTTCATCAGTGCCCCTTGCTCCTGATGTGAGTCGCATTTTCCTGAGTTGCCCGAACTTACTGGAAACAGTGTGGAAACCCTTGTCTCGCTCTGTTCTCCAGGTCGGATCCGCACAAGACGGCAGAGCTCCGGGAGTGCCACCAACGTTGCCTCCACGCCTGACAATCGTGGCCGCAGCCGAGCGAAAGTGGTTTCACAGTCCCAGCGTAAGAAGTATATTTTATGCTCTCAGTTACCGTATGGTTCACTCATCCGCCCTTTCTCCAGCTGAACGTATTTACTTTGACCTAAGAGAGGGCGAGGGGGGGACAGTGCACACTTCCGAGGGTCTATGAGATTGTGCATTGTCTTGTCATCATTGGTTGGGTAACCTTACCGTAATCTCCTTTCCAGGTGATTAGAAATTTCATAGAGCTTAGAAATGACTAGTAAAATAGAGTTTTACTCCCTCCTTCAAGACTCTGCAGTTGAAGCATACCTGAGCAGCAGCCGATTTTTCTTTCGATAAGGAATCCTTCTGATGTCATTGAGTGGCTGTACCTGGAGAGATTTCTCTGAATGCCAGGTTCTCCTCCCAGTGGTGATGAGTCACTCCCCTCTAACCCTCTCTCCTTGTAGTTGCAGCCTGCTCTTCTCTTCTTGCTAGTGTGGACTCTCGCTTTGCTCAGCTGCTTTTGCTTCCGTTACTGCTTCTTGTATATGTTGAGTCAGTTAGTTTATTACCGTTAACCGTGAAAGTGGAATGAGTAGCTGGAGAGGGCTGCAGCGAGAGTCAACAGTAGAGTTTTCCTTGCACCTGACTGGCCCAGGTTCCATCCCCGGCTTCTCATACAGTATTCCGAGTGCCCCCAGGAGTGATTCCTGAGTGAAGAGTCAGGAGGAAGCCCTGAGCATAGCTGGGTGTGACCATACACTGTCCCACAAAAGAATGAATAGCTGGAGAGAAAGTATTTTGATTATTTTTAGTATACAGAACTGGTATCCCACATCCCAGCTGCGTGGAGTCCCCAGCCCTGTCTGTGCATGTAGCATAAACCTGCCAGCCAGAGCTCTCCCGGGCAAGGTGAGTGGAGGGCTGGGCGAAAGTCTCCCTTTCCCGGGAGCAGCATCTAATTTCTTCAGCATAGCACTCTTGTGCTGATGTGTGTCCGCTTCTTTCTGCCTGAGGAGCTGCCTGGATTGTCTAGAGAGCGCTTAGTCCAAGGCCAGACCTTAGGATCTCTTTCAGTATTTAGGATGGCTTGATTAGCTCTTTCCTAGTTCACTTTTCCATGTCCCTTTGATAATGCCAGTCCTCAAGTATAAGAACTTAGATCCTGTCTGGAAGGAAAACACCAGATCAAGCTACTAATGCCTCTGGTGAAGCTCCTTCAGGTTTGCCACACAGCAGTTTATCATTCACTTTACTGCACAACACAACACAACACACTACAGATTCTGAAAATATAGGCTAGAAGCTTCTACCTTGAGAACAGCATCTTGGTTGTGATTATTCTACTGACGACCTCATACCTATGGCTCAGAACTTATTGCAAAGAAAGTTTTGGGGGAAAAACCTGCTTTATATTCAGGCCTGGGGATTTTGATTCGTGTATATGAAATGGCCTGAGATCCACCCCCACATTGTGTGACCCCTCAAGACACTCTGGGCTCCTGAGCATCACATGTTGTGTATCAAAAAATAATGGAATCTCAGAATATAGGTCAGTTTGTTGAAACGAAATACTAAATGTGTAACCCTGTAGGTCCGTCACCCTGCATTGCCTTTCTTGAAGCAGGAGTGCTGGGCGTGATCTTACATTCCTTTGTTTACTGTTGGTTGGCATTAACCACCAAAGGGCTCTGTGCCTCTTGCTGCCTTTCTCAGTTCATGAGGTGCTTCAGAGTGAGGCCCTTTTTGTAGTAGGGGTAACGGTAATGAGGAGCTGTAGTTCTGCAGCCTCGTCATAAGCACCTTCCTTCTGTCCTGGGTTTCTTCTTTAAAGTCTCTTCACTATGGTCTGGAGAGAGAATTGAAGGGCCAGAGGGCAGCACTGCAATGGGGAGCCCCAAGTTTCATTTCCTGTACCTCATATTCCTTCCTTCCCTGCCCCTTAAGGTTGTTTTGGCCAACAAAACAACAACAAACAAAGCATTCTTAGTTTTACTTTTCTGGACACATTACACTCCCAAGAAGAGAGAAAAACCCAGCAAATGCTCAAGCCTGCATCTTAAATCTGTGCACAGAAATGAAATACTTTGACCTATTTAACAAATAACTGCAAATATATACATGTATACATATATGTAAGTGCAGGTGTAATAGCATTCATAGTCCTGGTTTAATAAAAAGTAGGTTTTATTAATAATATATTTAGGACCCTGAACAAATTAAAATTTAAATATTTGAGGAGTTAGCATAGGAAACTCAGGTGAATCTAGTTAAGGGAAGTGTGTTTCAATTCATTAAACTTTGTTAAGCACTTCCCATACGGTAAACAAATGATCAAACAAATGTGGTGCACAAATGATCAAGAAGCAATTAACTTCTCTCTGGTTGTTCAGACTGGAGCACTGGTCTCATGAGACAAACCACTTCTTTTCTCGTCCGATAGTGCTGTGCTTAGCACATAATATGTTTGTAAGTATTTCACAAAAACGACTGACATTGTGTACTAACCCATACACAGAGTATAAATAAACATTAAGGCCAAAGTAGTCCAGAAAACTTAGAAAAAGTAGCCATTTTGCTAATGTGTATGTGAACAAAGACATTTGTGTTGTGCTGCATGCTGACCTTCTGTATTGTGTTATTGTCTTTTAATCCACTTTTTGCCTGTCCTTTGGTCTGCTCTCCTAATCAAGGATCCAGATCTGCTAATCCTGCTGGTGGTAAGCCATTTCTCTTGCTGGTTTTTTTTTTGTTTTTTTTTTTTTTTTTTTTTTGCTTTCTCCTTCTTGTGTTCCTTGCATGATATTGATTGCTTTCTTTATTATGAGATTAATTAATCCTTCATTATTTTTTGTTTAAATTCTAGAATTTGAAATGGATTCCCTCCCCACCTCTTTTAACACAATTGAATAGTTTATGGGCAAAACTATCTAGTCCTGAAACAGATTTTTCATGAAATGTGTACTGGTGACTTTTACAATGAACTTTGCTTTATAGTGTTGTTAAAATACTGTAAAGTACTGGTTTTTGTGGGTAGTCCTCTTGTTTATTTTTGTGTGTTCGGATGTTTGTTTCATTTCCAGGTAAGTGTTTAAATGCCTTTTACCTCTGGGTCATTCTGTTCTGGTATATAATTATGTACATTTTATGTTTTAGAATTTTATTGTCTTCTCTACTAAAGAAGATGATCTAAGTAAATGACTGCCATTTGGTGTCTTGGTATGGTCCTTAATGTTTTGCTGTTTTCTAAGGGAGAATTTAGGTCCATAAAAAATGATCATAAAGGTATCTAGCTATACTTGGTCACTGATAAAGTTTATTGATTATATTATATAATTTAGATTTTTACTTTTATTGTGTAACTTACAATCTATATGTTCCATATGATTTATACTTTGTAGATTTTAGAGATTTACAATGAGACTTCACACACAGTTACTTTTTATGATATCCATAGATGGAAAGGGGAAAATATTGTTATTGTTTGTGGTATACACACATTTATATTTCAAAGCTGTATTAATTGGTACATAAAGATTCATAATTATATGCTTACAGACAATTACTCTTAGCAATATGAAATATTCTTCATCTCTTTAGTGTGGTGCACCTTATTTTATTATTTTAGATACAGATTTCATTTATTTTTCTGGCTTTTGAGCTACATCACTACTCTCAGGGGCAATTCCTGGCTGCCTGGGTGACCCTTGGCAGTGCTAGGGAGCCCCTATACTGTGCAGTTAATGTAACAAGAATTGGCTTTATGAAAGGCAAGCCCCTGGTCTGTCTCCCCAGCCCCCATTTTATTTTATTTTTAAAAAAACATCCCCCCAAAAAATAAAAATAAAATAAAAAACCAGAATATCTGAGGTTTTTCTTTTGCTGCTGCTGTTATTATTTGGGGGCATCCTGCCCATACTCAGGGCTTACTTCTGGCTCTAGGCGCAGGGATCACTCCTCGCAGAGCTGAGGAACCATCTGTGGTGCTGGGTCAGCTGTGGTTCTGTCACTCTGGCATTGACTATCTGTCTTTTAACACCGGACTTTAATCCAGAACATTTATTGCTGTAATAGTGTTTTGCTACCTAATTTGTGATTTTTATTTAGCAATTTACACACTTTTTTCTTTTATTTGTTAGGTTAATAGTCTCATTGATCCATTTTATTTTATCAATGTTTAAAAATTGTTGCTTTTCTGTTCTGTTGATTATACTTCAGTTTTTAATGTATCAGCTGTTGCAGACAAAAACAAAGCAGGGCCGGAGTGATATAATTGTGGGTAGGGCATTTGCCTTGCACTGACCTGGGTTTGATTCCCAGCACCCAATATGGTCCCCCAACAACTGAAAGGACTAATTCCTGAGTCCAGAGCCAGGAGTAACCCTTAAGCATTGCCACGTGTGACTTCAAAAGCGAAAAACAAAAACCAAAAAACTCACAAAAAATAAAGCACTAAAGAAGTATCTTTATCCATCTTTCCATCTCTAGATGGATTCTGTGTTTACTTGCCGTGTAGGTGGCCATCCTGTTTGATTCCCATCACTGAATGTGGTCCCTTGACCACCACCAGGGATCACCTCTGAGCACTACAAGACATGCTCCCCACCCCTAATAACCCAAAATAAAAATTAAAAAATCAGTACCTTTGCCACGATCTGTAGAAATTTGATGTGGAACAGGAGCTTTCTGTACTTAGCTTAAATTAGTCTTTGAAATTAAAATATTCAAGGTCATTTCTGTAAACATTTACATGTAATTTCTCTGTGCATAAGTACTCTTTCATACTAGCTTTATTTTTTTATGCTTTTGAATTTTACGAATTAGCATTCTCTTAAATGAAAGCTATTTTTATGTACCATTATCTTTATTATATCCAAATTACTGTGTTAACTGGCTCCCGGAGCACTGGTTTATATCTGTTCTTCCATTTTGTTTTGTTTCATTTTTAGCTGGCAGCCGATCAAGTTCCCCAGGGAAACTACTGGGAAGTGGTTATGGTGGCCTCTCTGGGAGCTCCTCAAGAGGCCCCCCTGTGACACCCTCTTCTGAAAAACGAAGCAAGATTCCTCGGAGTCAGGGTTGCAGCCGAGAGACAAGTCCAAACCGAATAGGATTAGGTAAGGATTCCCAGTGGTCTTGCCTGATGAGCATTTTGGTTTGGTTATAGTCTAATTACTTTGTCTTAAGAAGAAAAATGGGGTCTTATTTCCAAAGCAAGGATGTCACTCTGCCTGTGTTAAAATATATTTGTGTCCCTGTAATAAAATTATGGCATAGTCAAGTTTTAATTAATGCTAAAAAATTTGTGGTGCTCACTATTCAAGTTGACAGAAAAGAATCACATTACTGTGGCATTTGTTTCATAGCCCTGCTGGAAAAGCATCACAGTTGGCAGCAGGCTGGTATCTTTTCCTCCATTCTGAAGCTGTGTTGTTCTTTGACTAATTACCACTTAATAGCCATTGTCCTGTATAAAGTTCCAGAAGCAGTTTGTAGAGCAGCACTTGTCTTGATTTTAATCTTCCTTCACATAATTGATGAAAAAGCATATTTGACCAAAGACTATTTAATTCGTACATGATACTGCTCAGACATACAAATTAAGCATAGATGAAAACCAAATGTATAATATTTACTTTTGTGCTATAGTCTTTAATTTCTTTGCAAATGTGTGGAATAATACAAATTACTCAGGAGCGTAAGGACATTATATTCAAAGGCTGCTAATTGGTCTATTACCCTTTTTATTTTTAGTTTTTGCTTGCCAGTTTATTAATCAAATGTTATTAACTATTTGATTTTTAATGCATTTCTTATTTATACTAAAAGGTAAAAGGTAAAGGCCCTCCCGTTGATCGTCGATTTGCTCGAGCGGGCCCCGTAACGTCTCCATTGGAGACCTTGTTGTTACTGTGTCTGGCATATCGAATACTCTCGGTAGCTAGCCGGGCTCTCCGAGAGGGGCGGAGGAATCGAACTCGGGTCGGCCATGTTGGCCGCTTGTAAGGCGAACGCCCTACCCGCTGTGCTATCGCTCCAGCCCCTTTACCTTATTTATACTACCTTTTAAAAATACAAGTTATGTTATGTGGTTTAATGAAAAAACATCTGCTTGTACCTTTCCTCACTTTTTCTGCTTTCTGAGGATAAAAGCCTATACGAGAATTATATTTTTTTAGATTTGCCTATTTTTCTTAATAATTTGTCCTCTCAACAGTTACCACTTAAATGTTTACTGTGATTTACTATAGACATTACTAGACCTTTGGCTTAGAAAATAAAGAAGATAAGTGTAGCTTCAAAGAGCATGTGATCTTAGAGCTGAAAGTATAAGACAGTATGACAGAATACTATGAGAGGTGTTCTGACAGCAAAGAAAAAGGGATACCTCGGGTGAAGCCTTTTCTCCCTAACCCTTCCGGATTTTCCTGCTGTGTGAGAATTCCCAGAATGATCTTATTGAGATGCAGTGCAGGTGAGATTGGGAATTGGGCATTGGTGGGAAGACAGGACTAGAAAGGTATTCTTAGGGTGAGGAGGGCATGTTTTTAGCAGCTGAGGGAGCAGCATGTGTCTGCAGAAACAAGTGATTATTGAAGTGAAGGTGGTTTGTCTGGTAGGCTCAGGCAGATAAGGACCGTGGAACAAGAAGTCCAGCTTTTCAAAGCCTTTCCCTTATCGCCCCCACATTTTTTTTCTTTTTCTTTCCTCTTCTTTCTTTATTTTCCCTTTCTGTACTTTGTGCAGTGTCAAGATAAAACTCGTTGGCATGGGGACCGGAGCGATAGGATAGAAGGTTTGCACACGTTTGAGCAGGGCCCAAACCCCAGCATCCCATATGATAACCAAAGCATCACCAGGGCTAGTTCCTGAGTGCAGCGCCAGAAGTAACCCCTGAGCATCGCCGAGTGTGACCCCAAAAGATCCCCCTCACCTCCAAAAAAAAATCTTGGTGGGATGGCTTTGTAGCTTAGAGGGCATGGTTTACAGGTAGGAACCCACCCCAGGTAATCCCCTAAACTGCCGTTCCTCCAGCATTTCTGCCACACGTGACCCTCCCATACCAGAAAAAAGCATAAAACTTAAGGTTTGGGGGTAAACTATGAAAATGTGGGATAGATACTTAAGAAGTAGAAGTGAAATGTTGACAGGCTAACATTTCCACAGTAGGTGAAATATTGAGCGGTGGCTTTGTTAATCTATGTAGAAACCAGTTTTCTGTTGGTATTTCATAGCTTAAATGAACCAACAAGTTTCTTGGAAATAGTAACAGTGAGTAGTATGTGTTATACAGAGAAGATTATCCAGAGGAGATCTCTTGACTGGAATATCTTGAATTTCAAATTTGATGCTGTAGTCTTACTTGTTTGGGTTTGGTTTCATTGGGGAAACATTTGACTTCATGAATTCTACACATGAGACTTCTGTTCTTTTTTTATTGTCTTTAAGATAAAAGATAAAGATATTATTAAATAAAGATAAATCTTGGCAGTACATACAAATTAATTTCATATTTTTAATTTTTGTTTTCTTAGATTTTAGGTTTTTTGTACTAAACAAGCCATTTTGATATTCTTGAAACTGGAAAGTCGATGAACCCAGTTATCTAATGTAACATTGAGTTCTGATGGTCCCTAGTCTTAACTTTAAAATTTGTGTTGTAGAGAGTTGAAAAGACTGCATTTAACAAGCCTGTGAGCTGCACTATTAACTGTCTAGGGATTACATAGTTCTGTTCTCTTTCGAATACTTAACTTGAAACATTATTTTGAGTAGTGTGATCTAGTTGATACTTTTATTTTTTAGTTTCTTTAATGTAGGAGTACTGCTATTTATTCAGCCATGTTTGATACTTTTGAAAAAAGAATTAGTGATATATAAGGCTTTGAAGTTTAGACAGGTTCAGTTGGAGAGACTATGCACATCCACAGCAATACAAAATTTTATCTTCCCACTTCTTTTTTTTTTTTTTTTGGAGTCATATCCGGCAATGCACAGTGGTTACTCCTGGCTCTGCACTCATGTATTATTCTTGGCGGTGCTCAGGGAATCATATAGGATGCTGGAAATTGAACCTGCGTCAGCCGTGTGCAAGGCACACACCCTACCCGCTTGTGCTATTGCTCCAGCCTCTCTTCCCACTTCTTAGTACTACTTGGAGCTTCCTGATTTTTAAAATTGTTATTTTGGGGCCACATGTAGTGGCCTTACCTGCTGTACTATTGCTCTCCGGCCCCATGTGCCCGTGGTTTAATGCAGATAGGAGGATGTAGTGCTGCTTGGGGCCCTATAGTATCACTCTTTATTTTATCATAAGCTCTCATTTTAGAATAATATATATATTTAAATTGTTTTGTCTTTGTTTTGTATCCTACTTTGGACAAATAAAAATATCGGATAAATAGCTAATATCTTTAACAATATTTAAAAGTCTGCCTTTCATTTTCTTTTTCTCCACTCACTGTTGAAAAAGGCTATAAGAAACTTTTTTGTTCATTTGTTTGTTTGGGGGCCATGCCCAGTGGTGCTCAGGGCTTACTCCTGGTTCTGTACTCAGGGGTCACATCTGCCGGTGCTCAGAGGACCATAGATGCTGAGGATCCAACCAGGGTCAACCACATGCAAGGCAAACCCACTGTACTATCACTTTGGTCCCCAAAGTTTTCTTACTTTTCACTGCTTACATTTTCTGAAATAAACTTAAAGATTGAAAATATTTTTTAAATAATTGAAAATAAATAATTATTGCAGTTATTAATTTAGATCACTTTTTGCAAGACCAAAACATGAAAATACCTGTGCCTCATAGAGCTTTCCTGTGTTGAACTTTTGGGTAGTTTTATTACTGCTCCTAGTCTTCTGCTCTTTTTCTTTTTTTGCTTTTGGGTCACCCTCAGCACTACTTGGGGACACTCCTGGTGCAGTGCTCGGGGTGGTTCTCAGACGACCGTGTGGTGCCTTGGATTGACTCTCTGGGCTCCAGCAAGCAAAGCATGTGCTTCAGTCCTTTGAACAAGCTCCCCAATCTTCATGCTTCTGCTTTTGATGAGTTCTAGTAGGACCCTTTCTTAAATGGCAAAGTCAGGAGATTTCCCCTTAAAATATTAGAGTCTAGAGTATCTCTCAAGAAACAAAAAACCAACCAAATGATCTTTTAAAGACTTTACTGCGTTTCACAAAGGCTCTAGAGGAATACAGCTTTTAGAACATTCAAAGAGGTTTTTATTGTCTCTTCCTCCTGTTAGCCCTCTACCTTCATAAAGTAATCTCACCCAGAATGCTTAGTTTTGGCACTTAATGAGACCATTGATTTGGTATATTCCTTTTTAATTTTGTTACTTAATCTTTGTAATATGATTTATCTATGTATACTTTGACAAAAATCCTTGTAGGTTGATCGTTGGAAGTGGTTTTCAGTGTATGTTTTTCTTCTTATGTTTTACATTATTGAACATTTGAGCTATTGGCATCACCACTAAATCACTTTAGTAGTTTGAAACAACTATGGGTTGTGAAGGGTCTTTTCTGAATGCCTACTTATACCCTTATGTAACACCTGGCAGAATTGGTGAATGAATTTCCTAGAATGTCAGAAGATAAATAAACATTGTTAAGAATATAGGGCCAGCAAGATAGTACAGCAGATAGGGTCCCTGCTTTGTATGAGGCTGACCTGGGTTCAATTCCCAGCATCCCATATGGTCACCCAAGCACTGCCAGGAGTGACTCCTGAGTACAGAGACGGGTAACCCCTGAGCATCACTGTGTGTGGTTCCAACCAAGTCCACCTCCAGTCCCCAAAATGAATACGTACGTATATATAAACGTCTGTGTGTACATATATATATACATATGTACAAACACATAAATATACATACACATATATATTTAAATTTTCTATTTTCGAATATCTGCTTTCTTCTTCCTATGTTTTTTATTCTTTATAAAAAATCAGCACAGTCCTGGGAAAGAATTATCTCATTGATGTAACAATGATAAGGGAGTGGAAGCTGAGTGAAAATTCAGAAGTAATCAGACAATAACCATAAGAAAATGCACAATTAAGTATTTATATAAACCAAAAACTCTGTGTTTAAAAGTTATATATTGGGAGTGATAGTACAGTGGGTAGGGCATTTGCCTTGCACGCGACCAACCCAAGTTCGATTCCCAGCGTCCCATATGGTCTCCTGAGCATCGCCAGGAGTGATTCCTGAGTGCATGAACCAGGAGTAACCCCTGTGCATCACCAGGTATGACCCAAAAAGCAAAAATTAAATAAAAGCACCCTTCTTAAAAAAACAGTTATATATTGATTATTTACAGTGAATGGAATAAAACTTTTATGTATGCCTCTTTTTTTTTTTTCTTTTTTGGATCACACCCGATGATGCACAGGGATTATTCATGGCTCTGCACTCAGGAATTACCCCTGGAAGTGCTCAGGGGACCATATGGGGTGCTGGGAATTGAACCCAGTGGGCCGCGTGCAAGGCAAACACCCTACCCACTGTGCTATTGCTCCAGCCCCCTTGTATGCCTTTTTAAAAGGATCTCAGAAATATTTACATATGTACATCACCTCATAGTATGTTTCTCATTTAAATTATGGAGCTTTTTCTAAATCTTTCAAGGGGAGACTTAGAACCAGAGAGGCCAAGTGATGGGACTGGTGAATTACCGTAAACTGGAAAGGACATTTCATAAAGTAGATCCGATATTAATCATCTGAACCTAAGCAGCATTGCTTTATAATCTAGACAAATTCTTATGTATCCGTGGAGTCAGTAGATAGTCCCTTGTTTTTTAAGGATTTGATTTAGTACCTGCAGCTTTAGTCCTTAACATAAAAGCTATATTCATAATAATGTTAAATTATTAAGAATGTTTTCAAGAACTACCAGTGCATCATGGCTACTTTAAATTCTCAGGGATTTTTGTGTTGCTAAGGCACAGGAAGCAGATTTAGGCATTACAGAGAGTCTCAAGCAAAACCTTTCTTTGATTCAGATATTACTTCTGTGTGTGACTTACCTATGCTTGCCAGGACATACCTGAACACTTGGGTTTTTTGTTTGTTTGTTGGGGGCCTTTCCCATCAGTGCTAAAGGCATCCTCCTGGCTCGGCACTCAGGGATCACTCCTGACCAGGGCTTGGACCATATATGTTGCCAGAGATCAAACCTGGTTTTGGTGTGTACAAGGCACCAGACTATCTCTCCAAAGCTAACACTTGAACATTGTTCACAAACATTCAGGCTCTAATTCAACTCTTAACATGCTGTCAACAGAGAATACAGTAGGAAAGCAGTTTTTTAAAAAGATTTTTTTTTTTTCAAATTTCCACACTCTTCACTGCAGTTTTTGTTTGGCCAATAAATTGACCATTGCTGTGAAATAATAGGCTATCCTTATTATAGTATAGTAAAAATAACTATGTGAATCAAGTTGGATTTTTAACATTTCTTTGAAAGGTATTTCTCTATAGTCCAGAATTAGTATATCCTTTTTTGGGGGGGGGTCACACCCGGTTATGAACAGGGGTTGTTACTCTGGCTCATGCACTCAGGAATTACTCCTGGCAGTGCTCGGAGGACCATAAGGGATGCTGGGAATCAAACCCGGGTGGGCTGCGTGCAAGGTAAATGCCCCTACCCGCTGTGCTACCACTCGAGTCGCAGTATATCCTTTAAAAATGGAAAAAATTACTATTTCTAGTGGCCCTTACTGAAATAAGTACACATAGTCACTATGCAGATTTGTTTCTGCATATTTGCCTTACTGCATTTTGATATTTTTTTCCAATTATGGTCTTTTCTGTGCATTATAGCCAGATTATACTAGACATTACTGTGAGTGACTGTCTTCTCAGTTTTCTACTCATGACAATAGTTAACTCATCCATTAATAATCATAGTAATTGGCAATTTTCAATCAGTGGAGGGATCCTTTAATATGGATGGCTCTTTGAACTTATCAGTACACAGACTATAGACTGATGTATAGGGCTGGGTTAGTGAAGGTGCTTAACCGGGACCAGAGGTGGAAAGCAGGGATTAATTATTGGGACCAGTAGAAGAAAGTGGATCAGCAATCAGTCTCTTTAACTGTTGGTTAACTGTTGGTTCAGTTTGAAGTATGGACAGTGTCTAATTGTGTCTAATTAGACTTCTTTGCAAAGAAGGCTAGGCTGGGAAAAGTGAACACTCTTCCTTTCAGTTAGGTAAGTTCATGGATTTCAGTGGCCAGAATCTTTTATTTTTCTGTCTTTAAAATCCATTTAAAATTATCTAAGAACTTAGTGCATTTGAAAATGGCTTTGGTCTTTATCCTCTTCTGGACATGTTTGCTGAAACTATGAAAACTGATCGTGTCCGAAAGACTTTTGGATCTTGTGTTTTTTGCCCCCCCATTGCCAGTTTGCTCTTTGGAAAGCTGTCTTTTTCTTTGGAAGCTTTTCTTTTCATTTCTAACATTTGCGTATGATTTCACCTTCCTACTAAAATGTGTAGCTTTCGGAGGCTTTGACCGCAACAGAGGCATCCTGCAAAATTCGCTCCTATTGTCAAAGAGAGTCAGGGAAAGATCAGCGTGGCTTGGTGTTCGGTGGTCAGAACTCCTCACGCTGGCCACTTCGCTCGGGATGACTTGAACAGAATGTGACTGACATTTTGTGAGTTTTCTGCCTTCATTAAACTTGTTCACCTTCTCTGAAACCCCTCATGCTGCACACTAGCACGGAGCAGCCGTATCCCTCGACCCAGCATGAGTCAGGGGTGCAGCCGCGATACCAGCCGTGAGAGCAGCCGAGATACGAGCCCTGCTCGGGGCTTTCCTCCGCTTGGTGAGTACCCGTAGGCGCTGACTCTCAGAGCAAAGAGTTCCTTCCCCGCTCCAAATGCTTGTCCGAGACACCGCTGGGTGGAATGACCTGCTTTCCCTCCTCTGCTGTCTTGTGATCCTTTCTTCTTTCTCTCCTCTTCCTTAGTTCCCCTTCGTTGTCCCCCCTCTGCATGCTTAAATTGCGGCAGCTTCCGATTTTGATAATATTGGAGGAAAAAAGCACCACTTCACTTTGTACAGCCGTTGTAGTTGGCCACTTGCTTCCAGGCTCGCCCCTCTGTGGTAATAACATTTTCTGCTTAGAAGTAACGCTGCTCCAGAGCATAGCTATAATTACTGACTTTGGAATTACCTTTTCTTTTTTTTTTTTTTAATTAGTGGCAATTAGGCCATATGTGATTGAGTTCAAGTAAGAAGTCAAAGAAAAGCACAATAACATTTAGGAAACAAGAGTTGATGGCATTAGTCTTACAGCAGCATGAAGATACTAGCCACGTTTTTTTGCTGAGTGAAAGCTTTCTTTAATGCCATACTAAAGCGGCACTTTGATTAAACTTCTGAGTTTGTGCAACACAGTGCAGAACTGTACGACATTCACTGTTAACTCCAGATATTTTTATTCTTCCTGGGATCCATAGGCTGTTTAATGTCTGTGACTCATGCCATCCCCATACCCACCCTGCCTCCCCCCCACCCCAAATCAGTATTGGGTTGCCAGGAACTACTATAAGTGTGTATCTCATATAGCTAGCCATATGCCCATGAAGCTGTCTTACTTCTCATCCCCTCAGTTTTTCTTATAGCCAGAATTTATATTTTCAAAATTTCAGGATGTCATATAAAAAGAGAAACTTGTATTCTTTATATTTGACAGTTACCTTTCCTTTTTTAGTTTTAATAGTCTTGCCCTGTCTCTAAAATGGGCATATTTTAACTTTTTCACCTGGTGCAAGTTATTAATCCTTATAGATAACCATCAATGCATACTTTCACAAAAAAAGATACTTTGTATTCTTCAGTCAATGCAGTATTTTCTTCTTGGTTTAGTGTAATAATAGGTGGAAATAATTTTACAGCGATTAGCCCTAGACCTGAAGTTTTTTGGAACTGTTGGACAGGAGCAGTCTGCTGTTTCAATTCTAATCATATAGCCAGACTCTTACTGTATCAAGGTCAGTGCCAGAGATGGATATTATCACCAAAAGAATGAAGGTCTTAATATTTGCCTCTATCCTCTTCTAATGTCAAACGCTTCTTCTGAATATCTTTTTTTCTCAATTGATGTCAGTAATCAAGCCCTGATATTTCTTTATGACCCATTGTCCTTTGGGCAGTACTGCAAAAGAATAGGTCAACCCAGGCAGGAGCCCTGCCCTGTGATTCCCGGGACTCCGAGAGAAGGCACCTTTAGGAGACGGTCAGTCTTACTAGCATTGCGACTCCAAGAGGGACAGCTCGCCCAGAACACACTAGCTATCCCACAGCAGTCTGACGCAATAGGTCAGAATTCTCAACAAATCAGGACAATGATGATTGCTTTTTTTATTTTTATTTTTTCCTGAATGAACTGGTGATTTTTCCTTTTAATTAAAGGCTATAAACCTATGCATCCTTGCTCAGCTTCTGACCTTCCCAACAACCTGTTATGAGTGAACAGTCCAGGCTGTGTCTGACTGTTTCATACCTCTTAGCAGCTACTCAGCGTCTGTATTTCATATGTGTCCTTGTCCTTCTGTTCCAGTCCATGGAAGCAGCTTTTGTAGTCCAGCATGTTGTCTATGGACCAGGCAAAGAGGTGCTGAATTCTTGAGGTCCTGATTGAAGCTTGAGTAGTTCAGTGGTCTTAAGTCTGTTTTTCACTTTTTTTCTTTGCTAAAAATTCATTTGCTTAAATGTCTGCTTAAGAGTGTTGAAATGTATCATGTACAAATGTATACGCAGTCAGAATATACTAGCCACTATCTCCCCTTCCTATGGAAAGCTAGCATCAACACGTCTTTTGTTGTAGTCTGGGCAAAAGTTGACATTGTTTGAGCTGAATTTTTATTCCATGGCTTTTCTTTCCCTCCCCCCAAACTCCCCATGAATTAAATCTGAAGCTTAGTCCAGTTTAAAAAAAAAATGGTGCTTGCATGCACCCAGTATGATTCTGAGTGTTTCGTGGGCATAATCTTCTGTGCTGTGTCTACCCTCGAGGACAACATTGTTCCCCTATGCCAGATGACAAAACAAGGACTTACATAGATTAAGTCACTGCTTTTTAATTAATTAATTAACTTTTAAAATCAGATGGGGTGCCACTCTCTCTCTCTCTCTAGCCCCAGGTGAAGTCACTTTGTCTCAAGATTACACAGCTCAGAGGTTGAGGTGGAGTTTGAATACAGGTCTGACTTCAAAGCTTGAGCATTACCCTTCGAGTTTTGAAGTCCAAGCTCGGGTGTGAGAAGGTGCTTGTCCCCACAGGCACTTCAGCTAACACAAAGTTTCCTTATCCTCATTCATTTTAATAAGCCTTTCCTATTCCCTTTATAAGTTGGTGAGATTGTGTGTTAGTGTCCTTTAACTCACACAGCTACACATAACTAACAGGGAAAGTTTTTCAGTGAGCAAATAGTTGATGGTTTGCACTTTTACTGCAAGATTATTTGGGGTTATTTCAATGGCACGGATATATATGATGACACTGAAAACTTGTAAATGAAATTATGGGCTAGGAACTGTTGTAAATCAGACTTGGATCTAAGTCACTTACTTTTGTTAGGGGTTCATGAACATATGTGATAGAGACTCATCATCTGATTGATTTGCTGTGGAATATTCTATTGACACGAAAGACTATAAGAAACTTTCAGATTGAACCTTAGTTTAAATCCTATATTTCATTTAAACTATCACAGTACAGTGTTATGAAAGCTGTAGAATATTATCAGTTTATTTCTGTGCAGCATGAGGAATTAGGAATTTTCTTTTCCTATTTTGTCTAACTTCTGCATGCTGGTAAAATTTGCCTGTATTGATCACGTAATCTTTGCTATTTAATACTACATACAGGTATTATAATACCACAGGTATGAGCATTTGATAAAGTGGCATGAACTTAAATACTTTAAATTCTATTGAAGAGTTTTAGGTTTTCATATTTTATAACTAAATATATGTTAACATGTACAGGATACTATAGTTGTATGAATGAAATATTGCATGCTTAGCAATACTCTGTTAAGCCTATGAATTTCCTGTGGTACTATCATGTTTTTTATAGATTACTAAAAGAAGCTTTTCCTGAGGTAAAGAAAAGCCATATGATAATGGTATCATGGTTTGAACTAATGCTAATATTTCATGGTTAACTTGAGAAGTTGCTGACTCCATGATGATGGAGTTAGTATACCCGTCCTTGGAATGATGAATTATATGCTTATTGTGAAAACTTGCTAAATAATGTTTAATGTCTGAATGTAAAGTGGAGTTTGTATACAATCCTGTCACCACCCACACCACCAGCCCCATTATTTTTATGACAGTTACTCTGGCACCATTTTATATGTTTTTTATATATACACACACACACACACGCACATATATATACACATATGTGTGCGTGTGTGTGTATATATGTATATGTGCGTGTGTGTGTGTATATATATATATATATATATCTGATCCCTTGAACTCTCAAGAGGTGGGTACTAACTTGGTCCCATTTTACAGGTGAGAAAACTGAGGCACAGGGAAGTCTGGTACTTTGCCCTAGGTCCTATAGCTGATTTTCCCCAAACCTAGATTTTGACTCCAGTTGTAGTTCAGAACTGGTGTTCATAGCCAAAGTACACAACAAGTGCCTCTCCCAAGAATGTCATTCAGCCAATTACAACTAAATTTCCAACAGTCAGATAATATAGGCATTAATAATGAGGATACTCATGCAACAGAACAGTAACAAAAAAAATTAGATTGAGGAAAAGAATTCCAATTGTGTAGCCCCCTTGTGATTTCATTCTATTTCTGTTCAAATAACATTATGAACTTCTATGCTTTTGTTTTTGGTGCATGGTTGCATATGCATCACACCGATGAGACATCTCGTGAGCCGAGTTAGTAATCCATCCTCCTCCTGTTCCACTCTGGGGTGTAATGGTGCACTGTGACTCCCGATGTTCTTCATGTTGCATATTTCCATAATGACTGCTAGAGGCTTCGTGGCGTAACTATCCACCTGGAGTCTGAGTTAGTCGATGCATACAGTATGGAACACCTCAAAGAGTGCCTTTGTTGTGCCCGTGTGTTTCATAGCTGCGCGAGAGCCAGCAGGTGGCCATGAGGTTTGGGAATTGGCATTTGCCATCATTCATCCCCAGCACCATTTCTTTTCATGAGCAAACATGGCCTTGTTGGTAGCAGTCCCTGCATTCCCTCTGGACTGTGGCATTTCCTGTCTCTGGTACTTCTGTGTTAATCCTGTGGGTGTTGCCGTTCCTTTTACCTGCAGCCTCTCGACGTCATTCCAGGTCCACTAGTGCTCTCTCCACTGCTGAATCTGTGGGGCAGTCAGGTGAACAAGTGCTAACTGCATGACTCGGCTTCTTCATGTGTTCTAGTTTCACACTCATTTAACATTTGTTTTCATCAGTGTCGGCTAGCACTTGGCATGTATGCACCTCATGTTTTTTTTTTTCTGATGTGCTTTAATTTTTTTTTAAGTTGTTGAATGTTTATGGTTCTGTTAATAGGCTGTAGATGCTTTTTAGCCTGTTTGAAAATATCATTTCTCCAGTGTCCATATTTGTGTTAAAAACAATCAAAAACAACAACAAAAATGAGAAAGCAGTTCTTTTCCCTTTTACTCCCTCCCCAAAGAGAATAACCAAAAATAAATTTCTTGAAAGGTCATTATGGCCTTTGGGTATGCATATCATCCAATGGACTCTTTCATCTCCAAAGTTCTTTGCTCCCAATAAAGTGATTATTAATGTCAGTTATTAATGTCAAGGTGCTAATCATTTGGAAGCACTGTTTAGCCACCATTTGTTCCAAATTGTAGTATATGGAATTTCATATGTATACAAATAAATGCATTGTCCTAGTACTTTTACAGGAAAATAAATTCACCATTTAAATGACAATAAAGTGAGGCTAAAGGTAGTAGCCTTTGCAGCCTGCAGGCCCTAAAATCTTCCATTTTCACCCCAGTGAGTAATACCAGAAACCCCCTGATTGGCAACTGGGGCAGAAAGCAATAAGCCAACAATTAATTATACAACAGTCTGCCAGATTTAGCTATTACCATTTTGATATGCTGATCGTCTCCAAGTTAAGTGAGGCATATCTTTAAAAGGTAGACTGTCCATGGTGAGAGCTGTGGCCAGTTCACAGCATGAGGCATTTCCTATGTTGCCCCTGAAACTGGCTGTGCATTTTATCAGATCTACTCTGATGAGTGTATTCCCTGCAGAGGAAGGGCCAGACCCAGGGCACAGTCATAAGTATCCATTCTCTGGAGATGGAGCTTCATCCGAGTTACAGCACTGAGAATGCAGAGCAGACCAGCGTCTGGTGAAAACAAAGGCTTATAATTTTGTTTGAATCCAGACAATCATTTGTCCTTAAGATCTGAAATTCAAATTATCTATGTTAGATATCACATGATTTGCAGTCACTGTGTATGGCAAAGCAGTATGCATCTGGGAAGAATAATTGCATTGTTCTTACAGTTTTAATTTTGTCTGAAAAATCAGTATTATCCCTGGAGCAAGAATTGCTGGCATGAGATCTACTTTTTTTTTTAAGACTCTATTTAAGTTTATGCTGGGTAATTTTTAAATGGCTTATAACTGAATTATTTTCATTTTGTTCATAAATCTCTTACTATCTACCCTTTTTTAATGGAAAGCAGTAAACACAGTTCGTTTATAAACCATAAAACAAATTTTCGTGTTTCATTTCAGCTGATAAATTCGTATATTTGTAGGTATGTAGATATCACTATTTTGTCTTTATAGGCACATAGATTTTAAAATACAACCATAATTTTAAGCAATTCAGTGTACTGACATTCATTATAATCAGTACATTAAAAAAGGGGATAGTATACATACAATTTTTGTTTCTTTATAAAATTCATGATTGTATATAACTTCTGATTAGCAATGTTTAATTGTTTTTATTTTCTGTGGCAGTGCAAAGTGTAATGTTTTGAAATTGATATTTTAAAAAAAGCAAAGTAGTATTTCACTTTTAAAGTTAACCAGTTGTTTAGGTTATTCTTACTCTATAGCTGAAACTTTAAATCCATTATCTTACAGGAAAGAAATGCTAGTTTTTATTCTAATCCTTCATTACTAGAAGTACTGTAAAAAATAAACACTAGCTTTTTTTTTACTAAAATATGGTTAACACAGATTTTTTCTTGTCTAAACACTTTCTCTTTTGTTAACAAAGACAAAATATTTTTCACCTTAACCTTTTTTCTTCCAAAGGTTTTTTTTTTACTGAAAAATAACATTTTAAATAAGTTAGTATGAGCAGAGAGCTTGATATACTTTTAAAAAATAAATTATACCATTTCTCCTGTTATAGTTTAATCTCAGCACTTTATAAGGAAGGCTTAGTGGGACTTCTAAAAAGTTCATCTTGGGCAGGGAAGTGACTTATTAGAACATAGTCACATACCACACATATGTAGAAGCCCTGCTCCATGTCAGCATCTTCTTGCCCCTGTCCTCCCCAAATTAATCTTTATCTGTGATTATTAGCAAACTTAAAATAGTTGTCTGAACAGCTAAAATTAATTTTAAATAAAATTTAAGCAAAATTAAAATTTTTTTGTGTATAAAAGCTGTCATTTTCAATTCCCCTTACAGAACTCGAGAAAAAAATTATACTGGTCTTGTTTGAGTGTTTAATGTTTTACAGAGAGGATATTAATTTTTTGTAGTGATTATTAAAATTTTCCAACAAAATTATTTCTAAATACACATGATACATTACTAACAGGTTCTTAAGATTAGTTGCACTTAATAATGGCTGAAAGTAGTGGCACTAATGAAAATTTCCACAAGTCGGTTGAATTTGTTTCAGACACTATAAAAAAAAATAATAAGGTGCACATTTCATTAGAACTTTTGTCCAACCACAATGCTTTCTAAATAGATTTGAAGACTCAGTCATAAGCCAGCTCCCTCCTCTAAAAAAGGTCCCACCCCATCATCTGTACCTCAACTTTTCAAAAATAAAATTTCATTTAATCCCTCTTTAAATGGTCAGGATGATTTACGGCATGATATTCTTAAATACAAAAAACTTAACCTCAGCCACTGATAAACCAGTCAGTTGTAGCTAAAACCAACAGTCAGGCCAGAGACCTTTCTTTGCCTCTCTCCAGTAGATGGGTAGAGGCAGGGCCCCTTGCAGAGAACTGAGGACATTTGAATTGAAGTGACACGTCTCTTGCTTTTTCTATTTTTTTCTGTTTAAATAGACCGGTTTGGACTTGGCCAGGCAGGCCGAATACCAGGTTCCGTGAATGCCATGCGAGTTTTGAGCACAAGTACAGATCTTGAAGCTGCAGTTGCAGATGCCTTGGTAAGAGCCCTGTATCAAGCGTCTGAGCTATCCACCTCTCATGTTTTTCTCTGTCTAACAGGAAATTGCCTCGAACGTGCTAACTCATCTTTGACAGTCTTGAAAATTGTGTGGTTATGGGTAAATTGGTGTTGCTTTCTTCATAGATGTTCACCTTCTCCATGTAAGAGAAAATGGCCTCACCAGAAAGTATTACTGTCCAGTGTAACTCCTGTGCTCCTAAGTAACAAGGAAGTTTAGATGACATCGGGTTTCTCTGATGCCATGGGCTTCTTACTTTCTTTTATCCACTCTCCCCTGCCCCCAGCATTTCTTATTTCCATTCTACTGCTTCTGTTGCTTTACAGGCTCTGATGGCATGCCTAAACATACTGTTAAGCCAGTCAGTAATGGAGTTTGAAGCTTAAAAAAAAATCTTCTATTGATTCTCCTCCTAGTTGTTCCATATGATTTTATGTTTCTAGTTTTTGGTTTTTAATGTGTCTTTGAGTCACTATTTAAAGACTCTTTCCCAGATTCTCTTAAATTTTTGTTTTGTTTTGTTTTGGGCCAGACCCAGCTATGTTTGGGGCTAACTCCTGGTTCTGCACTCAGGAGTCACCCTGACTGTGCTCCAGGGACCATATTGGATGGCGGGGATCCATCCTGGGTTAGCCAACGGCAAGGCAAATGCCCTCCCCGCTGTACTATCCCAGTCCCATTTTTCCAGAGTTTAAGATGAGCTCTTTGAGGCTATGAAGATGTGGTAGAATAGATTTTTACTTCATGATAAAGTAATACATAAAAAAAGTAGTATCTATTTCTATATATCTAATGGTTCTAGCAAACAGGTTCCGTGGTAGAATCAGATTATAGTCAAATGGCTTTTTAAAGACACATTCCAGCTAGCAGTAAGACAGTCTCTGCATATTAGTTTATGTGCCTGGCACTTAAAACAGGCAACTCTTGAGGACTGTTTGGTCTTGCTTGTGCTGTTCAAGACTTAATCTCTTCTAAGGAAAAGGATATTAGAAAATGCCCTGTTTCCAGGCCCTAAACATTTTAAATACAGCCTTTTTCCCTCAGATAAATTTTACACTTTTCAACGCCAGGAACTCTCTCTTTTGTCCCATCTCTTCTCTCCCTCATTTATTCTTGCTCAGTCAGATTTTCTTTGACAAATATCTCTGAGCCAGCAGTGTGGTTGGCCTGTAAATCCAGTCTCCCTGGCCAGCTCTATTCCTGATACATAGAAGGGTTTTTATTTTTAACCCCAGACAGATACTGGGATTCAGGATGATGACCCTCGTCCTGACCTTTACCATCAGAGTCTCGTGCACTGGAACAGAATTCTGTGGAGTTGCTTAAGTTGAAGTAGCAGGTTTAGAGTCTTCTGTCTAATCAGAGCCCTTCAGAAGTACAGATCAGCAAGGTGGGATATGATGAATATGTGAAATGCTTGTTAAATTGATCTTCCAAGTAAATGCAGGAGGGTCTCACAGTTCTTTAAAGAAATGCACAAGGAACTATGTACAAAGCTTGAAGGTGCAGAACAGGATGTAAGAGTTTGAGCTTAGGCTTTATTGAACTTGGACTTTCTTCTGAGTTCTAACTCTCATTACAGTCAGGCTGCCCTTATCACTGTTCTGCCCAGACTTCTCTGTCTCTCCAGGTGAGCTGCTTCAGCAGAGCGAACACAGGAATGGTACACAGTCTTTGCCTTACAGATCAGAAGACCAGGACAGGAAGACAGAACATATTTTAGGAATAGACAGCGGAACATATGGTGACTTTAGAGTGTCACCTCAGGGGTAGGAGGACAGTTTAAGCAAGGAATTACTGCAAGAAAGAGTTAAAAAGTGGTCACAGGTCTTATTAGAGATGTGAGAGCATAGGAAATGCCATTTGTGAAAGCTTCCTTGATTATTATGCGCTTGATATGAACCGCTTGCTAACCTGTATTTTTTGTTTGCTCAGATATGTTTTGCTGTACACTTTTGTTGCAAGAACAATCCCCACATACGCTTCTGACATAATTCTCTATGCTTTTTCCCTACCCTTCAATATTTTCCTGCCTACAGCTGTTAGGAGACTCCAGGAGCAAGGTACCGGTGCTTTAACTTTTGTTTTACAACTTTTATTTTTTGCTGTTGCGAGTATTTTAGGAGCTAGTGAAAGCAACCCCCCCCCCCCCCAAAAAAAATATTGTTTAGAAATTCTGGTCTGAATTATGATTTCGTTGAATCTGGTGAAGCTTTTGTTAGTGATGGATTCAGTCACCTTTCACATTTGTTTTAGTGTTTCTTTTGATTGTCAAGCTCTTCTGTTCCAATTAATGTTTCATTTTATTTATTAACTCAGTGTGTGTCTACTCTGATGTCATTATTTTATGAATGGATTTATTCAACTCTTCTCTTACTCTAGGAATCTAATTTCTGTATAAATAACAATTCATCATCCTAACAAAGATACTTTTGAGTGTGGAAGAAGGTGCTGTTAATAATTATGATGGGACAGTAGACTTCAGAAAGCAGACCTGTGCTGAGCAGATTGGAACATATAATAAATCATTAGAAAATGATTTTTGTATAGTTTAGGCCAAGAACTTACTCTCTTGTATTAAAATTTTTTATCAGTTTTATATAACTGTTGATAAATTATTTATGTTTTATGATTTTTAATTCCAAGTAAATGAACATATTTATTCTCTTCAAAGAAATAAATAATGTGATTATTGTAGTCTACAGGAAGCCTCCTTACATTACAAAATGATGATTTAAGGGTCCTTTACTTAGATTTCTCTGCCACTGATATTCAGTTTTATTTATTTATTTTGATTCTTCAGTTTTACACTTGAAATCATGAATATTAAGAGGATAATTTGCCTAAAGACTAATCCCACTCACCATCTATTGCTCTTAATTAGGAAGAGGTTGCCAGGTGCACATACCTGCCATAAATTAAGAGATGAACCAGATCAGTTAATAGATACATTTTATCCTGTCATCAAGCCTGTGTGAGGTCACCCTGTCCCTGTCTTGAATAAGGACTGAAGTTCGAGGGCTCCGGGCTTTCTGGAGTAACACAGTCCCTCCGCATGGCCGCAGGACCATCACCCAAGGTCCATTTGGCTGGCACCATCCACACTTTTCCTGAGAACCTGCTGCTTTCTCTGGGCCTCTCTGTTTTTTCTCTTTACTACACCTTCTAGGTGACTGCTCTTCTGTTTTGGTTTCCCCAGTCTGTAAACAGCACAGGGAAAATGTGGTGCGTTGTTTACGTTTTGTGTGTGTACGTGTGTGTGTATGTGTGTGTTTTCCTTTTTCATTTAAACTCTTTGTTGTTGATTTTGTTTGGTATGACTCATGGTCATTTCGCCTTTCCATTTCTTCCTCAATCACCCCCATTTCTCACTGGATCTGGCAGAAGAAGCCTGTGAGGAGGAGATATGAGCCATATGGGATGTATTCTGATGACGATGCCAACAGTGATGCCTCGAGTGTTTGCTCTGAGCGCTCCTATGGCTCCAGGAATGGTGGCATTCCCCATTATCTGCGGCAGACTGAGGACGTAGCGGAAGTTCTCAACCACTGTGCTAGTTCAAACTGGTCAGAAAGGAAAGAAGGGCTTCTAGGCCTGCAGAACTTACTGAAGAGCCAAAGAACGCTGAGGTGAGGACCCAAGGACAAAATTGTGGGTTCAGTTTGAGTCCTATTTTGCACTCCTCAGGCTTAACTCATTTCCCTGTCATTAATGGAGGGCTGATACAGTTTCAGGTGCTGGGAAAAAAGACACTAAAGGGGCTAAGGTCTTTGCCTTCCAAAAACGTTGTGGGGGCGGGGGGGCGGGGGGGAGCTGGAGTGATAGAACAACAGATGAGGCACTTATCTTGCACACAATCAACCCAAGTTCAACCCCCAGCATCCCATATGATACCCTGAATCTGCCAGAAGCGATCCCTGAGCACAGAGCTAGGAGTCAGCCCTAAGCACGACTGGGTTGACCCAAAACGCAACAGAGAGAGAGAGAGAGGAAAAAGAGGTGGAGGGGTGGGAGAAAAGGCGCTTGCACACGCAGCTGACCTAAGCTTGATCCTCAACATCCCATGTGGTCTCCTGAGCATGGCCAGGAGTAATCCCTGAGCACAGAGCCAGGGGCAACCCCCGAACATCACCAGATGAGGGCCCGAAGCCAAAATAATAATAATAAAACTACTTTGCAGGTTGGTATCATTCATTACACTTTTGGATAATTTGATAAGCAGTGTTTAAATATACACACATGCATAGGAAGAGGCTAAAATGGAGGCCATCAAACTAGTAATTTAGAAATCTCTTGATAAGCACCGATCTAGTCTAGATCGAGTTATTAATATTGTCAAAGTACTGTTGGTCCCAGCTGTCTCGTCCCTGTGGGAGGACATTATTCAGGAATGATTTCAGCAGGAGCTGACCCTTCTCTCCGGCCTTGACGTGAGTGGGGTTCGGCGGCTGGGGACATGCTCAGCGGTAGAGCACTTGCCTTGAGCGTGCGAGGCGCTGGGTTTGGTTCCCAGCAGTTCGAGATCCCTTGAACCGGGAAGCTCCTGATCACCACTGGGAGTGGCCGAAACCCCTTCCTCACCCCCAGTGAAGGGGAGTGGGTGATTCAGGAGGACAGTTGAAGATGAGAGAAAACAAAAGAGCTGCTAGGGTGAAGTGAGTTTTGGCTGTGGTTTCGGCACATTGTTGGCAAGATGTGCTCTCTCTTCTTCAGTCTTCAGCAGCCATGAGAGAGCTTTTCACCTGCTAAATGACCTGGCTATAAAGATACCAGGGTACATGGTCGGTAGTAGAACTAAATTAAGCGCTAGGTCTGTCGGTCCCCCACGCACATGCTTTTCCCAGTTGGGTCCATCGTCTTTCATCTGTGGCAGGAGAGAGAGATGTGGATTTCATTCACGACTTTGTCATTTTCACGTCTGTGAACTTGGGCAGCCAGTCCCTAATAACTCAGTGTTCTCATCTGAAAAGGAGAGCAAAACCACTGTGGTTTTATCTTCCTGTTTAACTTCACCATGAATTCATAAGACAGTTCATCTTTTTAAAAAAGGCTTTGTTATATTTAAAAAAATCATAAAAAGAAGGTATACAAATTGACTAAAATAAAGGGATTTTAAAAATCACATGGAGGGCTGGAGCGATAATCCAGTGGGAAAGGCGCTTGCCTTGCTTACCGTACCTTACCTTGGTCTGACCCAAGTTCGATCCCTGGCATCCTATATCCCCCCACCCCGTATCCCCAAGAACAGTTCCTGAGTGCAGAGCCAGAAATAACTCCTGAGCATCATTGGGTGAGACCCCAAAACTAAAAAAAAAAAAGTCACATGAGACTGGAGTGATAGTACAACAGGTTGGGAGCTTGCTTTTGCATGCAGCTAACCTGGGTTCAATTCCCAGCACCCCATATGGTCCCCAGAGCCCTGCCAGTAGTAAGTACAAAGTGCAGAGCCAGATATGCCCCCCTCCAAAAAAATATGCCACATCTTAAGCAATTTCCACTGACTTACTGCATTTTTAATATATTTTTTCCATATTATTTTCTCTAGTCGAGTAGAATTGAAAAGATTATGTGAGATCTTCACCCGAATGTTTGCTGATCCTCATAGCAAGGTAAGTCTGAGAGTCATGCTTTACATTCCTACCTGCATGTCTGTGTGAACCGTATAATACACTACTTCAGAATGAGGCATAGAGGCTGGAATGATAGTACCACCTGCAGGGTGCTTGACTTAAACACGCCCCAACCTGGATTTGATCCCCGACCCCATTTGTTCTCCCAAGCCTGCCAGGAGTGGTGATCTCTGAGCACAGAACCAGAAGTAAGCCCTGAGCACCACTAGGTGTGCTCCAAAAGTAAAAGAAGAATGAGAAATGGTTTTCTGTAGTGAAGTTTAGATCATGCAGATTAAACACCGATTTTGCCAGTGTAGACCCAAAACTAAAACACCCAACCGATCGAACTTAAAAAACATCAAGTTCACATGTGTTTCAAGTAAGAGTTATACTAGAGAGAGAGTCTGTCACCCAGCAGATATTTTGGGATGCCTTCTGTTTGACAAAAATTGTGGGCCAATGCTGGGTAACAGGGCAGTGACTTAAAAAAGCATTGTAAGTGGGTGATTTTTTGGGAACCCATATTGAATTTGTGTGTTTAGGACAAGATAGAAAAAAATGGGAGCATTTATGTAATGGATTTTTTTTTAAGGTTCAGGATTTCCCTCCATGAGATTTTGTTTTCCCTAAGAACTGGCTGGAGCATGGCTGCATAGCTGGTTCCCTTACCTCCTAGGGCTAAAAAGGCCATTGAGGCTAAGGACTGTCTTTTTATTTATTTATTTATTTTGCTTTCTGGGTCACACCCGGCGATGCACAGGGGTTACTCCTGGCTCTGCACTCAGGAGTTACTCCTGGAGGTGCTCAGGGGACCATATGGGATGCTGGGAATCGAACTCGGGTCAGCAGCGTGCAAGGCAAACGCCCTACCCGCTGTGCTATCTCTCCAGCCCCCGGGACTGTCTTTTTAATAAAGGAATGCCTGCTGAGGGTGCGAACTTCAGGAGAGGAATAGGCCTTTCTAGAAGCAGTGCTTAGAGAACAGGCCTTTGCAAAAGTTTACTTGGAGTCTAGATTTTTACTAAATGCCTTTGTTTAGAAGGAAGCTTTTAGAAGCTCTTAGAAACTTTTTAGGGAAGAAAATTGCAGTGGGGAGCACAGAGCAATAGTACAGAATTAGGGAAGACTATATTTAATATGTAGCTGACCCCTGTTTGATATCTGGCACCACATATGATTCTCTGAGCACCACCAAAAGTGACTCCCGAGCACAGAGCCAGAAATAATCTCTGAGCACCGCTGGGTGTGGCGCCGTTCTCTCCACCCCAAATGGGAGGTAATGATACAGGGTAAGTTAACATGTAGGTAAACGACAGAAACCAGAGTAGAAATTGATGAATTGATAGAATCTTTAATCAGCAGAAGCATATCTTACGTGTGTGATGTGTGGAATTTAATTCTCTTATACCATGGTTTTCATTGTGAAACTAGGTCTCTTTTAAAGTCATACAAGGAAATGTTTAGCCAAAAAGTCCAAAAAGTTAGTTGCTCTGATCTCCGTCCTTTTTTTCTGTCTTATCTTCCTCATAGGAATTGCCCTTGTAATGTTAAAATACCCGTTCAGTCATTGAGCACTTACTGAGTATAATCTATGCAGAAACCTGTTAGCTCTGCTTTTCAGATGTTCGTAAGAGCATAAGAGGATGAGTGCAGGGGTCAGCTGGGATAGTTCTCTAGCAATATCCTGAAGTATGTCTTCAAATTTCCCTTGTGATCTCACGGCAAGGTTAATGTTAACTATAAAATTCAGGAGAGGTTGCATTTAACAACCACATAGATAGGCAAAAATAGAATCATCAGATTTTAAAATCTAAGATATTGTTGGAAGCAGTAAAGCTTAAGCATACATAGCATAAGGGCTATTAGACGATTTTTGACATTGATGAAACTTTTGTTACCCATTACCTCTAGATTGCTGATTCAGCACAAGAATATGAGACTAAAGAAGGAATTTTGTTTGCATCAGAAGGCTCTTGTACAGTGAGTTTGGGGTCTCAGTTTAGTTAATATTTGCCAGTTACCTTTGAGCTAAGGCAGTGATCTCACAGCTGAGGCTCACTTTTTTTCTGAGCTATCTCAAGGGAGACCCCTGGTGGTTAATAGTGGCTTTTAAAATTAAGTAGGTATAATGACTGAGTTTTCCCAGTAGAACAAGACTTACTACCCAAGTAGGGGCACAGTGCTGCTAATGTCTCTGAAACTGGTTCAGAGATATCCTACTGTGGTTTGTCCTACCTTAAGTAGTAATGATTACATAGCAATTTGAGAATCCCACAAACTAGCAGTATTCTGAGCCATACTCTTTCTTACCTTATAGTGCCTTGGCACATCAAGATAGATAACGGAAAATAAAACTAAATAAACAGGAGTGCTCCCCCCAAATTCTTTAATAGTGTTGAGTGCCAGATAACAATAAAAGAGTAGAATTCAAATGTGAAAGGAAGGAAAGGGGAAAATGAGGAAGTCCTTCAGGATTAAAATGATACTTTTCAGCAAGATTAGTTTCTCTGTATTGATTTTCAGAGTCATAGTAATGAAGAAGAGAGTATTAGCAATTTGTGCCATTTTCAAATCTTATAAGAAACTGCATGAAATGATATTAATTCACTGTGGACTAACATAAAATTTGTTTTGTTGCATGGCCTGGTTTGCGGTGGAATTCACTACAGAGAGTAAGTTTCCATCCTTTTTCCTTTATTTACTTTAATACATTTGCCTCTGTAACATGACTGATGGTTAACAGTGTCATGTAAGACTTAAGTCTGGGAAAAGCCAGTTTGGACATTTATAATGTTTTATAGACTTTGGAAGAAATCATGAATTATGAGTGTGAAATGTTTGGTTTATAATTGTGTCCAGGTTTTCAGTATGTTTTTGGAGACTCTCGTGGATTTTATAATAATTCATAAAGATGACTTGCAAGACTGGCTTTTTGTTCTTCTGACACAATTGCTTAAGAAAATGGGAGCAGATTTACTTGGGTCTGTACAAGCAAAAGTTCAGAAGGCTCTCGATGTCACAAGGTAAGTGTTTAACAGCCTTTCAATTTTCTTGAGACATTATTGCGATAACGCTGAGTAAGTTTAGGAGGTGCAACAGAATGATTTGATATACCATATTTATTGATAAATGAGTACCTATAATAAGGTTAGCCAACACTTTCTTAGCCTCAGATTACCATTTTTTGGATATTGTGGTAACATAGATCCCCTTTCTTAGCAACTTTCCAATATAGCATACATTATTAACTATAATCACTGTGCCATGCATTCCCTCCTCAGAACTTCCTCATGTAATAACTGGAGCTTTGTACATTTTAATGTACATCTCCCCTTTCCCTTACCTCCTAGCCTATGGCAACCATGCACCATTCTCTCTTTCTGTGAATTTGTGCTCTCAGGACCATGCAGTTCTAAGGATCAAACCTGTTGCTTCTGCATGTACTCGAACTTTTTATCATCTCCTGAACCCTGTTGTGGTTTTATTGTTTTTGTCTTTTTTTTTTTTTAACATTTGTTGAACATATCCAACAGTTGATGGTTATTGGGGTTATAAATATCAAGGATTTAACCCATGGCCTCCTACATGCAAAACATGTATTATGCCCCTGGAGCCACACCCTGATCTCTTGATTTTTTTTTTTAAACAGAGTCCATATCAAGATCATGTAATATCTGTCTTCTTTGACTCATTTCATTTAGCTTGGCACCTTTGTGCTTCGTCCATATTTTGACAGGAATGCTACCTTTTAAGCAACTGAATAATATTCCCCTGTGTTTATATAACACATGTTCTTTATTGTTCACCTTTTAGTGGCCTTGTGGATTGCTTTTAAGTCTTAGCTGTCATAAATGATACTTTTAAAAAAAAGGAGGGGGGTGATTGGATTATATAGTAATTTCATTTCCTTCTGATCCTGTCCCCCAGTCACATAGTAGACTTGTGTTAATTTTTTGAAGAACTTGTATACTGTGTTCATAGTTTCAGCAACATTTACACCATTAGTGCCTGAGTTCCCATTTCTCAGTATTCTCATCAGCCCTTGTATCTCTTACCTTTCAGGTAATGACCATTCTGATAGGTGTGAGATAATTTGTAGTTTTCATTTGTTTCCCTAATAGTGAGTTTGAGCACGTTTTCGTATGCTTTTACGTCACCTTTGCGACAATGTCTTTTTAGAGGGGATAGATTATTTTCATGTTAAAAGATTCTTATGGGGGCTGGAGTGATATAGCACAGGGGGGTAGGGCGTTTGTCTTGCATGTGGCCGACCCAGGTTTGATTCCCAGCACCCCATATGTTCCCCTGAGTACCGCCAGGAGTAATTCCTGAGTGCCAAGCCAGGAGTAACCCCTGAGCATCGCCTGGTGTGACCCAAAAAGCAAAAAAAAAAAAAAGATTCTTATGATTCTTTTTGTCACCCACACAATATCTACTCTTACTCCATCCTCATTCTCTGAAATGTCCCGCTATGAGCTGAAATATTATCTCCCTTGAGTGGTGTGATTTTTGCGAATGCCTAGGACAAACAAAAACAAGTGGGAAGTTTTTTAAATGGATTTTTTTTTCTGTCTGTAGCACTGTAGCACTGTCCTCCTGTTGTTCATCGATTTGCTCGAGCGGGCCCAATAACATTGTGAGACTTGTTACTGTGTTTGGCATATCGAATACGTCACGGGTAGCTTGCCAGGCTTTGCTGTGCAGGCAAGATACTCTCGGTAGCTTGCCGGGCTCTTCGAGAGGGGCCGAGGAATCGAACTTGGGTCAGCCATGTTGGCCTCTTGCAAGGCAAACGCCCTACCCGCTATGCTATCACTCATCTAGTAGACGATATTTTCTAATTTTTATTGACGTCCATTGGAAGATGTTAATATTTTCAATAGGGGCTGGAGCGATAGCACAGCAGGTAGGGCGTTTGCTTGCACGCGGCCGCCCCAGGTTCGATTCCCAGCATCCCATATGCGCACCCCCCCCCCCCCCCCCCAGCACCGCCAGAAGTAATTCCTGAATGCAGAGCCAGGAGTAACCCCTGTGCATCGCTGGATGTGACCCATAAAGGAAAAAAAATCAATAATTTAATTTTTTATAAGTCACTCTAGAAATTGTTCTATTCACATAATCCCTAGTGTTCATCCAGCAGCAGTTCTTGCCTAGCAGGCCGATAACACAGGCTGATACTAGCTCTTCTGGATGTTTTGAAATGAGAGAAGTTTTGGAAAAAGGCAGTTAGTTTTCTTTGTTTGGGTTTGCAGGCCACACCAGGCTATGATCAGGGCTTACTCCTGGCTCTGAGCTCAGGGACTCCTGCCATTGATCAGGGGACCATATATCATGTCAGGAATCAAACCCGGGTGGCCACGTGCAAGGCAAGTGCCTTAGCAACCATACCAACTCTCGGGCTATAAGTTAGGATATTGTCTTGTTTGTTTGGTTGGTTGGTTGGCTTTGTTTGGGGGCCACTCCTGGAAGTGTTTGGGAACTGTTTGCAAGACCATGTATCTAACCAGCATCAACATGCGTAGGGCAGGTGCCTAGCCGCTGTACTTTCTCTCTGACCCTGAAAAAAGAAGAGTTTTTCTACCAGATAAGGTGTTAAAACATAACAAAACAAAACTGTGTGTGTCATTGTTTGGAATTCTTTTAACTATTTGCCAGTACAAATGTATGTTCTCATTGTAAAAACATTAGAAAGAAAATGATCTCAGGAGATACTCACCCTTGTGCTGCCAAAGTATCCAGTTGTTTTTATTTTAATAAAAAGGAAATCTGACACTATCATTTGCACTGCTATAGAATTTTACTATACTTATAAACTTTTCATTTGATTTTCAATGAATTCAGTATTACGCTTGCAACCAGACTTTCCTGCATGACTTGGGGTTCAGTGGAATTCTGGAGCATTCCCATATACGACTACGTATAATGGAGTCATAAGGGCTAGGAAAGAAAGGGAGTGAGAAAGAGGTAGAAAAGTGTGAAGGCCTTAAAAGTTGCTTTTAGTTGTGGCCGTGTTGGGAGATGGGGTCCTAGAGATGGGTGAGAGTTACTGCCCAGAGAATAGACTTGATTGCACATCTGCTTCATTTCCTTCCCTTTGTGTGACTAATAACAGGGCATTACTGTTAAACTCCATTACTTGAGTGTATTTTTTGTGCTTCCTTACTGTAGAAGAAAGGGATTTCTTTTCATGTGTGCTCTGTCAGTACTGTAGAATTAGTATGACTTATTTAAATGCAAAATACTGGAATGTATTTTGCTTTCTGAAATGGTCCTTAAAGCTTCCTGTATGTAAATAAATGTGGGAGAAAAGGATGAGTTATTGGATCAACTTGACTCTTTATTAATAATTATAATGATAGTAATACTGGTACTTATGTACCATGCACATTGCATTTTTACTACATTGTTTAATTTAATTTTCAAATACCAAATCTTACAGATCTACTCTTTATTTGCTTTTTGGCGGGGATAGGGGTCACACCCAGCTATGCTCAGGACTTAATCCTGGCTTTGCACTCAGGGGTCACTCCTGGCAGGGCTTGGGGGACTGTATGGGATGGTGGGGATCACACCAAGGTCCGCCACATGCAAAGCAAGTATCCTACCCACCATATATTGATATATTGTTCTGGCCCTAGATTTATTCTTTTCACAATACTTCTGTAAATTGAGGAAGATCTTCACAAGACCAAAGAAAGCAATGTAAATCACTTAGCCTCAATTATAATTGAGTTCGCATTGCATTATCTTCCCTCTTAGCATGGAAATTAGCAATTGCATTATCCACATGGACTCCATGCAGTTTCAAGTCAATACATTGCAGTATTTTCAGGGAGGGAAATGCTGACAGGCCTAGAGCCCTCCCAGTCACCTGATTGGATTAAAGGTGTATGCTAACTACAAGAAATGAGATGAGTAAAAGAAAAGCAGTGGAACAAGAGAAGGGCTGCCCGGATGGATCCCAGACTTATGTATGTTTGGTAGCTGGCTAGGGGATTTGTCTTGCTAAGTATCCCTTAAGTGCTCTCCTATGCTGACGCTACAGAATAGAGATCATGAACACTTACGTAGCCAGGATCAAGGGAACAGTGCTGCTAAATTCATGAGCATCAGCTCTAAAGCGATAGAGTTAGGACATAAATTGAGATTTGAATAAAAAGAGTTTAAATCTAAACCATTGTCAGAGAGCTAGAAAGATGATGAGCAGATCCCTGGGAATTCGGATAAAATCTTTTCTCTAGCTTATTTGCCATGATTCTTAAGATAGCATTTTCAAGTGTACTCTGTACTCTGGGACAAAATTTTTATTTATCTAAATTTTCTATATAATGTGTATCAGTAGTTAAATATAAGAAAAAGTACTATCAAAATGTGTACAGGCTTTTTTAAAAAAAATAGTAATCTTAACAGTAATAAGTTTCTTAAGTGGCTTGACATTATTTTTGTAATCTTTCTAAACAAGCTTTCTTTTTCTAACATTAGGGATTCCTTTCCATTTGATCAACAATTTAACATTTTGATGAGATTTATTGTGGATCAAACACAAACTCCTAACCTCAAGGTTGGTAACTGTTAATAATCTTCTGCCTCTACAAGTCATATTTACTTAGCGTGTGTCAGTCATTTTGTATATGCTTTATGTTTGGCTGTTATGAATAAATCTGCTGTGAACATTTTTATTTAACTGTGGAAATGCTACAATGATACCTATTAGAAAAATAGCTGGTTCATTGGGTTAGTATGTATTTAACTTTATTTTATATATTTTCCTCTTTATTTTTAACCTTATCTTAAACCACTATAATCATTTATTATATTTCCACCAGCAGTGTAAGAGCTCTAGTTGTTTCATATCATCATCAATATTTGAAAAGATATATATATATATATATTTTTTACAAAATATACAAACTAGAATTGTGTTCTTTGTTGAGGTAGATATTGTAATTTTTTTTTAATTTAGCATTTTAATACATGAAAATTGTTATTAATTGTGCCAAGGATAGATTCAGTCCCTGATATGTGTGAAGCCCATGCTCTACCACTGAGCCACCCACCCAGCCCTGGTCATTAATTTGATTTGGGAATTTGAGGTAACCCCTTTCTTTTGAGGTCAGAAGGCCTGAGACCTCAATAGAGAAGTTAAGGCATAGTATCTGCTTGATGACTGAAAATGCTGCCATGCAAGGCTTGGTCTTGAACATGTGACAGAAATAAGTCCAGAGCTCAGAGTGCATTTCTGGTCAGCGGAGGTGTTAGACATCCCACAGCCTGCCCTCGCAGACCCCTGACTGTGGCTTGCAGCATGAATGAAGACAACACCTGCTCGGCTCTGCAGACTAGGAATGAAGACTCAACTGCCATGCTTCTTCCCAGACTTACTGACCAGTCTTTCCTTTCCCCTGTGGTGGGAACACAAAGCCAGGAGAAAGAAGGACCCCTCTCAATAATGTCTGCTGGTCTTTCATGCAGAATTCATTGTTTTTAAAATTTTATTGAGTCGCCTTGAGAAAGTTACAGGTTTTCATGTTTGGGTTACAATCACACAGTGATCAAACACCCGTCCCTCCACCAGTGCACATTCCCCACCACCAATCTCCCCGGTATATCCGCCTTCCCTCCCCTCCCCCTGACTCCATGGCAGACAATATTCCCCATACTCTCTCTCTACTTTCGGGCATTATGCTTTGCAATACAGACACTGAGAAGTCATCATGTTTGGTCCATTATCTACTTTCGGCACACATCTCCCATCCTGACTGATTCCTCCAGCCATCATTTTCTTAGTGATCCCTTCTCCATTCCATCTGCCTTCGCCCCTCCGCTCTTGAGGCAGGCTTCCAGCTATGGGGCCCTTGTGTCTACTATTCCTTGGGTGTCAGCCTCATGTTATGTTATTCTATACTCCACAAATGAGTGCAGTCCTTCTATGTCTGTACCTCTTTTTATGACTCATTTCATTTAGCATGATACTCTTCATGTCTGTCCATTTATAAGCAAATTTCATGACTTCATCTCTCCTAACAGCTGCATAGTATTCCATTGTGTAGATGTACCAAAGTTTCTTTAACCATCATGCGGAATTCTGTTCAGAAAGCCACACCATGTGCTAATGCTTCTACCTGTTGGGTCTTTCAGGTCAAAGTCGCAATCCTGAAGTACATTGAGTCTCTGGCTAGGCAGATGGATCCCACAGATTTTGTGAACTCCAGTGAGACAAGACTTGCTGTTTCTAGAATTATAACTTGGACAACAGAACCAAAGAGTTCAGACGTGAGAAAGGTATGTCCAGGGGCACTGAACTTTGAAGTTACATACAGACCACTGTTAGAAAACCATGTCTTTATTACTCAGTGGGATTTTACAGTATGCAAACATTTATTGTGTTTTTCTTTCTTGTGAAAACTGAAGCTTAGTACTCCTTCTGTCTCTAGCTCTACCTACTTATTAGTCTTTGAATATAAAAATGAAAAAATGCAAGTCTTGTGTGAAAGGTCATGGCTTTCTGCTGAGTCATTAATGTTGTCGTGTTTTATAATGTAAAAGCACCAGTCGCTTAGAATCTCTCATGAGGATCTTGGTTTTCCTTAGATCAGCTTTGTGGTATGTGCCATGCTTGTTCCCAGACTTACCGACCAATCATTGCTTTTCCCCTAAGGTGGAAACACAAAGGTGTGATCACATGTCCAAGGTTACCTAATTCAAAGATGCTTAATAGTAAAATGGGGTTTGAATATTTGCTAAGACATAATGAATTCTTGAATTTGAAAAGAGTAAAAATATATTGGCTGGATAGTACATGGATTAGCATGCTTGCCTTACATGGGGCTGACTCCAGTCTGATCCCTGGCAATGCGTTGTCCCCAACACTGCTGGTCGCGACCCCTGAGTGCAGAGCCAGGAATAGCCCTTGATCACTGCCAGGTGGCCCCAGAACAAGCAAACAAAGGAATTAAAAAGCTTATGATCACACGCCAGGCCTGTAACACACTGTCTTTGTTTTGGGAGGTCAGGTGGGGAGACACGTGGTCCAGATGGCTTTGGTCTTTGAGCTGGTGTCTGGCAGCTCGGCCCTCTGCTGTTTCTGGTGCCACAAGCAATTTCTGGCCACACCAGAATCAGCTAATATCACAACATAAGAGTACGGCCACCATGAGTCCTACAACTAAAAGACGTGTGGCCCTGAATTGCAATCCCTAGTGCCCAGCGAGCACTAGAGCCAGCAAGGGCCCAGGCCCTCCCAGATGCATGTCCTTCCCCAGCACAGGTGCAGGCACCTTAGCTCAGGAGTGGGGCCTCCTTGAGCACCACAGCCAAGCTTGTGTGTGTGGCCTCTGGTCATCAGTCATTTCACAGGGGGTGGAGGCAGTGGGTAGAATAAAGTCCTCTGATTAGAAAGGGACTTAATTTAATTTTATTTTTTTAGTTGAAGGTTCAACACTCTTTTATTTATTTTTAATTTGTATATATGTGGGTGGAGCGATAGCACAGCGGGTAGGGCGTTTGCCTTGCACGCAGCTGGCCCAGCCGAGCTGGGTTCGATTCCTCTGCCTCTCCCGGAGAGCCTGGCAAGCTCCTGAGAGTATCTCGCCTGTACGGCAAAGCCTGGCAAGCTACCCATGACGTATTCAATATGCCAAACACAGTAACAACAAGTCTCACCAAATCGAAGAACAACGAGAGGACAGTGCTCCAGTGCTTGTATATATGTATATATATTTTTATTTATTGAATCACCGTGAGGTACACAGTTACTAAGCTGTTCATGGTTAGGTTTCAGTCATACAGTGATCCGACACCCATCCCTCCACAATTGTACATTTCCCACCATCAGTGGCCCCGATCTCCCTCCCGCCGCCCCTTCTTTCCCCAGTCTGTCTCAATGGCAGGTACTTTCTCCCTCCAGAATCCTGTCTACTATGTCATGTGATTTGAGGGTGCTGTTCTCTCCTACTCTCAGATCCTTCTCACTCTTGAACAAGGCATTATACATGCACACACACATACCAGGGCACGGCAGTCTTGGGATTCTGTCAAATTCTATTTTGCCAACAGTGCTCCGGTCTCTCTTTTGTTTGGTTAGCCAAAGCCTTCCGAAGTGGAGCTATGGGTGTAGTCGGCTTTACTTGCCTTGCGTGTATGAGGTTCTGGGTTTAATTCTTGTGCCTCACTACTCCCATCCCCTAATCTTCCAACGTTACCTGGTAATTTTAACTTTTAACTCCTTTTTTCTTTTTGCTTTATTTTTTTGATGGTGGTAAAGGTCTCACCCAGTAATGCTCAAGGCTTTAGTCCTGGCTCTGCACTTAGAAATTACTCCTGGCAGCATTTGGGGGACCCAAGGGGATACTGAGGATCGAACCTGGGTCAGCTGTGTGCAGGCCAAATGCCCTACCCACTGTACTATTGCTCTCACTCCTCCTTTTAACTCTTAAGCATAGATCTTTCTTTTTTCTTTTTATCCCTAACTGTGCCCATTAGGATGAGGTTCAGCTTAGCAGATGCATATTTCTGCATTCTCACGTTTCTCTGGATTTTTTTATCTGTGGTTTTAGGCTGTTTGACTTTCAGTGTCATATGCACCCAATACTAACTAGTACAATGAAGTTGTTTGATTTAAATAGGCGTGTGTGTGTGTGTGTGTGTCTGTCTGTCTGTCTTTGTGTTTGTGTGTGTATGTTCAGGTACAGTATGTGTCCTTTCGCCTTATTACCACTTACCCTTACCTTATTACCATTCACTTGATGCTACTGTAATATTAGACATTGCAGATTCATCCTACCTGGAGACAAGTTTACGTTTTATTTAAATACTCTATTTAAATGTAAGCACCCACTGAACATGTATTAAAAATACAGATGCTATTATAATTGAGGCAACTGACTTACCCAAAAATTTGAGATATATTTGAAAGACTGTCAAAATGAATGTAGTACCTAATTCTGTTGTGCGATTTCTAAATTATATTTAAAAATTGTGCATTGCCATAGATCACTGTGCTCAAAGAGCTAAACTTGACCTTCGGGGCTGTAAATCATTGGAAGAGTGCGTGCTTATGCGATTAAGGCCCAGAGTTTGATCCATGGCACCTAGAACAGAATAAAATAGTTCCTTTAGAGGCCAGAAGATAGCTCAATGGGCTGAATGCATACATTGCATTAGGGAAGGCCTTTGACTGATTCCCAGTACCTCAGGGACCCAGAACACCCAAAGTCAAAAAATAAAAGTGTTACTTCAAATCTATTAATAAGTGAAACAGAGAGGCTTTTTACTCTGAACAGTTGAATGCCCTTGTCTATTTTAATTACATATGTGTGTCTTCTCGTCTTTTATTTGCAGAATTAGTACAAGATTCTGTCAAGTACTGGAAAACTCTTGATACTTTTAAACATAGTTCGTGATTAGGAGCCAAGTTCTCTTGTTGGTATCCTGCTTCCTTTCTTAATAGCAGGGCAATGCTATATTCTAATACCAAATATTTGAAAAGCGCTGAGTCTCAAGATTTTTCATATTGACCTCCCTTCTCCCTTGAGAATATATTGATTTGACTTAGTACTGGGGGAGTTTGCGGACAGTCATTCTTCATGTTTATGAGATTTTGCTTGGGAAAGCACTTTGGAGATTAGCAACTGATGCATCTCTGGTGGACTTGAATGCTTTTTCACCTTTTGTTTCCATTTTCATCTCAGGGTTTGGAGGTGGTTCGTGAAAAGAGGTGTTTAAGTATTTGATATTTTGAATTGGAGACACGCTCCTTTCAGCCCACTCCAGAACACACTGCCCTGGTGTGGTGTGCTCTCGTGCTGGGCTTGCTAGCACTGTGGTGGGCAAGCCGAGGGGGGAGCCTTGTCCACACTTCAGCTGCTCTGCCTCATCCCAGAAGTCAGTCACCCAGTTTGTAGGTGTGAGAGTTCATCCCACAGTTCACCCTCAATTGCACTTCCGTCTCTGTCACTTGGTAGTGTGTGAACAAGTGATTCAACCTCATTCTTTTTGATTGCCCATAAAATGGGAATAATAGTGCTTGATTGACCTAGCCACTATGGGGTAAACTAAAAGTAATGAAGATCACTGCTGTTATTATTGGATTGTTTAGTTTTTTATTGCTGCTGTGTGTAGAACTAAAATTTTTGGCATTTAGAAGATTCCCTCCTCCCCACCACTCTTCCTCCCCCCCCCCCCGCCCTCCCCATCAGTCACAGGGATTGTGGTTATAACGAAATTTTGAGTGGTGTGTTGATAGCTTCAGATGCAGAACCCTGCACATTTGCTTGTCATGTGTGATTTGCTAATGTTTAGCACCTACTTTGTCAGGTGTAAAAATAGATTTAGCCCCACGTGTTGTGAGAAATGTGAGAGAGGAAAGCATATTAAAGAAAACCAGAGATTCATAAGATGCTCTTGCCTGGAACCAGAAATGTAAGTTGTCTTCAGAAGTTGAAATTTCTAATCAAAAGTTATTAAAATTACTGGTTAGAAAGCAGCAAGACTGATTCTAGGAGCCAGCGCTCTGGGCGCCAAATAAGATTTCAGCCATATTGTAACCACCTCTTTTGAGTCTCACATTGGTCCCTTTGTCATCTGCTCCATCAGGTAAATGCAAAAAATATGACTATTTTTAGGAAGGGTCATAATTCTTAAAAATGAAAAAGGACATGATTGTGGTTTCAAACTGGTAGTTGCTTTTACAAACATTCTTAACTTACAGACTCCAAATGCCCATCTAGTCTATATACGTAGAGAGCCGTGATTTCATAAAGGACGGCAGATACTTTGTCAGCTCACAGATGACCTGGTTTCAGCACTTGTTGCGTCTCTCTGATTAAACACTGCCACCTTTCCTGTTTGTCAGTCCCCGCTTCAGCGTAGTCGAGTAGGTGAGGATTTCCCTGCTAGGTCAACTTCAACCTGCTCTGGGCCTGGAGAAGGAAACTTGGAAGAAAATTGTAAACAGGTAGATTTACAACCATCTACTAATTCTAAAAAACAAAACCGAACACTTCACTGTTTGTGCTTTATTTTATTAATATCCATTACTCCTACGAAGACACCAGGAAGATTTTGAAAAATTTTAAAAATAATACTGTGTGTGTGCGTGTGCCTCTGAAATGTTTGTGTTTTGGTGTGCTTTATGATTAACTTCATTTCCAAAGAAATAGCCATTGTTGAGCTTAGATTGTTTCCCAGTTTTAATAGAATAATACAGATGCAAAATACAAATTGTGAACGTTTCAAAATACCGTCTTGGTAATTTTGAAAAGCAGTTTTAATTAAAATATGAAGGGAGTAGCTATAGTTGTTTAATAATTTTAAAATGATGTCTTCCTCCCAAATTTTAAGTTTTCCCTAATTAATACCACCACTGAAACATTTGTCAAGGCTTTTATCGATCTCCTCTCTAGAAGAATTCTTTTAGCACCACACTCAAGGCAGTTGATAGCGTGAGAATTCTCTGACAGTAGATTCAATCATCCTTTATCCACCCCCTAATTCAATTTCAACAAGTTGGACATGACTAGGAGCCATTTTCTTTAAAATTGTAATTTGATCTTCAAAATATTTGGCTCTGACGTTGTCCATTAGAAAAAGCAGTGCTCAGACCTTTTGTCTGCCCCTTTTGAAAGCAGAAGATAAAAATAAGACACAAACATGACATTCCACATATTTTTGGGGGGGTGGAACTTTTTGGGCCACACCTGGTGGTGCTCAGAGCTTACTCCTGACTCTGTGCTCAGGGTTCACTCCTGGCTGTGCTGTGAGACCGTTTGGGTTGCCAGGGATAGAATCCAGATCAGTCACATGTCAAGGCAAGCATCCTACCTGCTGTACTATCACTCCAGCCCCAGTACTCCATTTTTTAATGCATTGTTAAATGTGAAGTAAGCTTAGCCTTGTAAACATTTATCTCTCCAAACCATCTCCACATTTGGAAGCATTCCTTTAATGAAATTATAATGATGGCTAATGCAAAATACGACTGAGTTTCTTCCTTACTTAAGTCCTCGTATCCTGTTATCTCACTAATGCAGAGAGCTATAGATAAAATATTGCATATACACCATCTGTCCAACTAGTTTTCCTCACAATTCCCTTTCTATTTGATTTCTTATCAAAATTCAACTGTGGATCACTGAGGAAAGGTATCGTTACTGGGGCAAAGTTAAAGCCTACACTCTTTGTTTTCCTACATGACTCAAATCCCAGACATCAAATTGCCATGGTGTAAGCACCATTTCTAGGCCTTGTGCTCCTTCCTGATCCTAATAAACTCTCTGATTTTATAACTTGCTTAGTGAAAATAGACTCAAGTAAGTATGTGGTATTAGATGTCATGCTAACCCAGGAAAAAATTATCTTTAACTAAAGGTAGTGACACATTATGCATAAAAATAAGCTTCTAAGGGCTGGAGTGATTTAGCACAAGAGTTATGGTATTTCCATTGCCTGCAACCTGCCGTAGTTCAATTCCCTGCACAAAATTTGGTCCTCCAAGCACTACCGCGAGTCAGCTCTGAGCACAGAGCTAGGAGTAAACCCCAAGCACAGGCTTGCTTGGCCCAAACCTGCTCCCTTTCTCCAAAATACATCCCCAGAATATAATGATACTTTTTATAATTTACAGGTGCCATTTTTAGACAAAACGTAATTGATAACATTGATTTTTTTTTTTTTTTGCCCCTGCTAAAATCCAAAACAGCTTCTTAGCTTCTTTCTCTGTAAAGTGCAGGGTTTCTTTTTTTGTTTTTGCATGTGTTTTTTTCCTAACACCTAATTTTTTTTATTTTAATGCACATAATATTTTGCATGGTTTTGGTTTTTGTTCTTACATAAATATATAAAACTATGGTGGTAATTAAATTGGTGGTGAAATATGGTCTTTTCTGATAATTATTTATCAAGACTGTTTTCAAAATGAAATGCTAGGTCGTATATTTTAGAACAATAATGATAGTGCCACGTCCTAAAAGCAGACTGACACCCCCCATTTTGTGACTTATTTTGGATTAAATGGCTATTGGTGACTTATATTTGAAGGTCAAGGTGAGAGAACGTGAGACAATGAATAAAAAAGATTTATACTTAATGCATAATTTAGACATGTTGAAATATTTTATCAGAATATCTTATCAGAACTTTTTTTTTTTTATGACATCTTATTGTCTCATTACTACTTTGGAAAAACTTGCAGGCTATCGAATGTAGCCTGCCCACAGGGCAGAGTCTGGCAAACTCCCCGTGGCGTACCAAATATGCCAGATACCAGTAACAATGATGGGTCTCATTCTCCTAAATAGCCTTGAATATAATCTCAGGGCTAGGGTGAAAGAGACGTTACTGGGGCCTGCTCGAGGCAATCGACGAATAACAGGATGATGAAATGAAATGAAATGAATGAAATATTTTTAATTTTGTGGAGATTTTTTCATGATATTTTAAAATTCATAATGAATTTTTTTTATTTTTGATTAAATCCTTTGGGGCATTTGAATTTTTCTTTCTTCTCCAGGAACAGATAGCAGGTTTTATCTTAATTGGACCTTAATTTTAGTGTTGTGAATAAAAGCAATGAAATGTTTTGTGGTGTTTATTTTTCAAAGAATTTCTCAGTAGCCATGTTTTCACGTAATTCCTATGTTGTAGAAAATATTAGAATTATTGCTGTCACCATAAAAATGCAGTCTTTAGAGTAACAGTACAGCGGGTAAGGCTCTTGCCTTGCATGTGACCAACCTAGGTTTGATCCCCGGCATCCTCTTATGGAACCCCAGGCACCGCCAGAAGTCTTTCCTGAGCGTAAAGCCAGTAGTAACCTCTGAGCATTACCAGGTATGGCTCCAAGACAGGCAAACAATCTTTGGAAAAATCAGTCTGCTTTTAGGCAAAAGATACTCCAGTGAGTTTTCTTTTCATGTGGCTCTTAGAAATTTGTAAGAAATGCTAGTCAGTATTTACTAAAACTTTCTTGTGGCGTAGTTTTTCTAAATCGAAAGCTTTGTAACATTCCATAGGCACTGTTGTTTAGACTTGCATACAACCCTAGTACTGTGGAAAGCACGTCACTTGCTGGAGAAGCCTGGCTCTCTTGATAACAGCTTGCTTCAGCTAATGGCTCTACATGCCTTGCCGCAGCAGTGACTGCAGACAGTCCAGTTGTGTGCTATTTCGAGTGATGAAGAAGAGCAGAACATTTCTAAAAGCAGAAATGTTGTTGTATATCAGCTGCTCACCTTCCCAAAAGCCATCTCTTCTCAGTTTACTGTTACTAAAGTAGGGTATTTTCCAAATGTGTGTAAAATCTGCCTTCTAATATTTCTCAGTTGGGAGCAGGGTTTGGAAGAGTGGTTTCAGGGCTGGAGACATAGTTCAGACATTTTGGCACTTGTCTTACACGTGGCAGTTCCGGTTTGACTCCTGGCAATTTATGTGGTCATCAAAGACTGCTAGCAGTGATCCTGAGCATTAAGCAGGAGTAAGCCCTCTGTACTACTGTGTGTGGCCCAAAAACTAAAAGGAGGGGAAATAGAAAAGGAAAAAAGAAAGAACAGAGTGGTTTCTTAAGATAACACAGCAAAAACCAAAAAGATACTCTAGGGGCTGGAGCAGTTGTACTACAGGTAGGGTGCTTGCCTGGCATGCAGCTGACCTGGATTCTGTCTCTAGCCTCCCATCCCCTATGTTCCTCTGAACCTTGTCAGGAGTGATCCCTGATCACAAAGCCAGGGGTAAGCCCTGGGCGCCATTGGGTGTGGCTCCAAAACAAAAGATAGTGTGGTTCATTTAGAAACTTGTTCTTGCTAGGTACAATGGGAGCCTGTCTAATGTTGACTTAATGGAGTCAGTAATCCTAGGACTGCCCATATTTTTTGTTTTGTTGATATGTTTAGCAGCTTCCTAGACAACCAAGGGAAAAAAATAAGAATTTATTAACATGCTGTGTAAATTCCAAAACCAGGGAACTAAAATGAAAGTGACTTATTTTCCAGTTTGGTGTGTTTGACTCTTCGTAATTGGCAGCATCATTTTCCCCAGATCCTTTTTGGCTTTGAATATCAAAGATGTCCTCTTATTATTCATGTTGCTCATGAAACCCGGTTTTTCTTCTACAACAATCCTAAGAAGCATTTTTGACCAAGACATGCTATTGTGCATTACCTAAATTAATCCTCTCTTTTCTTTTTAGGCAGCACAAATTGTGCTGATCTCTCTGTTTGAATTGAATACTCCGGAATTTACCATGTTACTTGGTGCCTTGCCAAAAACATTCCAGGATGGTGCCACTAAACTCCTTCATAACCATCTCAAGAATTCTAGTAACACCAGTGTGGTGAGTGCTTTGGTTGCAAGGGGTACTTGGATGGAGGATGTCACCTCCGGCTGGACCATGTAGAACTTGCCCTAATAGAAGAACCAGCATTCACGTTGTTTTTTAAAAGTCTTTGCATCTCCAGAAGGGGCTGTTGTCTCATGCTCCCAGGTTACCAATAAATGAGTCAACCTGGCCTTTAAATGCAGCCTCTTTGGGGGGGGCGGGGCGGGGGGTGAAGGGAGGTGCACACCCAGCAATGCTCAGTCCTAACTTACTGCTCTGCACTCAGGGATCACTCCTGATGGGCCTGCGGTGGCGGCAAGGGGAACCACATGTGGTTCTGGGGATTAAACCCAGGTCAGCCATATGCAAGATAAGCACCCTCCCTGCTGTGTTATTTCTCCAGCCCAAATGTGGCCTTTTTCTTACTTTATGTTGTTCAGCCAGTGTTGGCGTTCCTGCTGGCTCCTCTCTGTCACCCCCTTCCTGGGTCCTAGGAGCATTTTCGCAATTCAGCCGGTCCAGTTGGTTTCAGGGCTTTGCCAGCAGGAACTCCAACATCAATTTAAAATTTTCTAGATTGTTTAGTCCTTCAGTCATGGAGTTAAGCTATTCCCCTTTTTTTTTTTTTTGGTTGTTTGTTTTCTCCACACTATGAAGATGCAGATGCTCAGTTGCATCCGTTATTCTAGTTGAGCCTTTTGGTAGTAGAGAAAATATTTATTATTGAGCTTCAGGAATGTTTTTCATTTCTTATCTGTATGTACTTAAATTTTGACCATTATCACTTTGCTTATGCAAATTTTGCCATCTGATTTAAATGTGACTTAAAAGACCAAGGGAATCATAGGTCCATTTATATGAAGCTGTTGAATAATGATGCTTATTCTTCCTTCACCCCAGAGTTCTCCGAGCAATACAATTGGCCGGACTCCCTCCCGACACACCAGCAGCAGGACCAGCCCCCTGACCTCACCAACCAACTGTTCCCACGGGGGCCTCTCTCCAAGGTAATGCATTTCAGCAGGAAGTGCGGGAACTAAGGACACCTCCTCAGAGGTCAGATATTTTAGGCAGTGACTCAAACCAAAAACTAGTGGGTATCAGGAGACCAGGGAGTCTAGTCCTTACCCACATCTTAACTGTATAGTTTTGGGAAAATTGGATGGTGAAAGTTCCCTGAACATCCCCTGAGCTGCTGCTTCCTCTGAACACTAGTAGTGCCCTATGGATTTCATTTTAATTTGCAGTGTTGGGAAACAAGCCCAGAGTCCTGACACTGACAAGGCAAGTGCTTTTGCGTTGTAGCAAAGTACTACATCCCTGACCTGCCCTGTTGATTTTAAAATCAAAAGTCATATTTAGTATGGTTTCGCTTGGATGCCATTTCGAGTCCTACCACCTACTCTGCAAGCCAGAGTTGTGCCTGAAAGGTGTTGGGTCTTCTAAGTCTTCCATAGCCCAGCCACACATATTCTTGAGTCATTTTCCACCAAGTGACCATTTCAAGTGTAGTTGGTATCAAATGAGATGGGGTCACATTGGAAGCGGAACACTTTGTTTTTACTTTATTTTGAGGCCACACCTGGTGGTGCTCAGGACTTCTAGTTCTATGCCCAGGAATTTCTCCTGGTGGTTCAGGGGACTTATGCGGGGTGCTGGGGATTGAACCCAGGTTGGCCCCATGCAAAACAAGCGCCCTACCCGCTGTACTATCATTCTAGCTGAAGTAGAACACAGGTCTGGCAGAAGGATTAAGAATCAAATTAGTAAAATCTGATTTTCAGACTCCTTGTTGAGCACATGTAAACATTCGCCCTCTAAACATAGGAGAGTGACTTTAGAAAATGCTTTGTCCTGGGCTCTTTAAACAAATTCCATTTGGTCAGGGCACTAGAAGTCTCCGGATGGTGACCATAGTGTCACCTTGGCTTGGGTCCCCAGGCTCCACTTAAGAGTGTCCCTGTGGGTCAGACTCATGGGGACAGAGCCAATGTCTGGAGCTGTGACACTGTGTGTGTACATGTTGTGTTTTGTCTACAAGAACTCCAGATCCCAGGGGTCACCAATGCCTGGACGCAGGGGAATTTGTTTTTGGACCTGCTAACATCAAGATCTTAAAATTATTTTTAAAAATACAGCAAGTATGCCATTTTCCTTTAAACGGGAAAAAGATTTTAGATCATCAAGTCTTCCAAATACTGCCGTCTTCACCACTGAAGTTCTCATAGGCCTGTAAATATTTTGTAGCCTGACAAATTTGCATTTTTCTTAAAGGACAAAGGATATTTTGTATCGTTGCTGTATTACCTGCTGCTTATCTCTAACATGCCCTTCCCGGCCCCCCATGCTAATTTAGGCAGCGTTACATATGATGCTGCATCTCCAAATTAGGTGTGTGTGGTAGTGATTTCAGCAGGTTATTGTAGCTAGATAATTGAGATCAAACTAATAAAAATAATGTCCAAATTTCCTAGATATGACTACGACTTAGCCAACTCTTCCCCCAGTGTTAACATTGTATCTAAAATACATGGTTTACCTTAAATAGTCCACAGTGTTTCAACTTTTGTATAAAATTAGTTTCTTTCCTGGTAGGAGATAATGTTATAGAAATTCACATTCCCCTTAAATTGTGCTCTGTATAAATTGTATACATTGTGCTCTGGTGTAGAAGTGATACAGCACTCTTTAAGAGTATTCTACAATAGTCATTAATAACATTCTTTTATGATACGCAGTTTCTACTTATTTCACTGTCATAGTGGTAATTTCCTTGTCCTATGTTAAGCAAAAAGTAGATTTCAAGTATTTTGTTCTAGAAAAGTCAAGCTAGTTGTTGTTATGATTTGTTGCTAATATATAGTGCCAGCATAATCCATCAGAGCCCAGAATTGACTAGCGGGCCTAGGGAGATAGTTCGGGAGGGCTAGGGCACATGCTTTGCATGCTGGAGCCCTAGGTTTGATCCTCAGCACCCCAAGGTCCCCCACCCACTGTTGGGAATAACCCCTTGAGCACTTTGCCAGGAGTAACTCCTGGGCACCATCCGGTGTGGCAGTGGAAGGGAATTTCATGTAGACTCTGGATTCGTTCTGTCATAGGCTTAGAGTTCCTGTGGAATCAGAGTGCCTTAACTGAAAAGCCAGGCTCCCGCGGGGAGTGGGGAGGTACCTGCCTTAACCTCCACTGTTAGCAGAGCTTCCGCCCCAGCCCCTACCCGCCAACTCAGAGTGACTTGGACAAGGTCTGGAGACCTCTCCTCTGCCTACCCTGTTTTCCTAAGTGGGGCCAGAACTGTCCTTGGATTGTGCCTGGCTGTGCCCCCTGCTCTTACAGCAGGGGCCCAGAGACTCCCTGGTGGCCTCCTGTCTCCTCCGCAGTCGGTCCAACTCACCCCTTTCCTGTCATCTTTGGCTTCTGTTTTCAGTCTTTTTGAATTGCAGCCAGTTGCTAGAACTTTCCGTCAGGGTCTCCCCAAGCCCAGGTCACCCTGTCATTCGCCGTGTGGAAGAAGGCCATTCTCAGAAGGGTTTTAATTCTTATATAAGAGGATACTCGAATTCTGGCATTAGCTGATTAGCGCATTTTTGTCTCTGCTCACCCCGTATCCGAGATGGGAGTCTGACCCTCTAGGGATGCTCTGATTCTCTCAAAGAAAAGGCTGGTGGCAGATCCACAGGGAGAGCACAGTGGGTAGGGCACCTGCCTTAAGTGCAGCTGGCCCAGGTTTCCACCTCCAGCGTCCCCTTTGGGTCCACGGACCCAGCCAAAGCACAGCACCCCATGCCAGTGCTTGTGTGAGATTGACACATCCGCTGGGCTTTCCTGCTACAAGTCCCATGCTTCCGTTTGAATTAAGACCCAGGAAGAGCTGTCTTGGCTCTTTCTAAAAATTGTTTGAACTGCCTGAGACCACACAGCCCTGTTTTCTTGTGCATTATGGTGTCCCTGGTGCACACCCCTGTGCACACACTCATCCCACCTTGGCGTCTGATGGGATTTAAAACTGTCAATGGACGATTGAAAAGGGGAAGGAATAAAAATGTCTCAGGGAAGAACAAATTCTAAGATAAAAATTTGTTTCTTTTTTTTCTCCCCTCTATATATTGAAATATTAATCTTGCTCCGATTTATTTTGCTAGAACTTAAGCAAAGAGGAGACTCTAAGACACTTAGACTTGAGTGCCTTTTCTCCCCTCCCCCCTCTTCCCTCCCCCTTTGCCTTTTTTTTTTTTTTTTTTTTTTTTTGGTTTCTCTCTCTGATTTTCCTCTTCTGATCACTGCAGTCGGTTATGGGGTTGGAGTGCCGATGGGTTATCGAAGCACCCACCTCCCTTTTCTCAGCCTAACTCCATTCCCACCGCTCCCTCCCACAAGACTCTCAGGCGCTCTTACTCTCCCAGGTAACATGCTACCTGTTTCACTTGTCTGAGGTGTCACAATATTATTGCATTTCCAAGGTCGTCGTAGGTCTTTTTGCCAGAGCCTCGAAGTGCCTCCAGCGTGGCCCCTCCTCCGGCTGAGGCCAGCGGGAGTAGCGCCTTGGTGTGAGAAGTGTGAGCCGGTGTGTCTCAGGGACAGATGGCCGTGTCATCCACCCAGCAGCCTTGGGACAGGGCTCCCGTGCAAGCCTTTTCAGCTGGGGGCTGTGCTCAGGACTCCAAAAAAAAATGCTCCAGCAGAGGCCATGGTAGGCAGGAGTGGGCAGTTTTCCCGAACACGGTGCCCGGGTGGGCCAGGCGTTCCCCGGGGAATCAGACAGGCCTGCTCTTCCCCCACACAGCACCAATTGCTCTCGCTTCTCCCCTTGATGGCGTGGCCAGATTTCTCTTCTGATGAAGTTGTCACATGGCAGTGGTCTGAGGACCAGGCCTGACAGGCAGCCCTGAAGAGATGCCTTCACTGCTGGGTCTCACTGGAAGTTCCAGCTGCTGGGGAGAGCCTCCAGCGAACACCCCCACCCCCAGCCTGGGCCTTGCCTGCATGCCACAGGAGGCCAGAGGAAAGTTTGCAGGGCTCCCTTCACTTGTCAGTCGGCACTGCAAAGCGCAGCCCCAGGGAGCCCTACAGAGAACGCCTGGAGGGGCTCCTTGGTGCTTTTCTAAAGGTCCGGCAAGCAGAGACCCCATGCCCCGGGAGGCCTGGAAGGGTGAGGAGCATGGGGACAGTGTAGCTGATGGCTCTGTGAGCTCTGGTAAGATGAGACTTTTGAGTGCTTCATAGAAAGCTTTCGCACAGGTCATCTACATTCCTACTTCTGTACCCTCAGTGGAATAAAGGTGTACAGACAACATAGAAAACAATGTATGTATTGTACACAGTGAAAATGTTTTGACAACACCGTACTAAGACGATCCTGTAATCACTGTTTCTGGGTACACAGTTAAGGCAGGGGCGCAAGGAGGTGGAGATGGCCACTCCTCAGCTCTAGCGAGTAACTCATGTCACTTCTCTCCTTCTCCCTCTTCTCCCCACTCTGCCTCGTTGCCTTCTCTCCTTCCTCTCCCATTCCCCTGACTGCTCGCTCCTTCCTTCTCTCCCCCGGCCCTCCCTTCCTTGATTCCTCTTCCCTCCACTCTTTCCCTCTTCTCTTTTCCCCGCCATGTACAAGGCCAGTATATAGACTGTCTCCCAGCACACTCACTGGCCTCTCTGCCCTCATGGGCACTCAGCTGCACCCCTAGTCAGTCACAGTCAGCCTTTGCAAAGGGCCTCCCTCCTCCAGGAGAACCATCTTTCACCTTTGCTCAGAGTGACAGAGCTAATGCTGAATTCATACCCATAGCAGTGGGCTAGTCATCAGAGTATGTCAACTGGAGATAATTAAGAAACAACTTGGTTACATAAAACTAAGAGGAAATCGATACCTCTTCACTCTATAGCAATAGTTGATGTCTTGACAAGGAATAATTATCCTTATCCCCTAACAGAGCATCTTTACCCTACAAAAAGACAAAATGTCACAAGGCAAACTTTCCATGTCCAATTTCTCTTTTCTTAGAGAATTAATGCATACACTGGGCAAGTCTGGGACTTAATTCTCTTGCGGTGACATGACCTGACCCTGAGCCAGTGAATATTGACGGATTGAGCAAGTCTTTCTAATCTAAGGAATCCTAAGAAAACTTTTCAGGGTCTAATCACAGTGTTTAAGTTACCCAGGACCTCACCTTTAACCTAAAGGATTATGTCTTTGAGCTATAACAGGACAGAGTGTGGGGGCAGGGACAGATTGGGGTTTCCCTATCCAGGTTTCTTGTAAGTCAAGTTTCTTTGTCCTCTTTGCTGCTCTCCTACGTATTACCTTAGAGCCTTCACCAGAATTTCCTATTTATAGAATGAGGGCACACTCAGTTTGGTGTTGATTTGTGGCTGCAGGGAAGGGGTCAAGCCCAAACATGAAATGGAAAAAAAAAAAGTCTTGTTTCTTGCAAAAGGAAAGCCATGTTTCCGTGTGAGCCCACTTGGAGCTCACTTTTTATTTTGCTTCATACCAAGGAGATACTTCAGACCTCAAGCTAATGAATCTAAAAGTGTCGCTGATTGTACTTGGCTATCCACATGTACTCCCAAATTGGAAGTCTGAGTTGGTTTTTTATTTGAAAAGAAGAAGGAGGAACATGAGCTGGCAGAATCCTTCATTTTTCTAATGTTTTACCAAAGGCTGCTTAACGATCTAATCGTAACAAGGAAAGGAAATATTTCAGAAAAATTTTAAGTGATTTAATGAATGATGAGACGGAGTACATAAAAGCCCACCTTTTCTGAAGCGACATGGAAAATAATATTGTGACATCCCTTAAAAGCTGGACATTCTGCCAGAAATCTTTCCATTCTGTCATTCTTTGATTTTTTTTATTTTTTTTCCTTTTTTGCATGGGCTATGCTGTTATTTTTGGTTCTTGTGATTCAAAGTATTTAAGGCATCTTTTTGCATCTTGTATATATATGTATTTTTAAGTCATGCTCAATATATGTGTGTATGTGTGTGTGCGTATATATATATGTTATATATGTATATGTGTATATATATGTGTATATATATACACACACATATCGTAGTGTACTGGTCAGATGTATAAATGCCTTTGCTCACGTAAATGAGTGTTGTGAAGTATAGGCTGGAGTCACGGGCCTCTCTGTCTCCTCGACCATGCTTTCTTCACATTCAAAGAATATTGCCTCATAGACAACTTTGTGAACTTGGAAGGGGTTGAAATCTTGACTTCTGTCCAAGGTTTTTATTTCACCTCCTGTCAGTAGCTTCATGGGATTTTACCTGTGAACGTGTTCAAGTTCACATTTCATTTTCTTTGAAGCCAGCGCCAGTCTTTGAGTTGGCGTGTACTTTTGTGATGTCTCCAAGTACAGTTGGGGGTGTGTGTTTTCTTTCATGTATCAGAAAAGAAAAAAATGAGTTCTGTATGGGCCATTTTTTGCAGTTTTTGGTAAAGGCCTTCCATCTCTGAGACTCAATTGGGACCTGGTAACTTCCGCAGAGCCTAACCAGTTTCACAAAACACTGGGATTGTTGTGACTTCAAACCAGTAGGGGTCTGTCTGCTCAGGGAGAAATGTTCATACTTTGTCTTATCCAAACTCCCAGATTCTTTCAAATGGGGGCCGAAGCTATAGCACAGCAGGTAGGGCATTTGCCTTGCATGCGGCTGACTTGACTTTGACCCCTGCCATCCCACATGTTTCCCCAGCACCTCCAGAGCTCATTCCTGACCACAGAGCCAGGAGTAGCCCCTGAGCATCGCAAGGCTAGACTCAAAGAGCCAAAATAATCATTATAAGTAAAGGTGGGAGAGGGAGCATAATCAATGTTACTGGGGCTCTTTTTGTTTGTTTTAAGTCACAGAAAGGCTGCCTTTGTGAACATGTACAGGATGACTGAGGATAGTTTCCTACCGTGGGGAGTTTAGTTTAACAATAGTTATTTCCCTGTAGAGGAGACTTTTCTTCTTTAGCTCTTAGGGCTGGAGCGATAGCACAGAGGGCTGGAGCACAGCCGTAGGGCGTTTGCCCTGCACGCGGCCAACATGGCCGACCCGAGTTCGATTCCTCCGCCCCTCTCGGAGAGCCCGGCAAGCTACCGAGAGTATTCGATATGCCAGACACAGTAACAACAAAGTCTCCAGTGGAGACGTTACTGGGCCCACTCGAGCAAATCGACGATCAAGGGGAGGGCCTTTACCTTTACCTTACCTTTATGATTGAATGAGTTGGTCACAATCTTATCCATATTAAAACCACACTGCTTTACGGGTAGGGCGTCTGCCTTGCATGCAGCCAACATGGCCGACCCGAGTTCGATTCCTCCACCCCTCTCGGAGAGCCCGGCAAGCTACCGAGAGTATCTCGCCCGCACGGCAGGGCCTGGCAAGCTCCCCGTGACGTATTCGATATGCCAGACACAGTCACAACAAAATCTCCAGTGGAGATGTTACTGGGCCCACTCGAGCAAATCGATGAACACCGGGAGGAACTTTCCTTTACTTTTAGCTCTTAGTAAATGTTGACTTATTATATACAACCAAGGATTCTTTTAGTGATACTGGCAGACCATGACTTTTTTCAAGTTAAAGTAGACAAACTCATTTGGCTGTATCGTGAATATTTTCTTGAAACAAGAGACATTACACTTAGCTATCATTTTTTGATTTGTGCTGGGTCAACTGTTGCTTCGCGTTTTGCTTTCTTAAGCTGATGTACCGATCCCCTGCTTTGCTTTGCTGTCTTTAGTGAGGTCTAGTGATAATTCTCTATCCAGACATCTGAAGGCCACTTACTGGCATGCAGCCTTATATCAAAAGTCTACTTAGGATATTTTTGTTTAATTTCCTGTTTCACTGCCCTCGATACCCAAAAAAGAAGGACAGTCTTTAACAGTAATTTGTTGGTAAAGGACAACGATTTCTTTTTTTTAAGTTCTTTTAAATTCTCATTCAGCAGTGTGCCTCATCTTAAAATAACCTGCTTCTATCAGAACACTGTCAGCACACACATCTATAAGAGTTTGCCACTCATAGCAGTCTCCCAGATTCAATTATAAGAGATGTTCAGGAACCCTTTTGCAGGGTGCATCTGAATTTGAATTACAGGGTTGTGTTCTCCGTTTTGAGCTTTTTAATATAGAAGGTTATTCCCCTTCTCATTGTTTCCATGACCAATGGTCGCACACTTGGTGGTTGTACACTTACTGCTTTGTGGTTCACCAAAGATTGTAAACTGGGACCACACTTAGCATATGGGATGGTCCTTGGGTTCGAACTTGCAGCCTTAACCCATGCAAAGCAGGCCCTCTTCCAAAGGAATCATCCCCAGACACCGTTGATTCTGGGGAGCAGTCTTAGGAGGTATTTGCCTTGTTCCTCCACAATTTGTACACTCGCTTTATTTCAAGTACCTCTTCCTCTTTAAGTTTGTACATTTGAGACCAGTAACCGCCAAACTGTTTGTTTCCATCTTCGAGGTATGAAAGTTATTCTCCCACTTTCATTACCTCGTGCATTCAGTCGTCACTCTTTGAATTCATGCATTCTCGTGTTTATTGTTGTTTCCCAGTGGTTATTATGGAGTGTTGATGTGTAATCTGTTTGGAACCAGATTTGACAAGGAAGCTATGTAGTTGTCCAGTGGATTGTGTTCTAACAAAAGATGTCTCCTTTCCATTCCAAGTCACCTTAAAAAATGAAATAGCAATGGTAACTTACTTTGTAAATTATTGGGAGTAAATAGACCCATGCCTTAATTACTATGTGTATGTATTAATTTAAGAAAAAAATTATCTTTGATCTTTAGCATGCTGGATTATGACACAGAGAACTTGAACTCTGAAGAAATTTATAGTTCTTTGCGAGGAGTTACAGAAGCCATTGAAAAGTTTAGTTTTCGAAGCCAAGAGGACCTGAATGAGCCAATTAAGCGGGATGGCAAGAAGGACTGTGACATTGTAAGTATTCCCAAACCCAGAGAGAGCCCTCTGTTAACGTGGTTGTTACTGATTCTCGTGAGGCCTGTGCTTGGGTCCCTGCTTAGTGGGTGTCTCTGTAGGGAATTTATGGGTAGTTGTATGGCCTTAGATCCAGGATGGTAATTGGAGGGAGCACCCTTAGCAGTGGAAGACCACACGTTTGTAATGAGATAAATAAAGGCAGTGCTAGTACACAAGGCTCCCATAGAATCAAGGCTGGGGAACACTGCCTTCTGGTCTCATAGGACTGCTGTTCCAAATGAGTGCTCTTAAGTCTCTTAAAAACTGAGTGAAATTAGCGCCCAAATTATTAAGTAAAATAGACTTGACATGTAAGTGAATGAATTACTAGGTTAAAAACATAAACCTGGGGCTGGAGCGATGGCACAGCGGGTAGGGCGTTTGCCTTGCGCGCGGCCGACCCGGGTTCGATTCCCGGCATCCCATGTGGTCCCCTGAGCACCGCCAGGAGTGATTCCTGAGTGCAAAGCCAGGAGTGACCCCTGCACATCACCAGGTGTGACCCAAAAAGCCAAAAAAAAAAAAAACCATAAACCTAAGGGGCCAAAGAGAGAGTACAGCAGGTTAGGTGCTCTCCTTGCACACGGCCAACCCAGGTTCCATCCCTGGCATCCCATATCGTCCCCCAAGCATGCCAGCCGTGATCCTTGAGCACAGAGCCAGGAGTACTTGAGCACTGCTGGTTACTTAGCACCTAGAGCACTGCTGGTTGTGGCAACAGATCCACCCCTCTCCCCAAAGTGGGGGGGGACATAAAACCTATTCAGTTGCCTTTTAGGTCTGTAACAAATCAGATATTCACAAGTTGAAATAGGAATGATAAGCAGGTTTCAAGTGAGGAATCTCTTAAGTCACCTACCACTTCAGGGAATGTTGAGGGAAGATTTATTCAAAGTCCTGAAAAGGAATTGATAGTGCGCTGTGTCCTAGGTGTCCCGGGATGGTGGCGTTGCCCCCCTTCCCCCCGAGGGCCGGGGCGGCAGTGATGTGGTAGAAGGAGGCAGAACAGCTCTGGACAACAAGACCTCCCTCCTCAACACCCAGCCACCGCGCGCCTTCCCAGGGCCGCGAGCGCGGGAGTACAACCCCTACCCCTACTCCGACACCATCAACACCTACGACAAGACAGCCCTGAAGGAGGCCGTGTTTGACGACGACATGGACCAGCTGAGAGACGGTTTGTCCTCCTTTGGTTATTGTCCCCAGGCCTGGAGGTTCCTTCCCCCGACCTCCCTCTGGTCACACCGACCCTGGGCCCTCTAGAAGCTTGTTTCCTGGTCCCCAAGGCAGGAGAGCACCCACACACATCACTTAACTCTCGTCGCTGGAAGAGTCGTACAGGACAGGCGGCTTGCTCTGGCCCTTAAGGACGTCTCAATGGGAAGCCCGCACCAGGGCCAAAACCCAAAGGACAAGGGGAAGTGGGGCTCCCCAAGTGAGGAGCAGAGGTGGGGGTGCAGCCTCCCCGCACGCGGCCCTGCCGTTATAAAAGCAAGTTCTCCATGGGGCACGGCTTGCCAGTTCCCACATTCTCGAGTCAGATCCTGATGTACTCCTGGAAAACGTGCACTTCTGCACCAGGGTCATGTCCAGATTTTCCTGCAGCTACTTTCTGTTGACTCTGCCCTGTCTTTGGGAGAGAAAGACTAACACATGTTCAGCACTGGCCTTGCCGTGGCTTGGTGTTTCACACATGTTGTCCGACCAGGATCCAGGATGGCACCCCTCCTGTAGGTTAGGCAACAGTTTCAGAAAGGCTTAGTTGCTTGCCCCAAATCTGACATACTGTGTACAGAACAGGACTTGCCTGTTCTTTCTCTCACTCATGTGTTAAACCCAGGATTCATTATCAAGTTCCAATTATGGTTTGGTATGCTGGTAATTTTATCTGGAATTTAATTACTTATTTTTTCGACCTTGCTGAGACGTTCACGTGTTTTTTATTTAATTTAACCAAAGTGGTTTATTTCTCCCCCCAGATTAGATGGTTTTGTTTCCAGGTATATATATATATATAATATATATTATATACATGTATATAATTTAAATATATATATTTAAATTTTGAACAAAGAGTTAAAATAGGATCTCAGAGTTGAATTCTAAACAATTAAGTTGTTTTATATCATGAAGTATGTGGCTTACTGGGGAAACAAAGCCACGGAGGAGGTGGGCTACGCTCTGGGCAGAGCTGACCAGAATGGAGTGCTCACATAGAAGCAGAGTCCTGCATTTGAGAGTAGAAAGAAAGGGCTTCTGAGGTGTGAATGTGGGTGGTAGCAGCTCAGGGAAGACCAAGTCCATTTGCTGCACAGTTGGTGATGCCAGGGGGCTTGTTTATGACTCACTCTTTCTAGGAGTCATGAGCTATCTCACTGTATTTGCTCTGACGGTTGGTAGATCGTTTAACTTAATCCATCTATTGGTTTAGTTTAGAAATATCTTAGAGATTCAGGTTATTACTTATTGACCAAAGCGTACTAAAATGCATAAAGGGAGAGGTGGGGTAGCAGAGGGAAATCATAGAGGTCTGTCACATTTCAAACTTTTAGAGGGTGTTTTGTTCTTCAGTCTTAGAAAGAAACATGCATGTGAGAAATCTCATTTGTCTTAGCTTTTAATTCAAAGGATGGAGAAGCAAAAAGACACTCTTCAGAGTTGAGGTTTCTGTACAGAACTTAGAAAAAGAAAGGATGTGCCTCTCTGCCGGGTGACCTGCCCTGGGCTTGGCGGTGGGCGGGAGTGGCCCTGCAGAGTTCACACACTGACTGATGTTTGTGTACCGAGTTGGTTACTAAGCTCTGGACATTTGAGAAGGGAAGGGACGTTAATCAGTCAGATGCAATAGTGAGGAGTGCCTGGAGGCAAACGTGTGTGCTTGAGTGGCTTTGGTAGCCTGTGGGAGCACCAGCCTGGAGACCCCTGGTGAGAAGAGGGCTGGGGGAAAAGAGAGGGGCCAATGGGAAGGGCCGACGGGAGGAGCCATGTGGAGGGCTGCCCCTCTTCATATGAAATAGACAGGAAATGAAAGCCCAGTGTTTCCTCTCCGAAGTGGACGTGAAAAGATAAGGGAGGGGAAAGGTAATGCCTATTAGTGCTGGGTACCTCGCCCCTCAGGTAAGGCGCCAGCAGGACATGCAGGTGAGGGGCAGACAGTGTGTATTATGTAGTGTGTAGCAGAGAGATGCCCGTTTCCTGTCTCGTCAGAGCTGGAGGTGCCCGAGGGGAGACCCATCCCAGGCGTTTCCTTTGGAAGTGACTTCTGTCTGTCTCTCTGTCCCACAAGTGCCCATTGACCATTCTGACTTGGTGGCGGACCTCCTGAAAGAGCTGTCCAACCACAACGAGCGGGTGGAAGAGCGGAAGGGCGCCCTGCTGGAGCTGCTCAAGATCACGAGGGAGGACAGCCTAGGCGTCTGGGAGGAGCACTTCAAGACCATCCTGCTCCTGCTCTTGGAGACACTCGGAGACAAAGATGTGAGGAACCTGTTTTCCGTCCTGACTTGTCCCCCTTTCCACAGCATGCGGTTTCATTCCACCCATGCCGGGTTTGGCTTCAGCTCTCATGCTTTAATTAGGCCTTTGCTGTTGACATCAGAACAGTTTTCCCATATTTTGGAGCACTTATTAGTAAGGTGATTTTTTTTTAAATGAATCACCATGAGGTACAGTTACAGACTGACAAACTTTTGTGCTTACATTTCATTCATACAATGATCGAGTACCGATCCTTCCACCAGTGCCATTCTCCGTCATCAGTGTTATCAGAGATATCCCCATCCTAGCATATATGCAGGTTCTCTCTGTTATGGAGTGTGTAGTAGTCGTGGGAAACTTTGTGTCAGGTTACTTCAACACAAGAGTTTTTAAAATCTCCATTAGCATAGACTGAGTTTTGTTTTTGGGTTTTTTGTTTTGGTTTGGGTTTTGTGTTTTATTTATTATTCTTGTTTGGGCTGGAGCAATAGCAGAGTGGTAGGGCATTTGCCTTGCAAGCCGCCGGCCCAGCCAAGCCAGGTTCGATTCCTCCGCCCCTCTTGGAGAGTTCGGCAAGCTACCGAGAGTATTTCGCCCGCATGGCAAAGCCTGGCAAGCTACCCGTGACGTATTTGATATAACAAACACAGTAACAACAAAGTCTCACAATGGAGATGTTTACTGGGCCCGCTCAAGCAAATTGATGAACATCGGGAGTGCAATGCAGTGCATTCTTGTTTGGGGGCTACACTTGATGGTGCTCTGGGGCTACTTATGACACTGTTTCGGGGTTAGTCTTGGCAGTTCTTGGGGACCATGTAGTGTTGGGGTTTGAACAAAGGTCACCTATACCCCTTTCAGCCACCTCTCCAGCCCCTAGTATATGTTTTTTCACAGTGAACATTTTCCCTGTCTAATGTTTCATGTGTAATTAAGAAAGATTGATGCAGCACTTTTTAAAAGATGCAGTTACATAGAATTCTCTTGACTCACTTCTGTCTATGTACACAGTTACCTTAATGGATCAAATGGCAGGATCCAGAGACACGATACTTCTATTACTATTTTTCAAGTTTCTTTATACCATGACACAGGAGTGTGACAGACTTGGTGGCACTGGAGTCCTAGACAGGCTTAGAGAAGTGTCTGATCTGGTCTTAGAGAAGTGTCTGATCTCCCACCTCAGCAACTGCTCCCTCATATACAATGGCAATACTCTTTGTCATTGCCTGGCAGGAAAATGCTGTCTCTCAGACCTTTGTATAGCCTAGCAGCAACAAAAATAAGAGGGTGAAGAGCTCAGTTCAACAGGCCCAATCTGTTGGATGGTGAGACACTCAGGCCTCTCAGGCAGGTCTTACCTGGCCTCCTGATAATAGAAACAGAGGAAGAAGCATGAAGAGAAGGGAGAGCAGCAGGACCCCTACCTGCTTCCTGGGGCTTGGGATTACTGACTCCCTCTCGGAACTAATGATGGAAGAAGGGTGATTTTAAAAAAAGCAAAGTTCCATTAACTTCTTAAAGCCAAACGGTGTTAACAGAAGCACTTCTGCTCGGTTGGGCTTTGTCGGGAGACGAGGTGATGTCATGGAAGGAACAGGCAGACAGTGGGGCAGTGTGTGAATCGTACAAATGAGTGACAGAGAATCAGGATGTACTTTTTGGCTCTGTTTGGTGTAAACTCTGTTCTCTTTCACTGAGATTAGGAGTCTTGTTTGGAGTGGCTTTCCTCCAGAGGCGTGACTTGGCCGCAAACAGTTCGGGGCCTGTGCAGGCACCTGTCCCCCCACGCTCTCAGAGTGTGAGAAGGTCAGGGACAATCTCCAGAGCTCCAGCGGCCCTGGAGTCCAGAGTCCCACAGAGCGCACCCAGGAAATGTTGAGAGGCTTTTAACCTGTGCTCTTGTTCCTTTTACACAAGGGTGACTTGGGCCAAAGCGACAGTACAGGGACACTCCCCAGCACCACATGTGTTCCCCCAATCACTGCCAGGAGTGATCCTAGTCCCTAAGAATTTCTAGGTGTTGCCCCCTTTAAAAAAAAAAAAAAGCAAACAAAGGGGCCAGAAAGGTAGTACAGTGGGTAGGGAACGTGTTGCATGCAGCCGATACCACATTATAGTCCCCGAGCTCTGAAGGAGAAAGCCCTGAGCACCACCACAGAATGCTCCAGAAAGGTTACTTGCTTGCACACCCAAACCTCAGGAACCCTGGAAATCTCCACAGTATTTTGTAATAAACTAGAGAGCTTCATCTTCATTTTGTCTTCCCTTGTTCTTTATGTGGCTCATTCAAGCTTTCATTGAGTCCCTCTTAAGTGCTGGGTGCTGGGCATGGCCCCTGCAGATGCCGGGCATGTCCTCAGGGAACGGACCTCCAGAAAGCCTTGTCACATGAGCAGTGCGCTCTGAGGCAGGGTGACTACAGGGTATCAAGGAAACGATGCAGGCTGGGTGCACAGCACTGCTGGGCGACTAACAAGGATGTTTGTACTTGTTTGCTGATGCCTTCCCTCCTCCTCTTCCTCCAGCATTCCATCCGAGCGCTGGCACTGAGAGTATTACGGGAAATTTTAAGGAACCAGCCAGCAAGATTTAAGAACTATGCTGAGCTGACCATCATGAAGACTCTGGAGGCCCACAAGGACTCGCATAAAGAGGTGAGCCAGGCCTCTGGCTTTCGGGTGCTACAGACAGGTCTGGGGGTGCAGTTGAGACTGGAAGGGGAGAGGAATGCACATCAGCGTTTGACCGCAGAAAGGAGTCCCGTGGCCATAGTATAGGGGGCGAGCTGCTTGCCTGACATTCATTCGACCCTGGTTCAGATCACATGGTCTTGCCCTGCATATGGTCCTCCAAGCACTCGGCCAGAAACAGACTCTGATCACCACCAAGTGTAGCCTGAATGGCAAATGATCCCACTCTATCCCCCCCCAACCCCAAAAAATACTCAGCAAATAAAAGGTCCCTTCCTTTGAACTCAGCAGTCCATACCATAATAGAATGAAAATCCCATAGAGCCAAGCAAAGTGCCACAGGAGACCCAGTGCTGCTTTCTTGGTTCTCTCATTCCTTTTCCGTGTATACACTGGACTCCACCGCCCCTGAGGAGTTTCCCAAGACAGCGATACCCATAGTTTAGTTGATCAGAGGGATCCGCCATTTTCTTGGCACTGCATCTGACATCCTGGTGTGGGAAGTCGAGGCTGGTTTTAGAGACAGCAGATGCTTGCCTTGCTTTCCAGAACCTTGGGCTGGGCAATCCCTCTTGTGATGAATTGTGCGTAAGATAGAGGTGAACGTTACTCTGGAGCCTTGTGGGAATTAATCGAGAAGGCCAGGTGTTTCCAGGCCTGGCGCTCCACAGCGGGGGGTGCTGGTGTCTCTGCTCTCTGCACATATAGGATGAGTGCAGGCAGTTCCATCTCATCTCTTCCTCAAGCTCCTGAACACAGAAACTGCTAGCCAACTAAACCCAAGTTCCGGGTACCTCAGGTTGGAGAGCAGGAAGGCTGTTTTCTTTCTTCCTTTCTTTTTTGTCTTTCTTTTTCAATAAGATTTTTTTAAATTTTTGTTTGGGGGTCACATCTGAAGATACTCAGGGATTATTCCTGGCTCAGTACTCAGTAATTACTCCTTATAGTGCTCAGGGGGCCATATGGAATGCCACAGATTGAACCCAGGTCGGCAACCTGGAAGGCAAGTGCCCTACGCGCCGTACTATATACCTCCAGCCCCAGGAAGGTTGTTCTCTGCACCCTGGGTACATCTGGGCAAACACTGGACTCTCGGCCAGTTATCACCATGTTGCCTTTTCACCTTTTCATTGTTTCAAACCTTGTCGCTCACGTTTCACTACGTTAGACTCCTTCAGAGGGGAGGTTTAGGGAGGAATCTTCAGTAAAAGTGACTTCACTAAGGACCTTCAAATAAAAGGCACTGTGGGGAGCAGAACCTTCTGTTACCTTAACACGACATGATACATTTGACCCCAGAGGAAGACCAAACCTCTTTGCTAAGTTCAGACCGTTGGCTCGTGTATGATGATCCACACTCTTGGATCCAGACACTTGTGATTCTCATTGTCTTTGTAGCTTAGTGGAAGGTTCTGGCCCTGAGGCACAGTGTCCCCTTGAACAAGCTCACCAGTTTATGTGGCTGCTCTGAGTCCCCACAGGGCCCATAGTTACTGCTTCTGTCTGGGTATCGTCCCCCAAATAGCCAGCCTGAGCACCGTCCAGTGGATGCAGAGGTGACTGGTGTTTGACAACTAGACCCCCCAGATCTGGCCAGGTTTTGTGATGGTGGCAACCACTCATGTTTGAACAATACCCTTACTACTTACATTCACTCTATTTTCAAGTGTGAAGACCAGATGAGCTAATGAGGTCAGTGTGCTTAGTTCCTGGCTGAGGAAAGCAGTCCTGAAGTGTCTGTAATTTGCTCAGTGATGTCCCGTCATTCTTGCAGGATAAGCTAAAATCTGGTCACATGTCTCCTATAAGGGAGGAACTGGCCTTGTGGGCTTCTTTTATTTATTTTTATTTAATTAATTTTTTTTAAGTGATGCAAGGTAGTACTTTGTTTTTGTTTTGCCGGCCACACCCAGCTACACTTAGTCCTTACTGCTGACTCTGGACTCAGGAATCACTTGTGTCGGTGCTCAGGGGGAACACATGTTGAGCTGGGAATTGAACCCGGGTTGGCCGCATACCAATAGGGAAGCATCCTACCTGCCTGCTGTACTCTCTCTCCAGCCATTTTTTTTTTCTTTTTTGGTTTTGTTTAGTTTTTTATTTGTTTGAAGCAAGTAGTTTTTTATTGAAAGAAACTTGCTTGGAGAGATGAGAGGGGAGGAAGAGGAGAAATGCTGTGTTCAAGAGAGAAGATAGTCTTCTCCGGAGTGATAATAAGCAAGCAAGGAGAACATGGGCTTGAAGAGCAAGCCACCAACTTCTTTTTGTTAAAAGCACCAAAACAGTTTCTTAAGGTAAATACAAGATTTAAAAAAAAAAAAAAAAACCCAGACTGCTATCTTTTACATAGGTAAAATCAGTGTGCTTTTTCCATGGGGAGGAGGTCACTAGAATGTGGCATTTTGGTGAAATTCAGTGTGGCCTGCCTTAGCTGCCCCTTTAGAAGGGGACATCCTGATGTGAAACCCTAAAACTTTGAGGGCAGGCCCTTAAGTAAAAATTAACAGAATGGAAGAGTCTGTTTGCATTTTGCTTTTCCTAAGGGTTGCAGTTCGGTGTCTTTCTGCAAAACAAGGGATTTTGGAGAGAAAATTCTCAGGTGTGACGTCCCTTCAGTTTGTCCAAGGGACACGAGGTGAAACTTGCCCCATAAAGTCTATTTAGCAGCCATCAGTCTGTCCCTGGAATTCCCGTCACCCAGGGGTCTCCATGCTGCTGCCAGCGATTACCTGATAAAGCAGGTGGAGGAAATGCCATGTCCCTATGGGAGCACCTTTCTTGGCAGGCCCTCCCTGCTTTGCATACTTTCAAACTCACCTTGACTTGGTGCCCTGGTAGCTTTCCTCAGGAAACTTCATCCTGCCCCTCTGCCCAACAGCTTCCTAAATATACAGAGCCTGTATATTTCATTTTTATCTCAGATTTGTGCTTTTGTTGTCCTTTTTCTTTAAAGTTCTTCCAACCTTACTCCTGTTTTGGGGGGGGGGGGGGGGGGTATTCTAAACTTTCACTGTGGTTTAAGTAACATGGGTACAGTGGTGTTCGTCTTGGGTATTGATATACAAAGTCAGTGCACCTTCAGCGCCACCAAAGTGCCCAGGACTCTCCACTCTGTCCCTCTGTCATCTCTAGTCTGCTCTTTCCCACCCTCCCCCAACTGCTTCGTAATCGGTTTTGTTAACCAAGAGGAAGGGCTTGTCATCTTGCAGTACTGTCTGTTCCCTTGTCTTACGTATCTGTGTGCCACAGGTGAGTGAGACCTCCCTCACTCAGCGAGGCTTTGTCCTCCTCCCTCTTACTTCACTCAACGACGCCCTCCAGTTCCATCCAAGACTGCAAGATCGCGTCTGTCCCGACAGCTGAATCGGTTCCCCACGCCACAGCTTCATTTTTCCATGCGTGTATCGTTAGATACTTGAATTGTTTCCATATCTAATACTGTGGTATTAGAGCGGAAAGGAACACAGGTGTGCATCTATCTTTTCAAATTAATGTTTTCATGTTTGGTGCATAGAAGCTGATAGTCTTTGTCTTTAATTAGTCTGCCTCCATGCTCTGTGTTGTTCAGGGAGAATATTGAGATGCATGTCAAGTTTGAGTTGGCATATTTTCTTATATTCGGGCATTGATTGGAAAGAGTGCTGTGTAGTCCTAGACCTAGTTACTGTCTTTGTCATACAGAGGCAGAGTCTGGTTTTTCCTGCCAATTTAGTCCTTCAGGAGTGCATTCCTCCTGTGTGCACTGTTACCAGAACTTCCTTCTTATAAGAAGAAAATGAGGTTTTGCACTCACAGACGGATCTACAGCTTCAGCGGGGGGTGAAAGAGCTTGTGCGCTGCCCCCTGACACAGGCCATCGGAGAGTCCAGGCCACCATCCTCCCACCTGCTGGGGTGTGGGCCAGGCCCGGGTGTTTAATCTTGATCTGGCTGTAGGATTAAAGCAGTGAAGGACAGACTCTTCAAATGCTGTGTCTCTAAATTGAAAATCGCCAACAAAGCTCTTAAGGAAGATGAGTCGAATAGGGCTGAAGGTAAGATGGTTTGTTTCATTATCCTCAAAGCCAGCGCCTGCTTTCTTTCAGAGCCAGGGTCTTTTGTAAGGAGCTGGCCATGCTCAACCAGTTTTTCTTACCCACTGAAAAAGTGGCAGTACTCAGTCTGTCCTGGCAGTGTCCATCCTAGCACAGCAAACATAGATGCTCTATAGAATGCCAGCTTGGAAAGGCTTCCCAAGCGTGCTCCTGGTGCCTGGGGGACCCTCAGTGATTCTGTCAGCAGTGGCTCAGTGAGAGGACCAGTAAGGCCCTGCAGTGCCAGAGATGCTTTCTGGGGGACTGCAGAGCTATACCTTGCAGTGCTCAGATGACCCGGTGGTGCCTGGGTAGAACTGGGGCTGGCCGCATGCAAGGCATGCACCTTACCCCTGGACTCTTTCTCCAGGCCCTAAGAGTTCTTATTTTTATCTGTTTCTTTGTTTCTTTGTTTGTTTGGGCGACACCTTGCAGTGCTCAGGGCCTTCCTTACCTGGCTCTGTGCTCAGGGATTACTCCTGGCGGGTCTAGGAGGACAATATGGGGTGCTGGAAATTGAACCTGGGTCAGCCACATGCAAGAGCAGTGCCTGACCTGCTGTACTGTGGCTTCAGCTCAAGGAGCTTTTATTTTTGAAGACAATGATGTGAGCTCTTAAACATAGTTTTTCCACCGTCCCCTAGTTCGTTTTGTTCCAGCTCAGTGCCTCATTAATGAAGTTGCTGTAGTTTGCAGTAGTGTTAGCATTGAGTAAATATCTTCAAGAGATCAGGCCATGACTGTGACCTTAAATCTTAATCCCATTTTAGTTTTTAGAAAATTTCATTCATTTTTTTCCAACTCTTCTCATTTTAGAATGTGTAATATTTGTTAGGACCGGTACCAAATCTCTCCTTCAGTAAGAGTGAGTTTAAGAGTAAGAGGAGAATTG